AAAATAATGTATAAATATTAAAATAAATATAGCGTTCCTACATCGTGGTTTTTCACTTATTGCGGGAGGTCCTGGAACGTAACCCCCACAATAAATGAGGGAACACTGTATTCCTGAAATCTGAAATTCAGAAAACTCCTCCGTGGGTGCATCGACATTGTAGAATTAATGTAATTTGACACAACTACTGTGGCTCAATGCTATGGAATCCTGGGAGTTGTAGTTTTAAAAGGTCTTTAAGCCTTCTTTGCATGAATATTGGGGCCTCATTAAACTACAAACCTCAGAATTCTATAGCATTGAGCCATGGAAATTAAAGTGGTGTCACACTATGTTATTTCTGCACTGTATATGCACTCCATGTTTTCAAAATGCAGGACTTCGCCATTGGAGGACAAAGCAGAGGGTCCTTTAATTAAAAATATTGGTGGGGGTCCTCAAACCTGGGCCAGAGTGAAGAAAGGGGGGGCAGGGGACAGTTCCAGCTTGTCTCCTGTGGTATACTAATATAATATAATGTATATACATATATTTATAATATTATAACATAATACAACATAATACTAATACTAATAATATATGATAATCATATATTTTATATTACATGTAATATTACTAATAATATTACGGATCCCCCGGTGGCGCAGTGGGTCCCAGGTTCCAATCTGGGGAGAGGCGGATAAGCTCCCTCTATCAGCTCCAGCTCCTCATGTGGGGACATGAGAGAAGCCTCCCACAAGGATGATAAAAACATCAAAATCATCCGGGCGTCCCTTGGGCAACGTCCTTGCAGACGGCCAATTCTCTCACACCAGAAGTGACTTGCAGTGTCTCAAGTCGCTCCTGACACGACTAAATAATAACAACAACAATAATAATATTACAATGTAATGGCATAGCACAATATAGTAATATGCTAATAATATAATATATTGTATGTATATGTATCTTGTAAGCCGCGCTGAGTGCCCTTTGGGATGAGAAGGGCAGCATATAAATGTCGGAAAGAAAGAAAGAAAGAAAGAAAGAAAGAAAGAAAGAAAGAAAGAAAGAAAGAAATTTTCCAGCAAAGTAATTGAGGGCAAAGAGAAATATTTGAAAGGGGCAGTAAATGTTGCTTAACAACATTTCCATGTAAATGTCGTCAGGCTATTTTAACTTTTCAGGTTCCAAAGTTACTTTTTTTGAATCACAACTCCCAAGATCCTCCTGCCAAAACCCATAGTCATTCCATCTTAAAAAAAAGAAAAATAAAGAAATGCCCTTGATAAAGGGAGGCATTTGATGCCAAGGGAGAATTGGCAGGAACAGGAATTCTTTCCTAGCAAAGTCTTGGCAATTCTTGTGATCTCAGCAAATAACATCTCAGAAAGTGAATCTGTATCTAGTTGTTGTTGTGTACCTTCAAGTCGTTTCTGACTTATGGTGATCCTATCTTCCAAATGTAGAATGGAAGAAAAATGCTGGAGATATTAACTTCTCATCATCTGATGACAAAACTGTTCTTTCCTCTATGACAGTGGTTCTCAACCTGTGGGTCCCCAGGTGTTTTGGCCTACAACGCCCAGAAATCCCAGCCAGTTTGCCAGTTATTAGGATTTATGGGAGTTGGAGGTCAAAACATCTGGGGACCCACATGTTGAGAACCACTGCTCTGTGACATCTGGATTGGTTCATACAATGCTAAATGTACATATTCTTTAATTATACAAATACACATAAATACAACTCAAGCTGCTAGATGACATTTTAGTTAAGTGATTTGCCAATACCACCCTAACAAGGTTACATTCCTTTTAGTCTCAAGGCTGAACCATTGCTGCATATCCTGCAACACAATAGACTGTGGCCAAAACATGCTGATTTTTATCTAGTTGATGGGGGTTAGAACACCAGGAAACTATTGCTGTCACTAAAAACAGTCTGCAGACATAATCCTCTCTACGCCTGAGGCTAGAAAACAGGGTCCACTTGGAACAACCTGATGGCAAGCAAAGCACAGCATTTGCATGCTCAGAGTCAAATCTCAGTGCAAAAAGCATCAAAGCTCAGCAAGGACCATATTGTTGTGATATAGTGGTTTGAGCATCAGACAGTGGCTCAAGTCACACACTCTCAACTCCAAAAAACTCTGTGATAGGGTCCCCATAAGTCAGAAATGATTAATAATAATAATAATAATAATAATAATAATAATAATAATAATAATAATGCTTTATTTATACCCCGCCACCATCTCCCCAAGGGGACTCAGAGCAGCTTACATGAGGCCAAGCCTGACAACACATCAATAAAACAAAAAATAATAAGCAAAAACAATACAATTAATATAACACACATGTAAACAGTAACACACAAGGATTTAAAAAACCTATGGCCGGACCAAATGTAATAATTTCATGCCCAGCATTAAAAATAAATGCTGGGCATGAACAGAGGAAGGATGTATCTGATAGGAGGGTTTTAAAAGAAATGAAGGGAGAGCAACCCAACGAGTAGTTAAAGTGCTTCTGAGGACATTTTGCTGGGGATTATTTCCTTATTCAGGGAAGGCACACTGGAACAGCCACGTTTTCAGGCTCCTCCAAAAGACTGCCAATGTGGGGGCTTGCCTGATATCCTTAGGACGTGAGTTCCAGAGTCAGGGAGCCACCACAGAAAAGGCCCTCTCCTCCGTCCCCACCAATCGTGCCTGCGAAGGGGGGGGGGAGTGAGAGCAGGGCCTCTCCAGATGATGGAAGAGATCGCGTGGGTTCGTACACACAACTTGCATGGATAACCTTACGAACCTTCCAGGAATTTAAGATCATCTGGGGAGGCCCTGTTCTCGATCCCGCCTACCTCACGGGTGCGCTTGGCGGGGACGAGGGACAGGGCCTTCTCAGTGGTGGGCCCCTTAGCTGTGGAACTCCCTTCCTGGGGATATTAAATTGGCCCCCATCCCTCCTGACCTTTAGGTAAAGAGTAAAAACCTGGCTCTTCGAGCAAGCTTTTTGAACCTCATTGTAACCAGATAAACTCAGTATTGTGAACAGACATGGAACAGCTTAACGATGCAAATGGACATCGATTTAAACCCAGAAGTCATTGATTTTAACAGTTTAAAATGTTTTTATATGAATTTTATTATGTGATTTAACCTGTTTTAAATGATGTATTTATGTATGTTCGGCACTTAACTGTTGCCAGTCTATATACTGTCCTGAGTCGCCTTCGGGCTGAAAAGGGTGGGATAAAAGTGTGGTAAATAAATAAAATAAATAAATAACTCACTGGGTATTTTCATTGCATGGAACAGTGGTTTCTAACTCTTTTGAATCAGGCTCATAAATTGCCTAGTATCCAGAGGCATCCTTTATCATTAAAGAACAAATGCTCCCATTCAAAATTTCTTTTAAAGGTGAACCTTACATGAACTTAGGATTGTGCGAATATGGCTTTACTAACCCCATTCGTTATGGAACCCCCGGTGGCGCAGTGGGTTAAAGCGCTGAGCTTGTTGACCGAAAGGTCACAGGTTCGAATCCGGGGAGTGGCATGAGCTTCCGCTGTCAGCCCCAGCTTCTGCCAACCTAGCAGTTCAAAAACATGCAAATGTGAGTAGATCAATAGGTACCGCTTCTGTGGGAAGGTAACAGCGCTCCATGCAGTCATGACCTTGGAGGTGTCTATGGACAATGCCGGCTCTTCGGCTTAGAAATGGAGAGGAGCACCACACCCCAGAGTCGGACACGACTGGACTTCATGTCAGGGGAAAACCTTTACCTTTTACCTTAACCCCATTGGTAGACAAGGAAATGGACATGTTAGCTGAGGAACTTGGGAGATCTACATACCTAGAGTGTTTCTAGTTCTCCCAAAGTTTGGAAAACATTATCTCTCTGGAGTGCGGTTCCCAGAATCCACAGCCATCACAGCCCATATCCCAGTGGTTCTCAACCTTCCTAATGCCACGACCTTAGTACAGTTCCTCATGTTGTGGTTACCCCCAACCATAATGTTATTTTCATTACTACTTCATAACTGTAATTTTGCTACTGTTATGAATTGTAATGTAAGTATCCGATATGCAGGATGTATTTTCAGTCACTGGACCAAATTTGGCACAAATACCTGATACGCCCAAAATTTGAATACTGGTGGGGTTGGGGGTGATTGATTTTGTCATTTGGTAATGCTGGAGTTGCTGGGATTCACCTTAAATCAGAGAGCCTTCTGAACTCCATCAATGATGGAATTGAATCAAACATGGCACACAGAATTCTCATGACCAAGAGAAAATATTGGGAAGGTCTGGTGGACATTGACCTTTAGTTTTTGGAGTTGTAGTTCACCTATATCCAGACTGTGGACACAAGCAATGATGGATCTGGATCAAACTTGGCACAAATGCTCAATATGCCCAAATGTGAACACTGGTAGAGTTTGGAGAAAATAGAGCTTGCCATTTGGGAGTTGTAGTTGTTGGGATTTATAGTTCACCCACAATGAAATAGCATTCTGAACCCCACCAATGATAGAATTGGACCAAACTTTCCACACAGAACCCCCATGACAAACAGAAAATACTATGTTTTCTGATGGCCTCTGGTGACCCCTCTGACACCCCCTCGTGACCCCCACAGGGGTCCCGACCCCTAGGTTGAGAAACACTGCCATATCCATTCAAGATGTCATCCAAAGAAACCCTAATATTTCTTAGCTCTGGTGGTATTTCCCTTATTTCTGACCAGCCATAACTCATGGTGGTGTTTCTGCGGTTATTTGGGAATAGCACTCAAACAAAAGAAAGCGACCTCTGACCTGCCTTGAGCTCTAGCATATCTTTGTTTGGAAATCAGGCATTGTCTAGTTCTCCAGTGGAAAACAACATTTTCCAACCACTGCACAAGGAATGTGGTCTTTTCATGTCTCTCGTCTTATCATCTGGCTCATTCCCAATCATAAAGAGGACCTATCTCCCACCCTTCTCAGTTGAAAACAAAAGTTACAAAACTGCCTTGCCCAATGTTGCAATACGGAGTATTTAATAATTTAAGGTTTGTTTTCTACAAAAAAAGCAAGAACTCATAAAAGAGCCCATTGTGACAACTTAAAAAAGAAAATACAAAGTTTGTGGTTGAAGTGAGGTGATGTTTTCAAGGATCCCAATCCCTGAGCCTCAATGAGGCATGTCCAGTGTTAGTCCACATACTGCCAGGGGTTGTCATAAACCGACATCCAGGTGCCAAGTGTTCAAATGGCCAGCTTCCCTGGCTGCCACCTCCTCCTCCTCAGCGCTTCCGCTTGCTGTTGCGAAGGACCTTCTTGCGCTTGAGGATCATTTCGTAGAGTTTCTCCAGGGCTGGCTGAAGTCCCAGTCCGCTGACGGCGCTGCAGCCCTGGATGTGGCTCAAAGTCGAGGTGCAAAGTTCATGCAAGCCAAGCAGTTTCTCTACCTCGGCCACCGAGAGCGCCTGGGCCACGTCTTGCTTGTTGGCCAACACCAACACAGGGACTCCTTGGTTGTCCGAGGAGCGGGCGATCCGGTGCAACTCCACCCGGGCCTCCTCTAGGCGCTCTGCCTCAGACGAGTCCACCACAAAAACCACCCCATCGGTGTGGCGCATGTAGGATTTCCAGAGCGGGCGTAACTTCTCCTGACCCCCCACGTCCCAGACTTGGAAAGTGATGGCACGAGAGCCGCCCAACGGCACCCTGATCTTCTCCATGTTGAAGCCTTTGGTCGGCGCGCTCTTGACAAACTCCTGGAATTTCAGGCGGTACAGCAGGGATGTCTTGCCAGCCGCGTCCAGCCCTACCACCACCACATGCAGAGCCTGGAGATGGGGCCGGAAGGAGGGCACTGGGGCCAGCTGGTTTCCCATAGTCCAAGGATCAGTGGCGCCGAATCTCAAGGAGCGCTGGTGGCTGGATTAGCACTGCTTGCAGCAGTTGCAACACTATGGAAAGACACAAAGATACACTTAAGACCTGTGCAAATATTTTGTCATATGTAATTCAATGTGCCAAAGAGTCTAACACAGATGTCCCCATACTTTGAAAGCAAAGGTCCTGTTCACGGTCCCTCTGACTGTTGGGGGCCTGGATTATAATTTGAAAAAAATGTGGACAAATCCCTTGAAAGAACAATACAATATTTAAAATGAAGAACCATTTTAGCCAACATAAACTTAATCCATATGTCAATGAGAAGTGTGAGGGCCCTTCAATACAGCCATATAATCCAGAATATCAAGGCATATAAACCACATTATCTGCTTTGAACTTCATTATGTGATTCCACATTTCAAAGCAGATATTGTAGATTTTATACAGCTGTGTGGAAGGGGCCTAAGCCTACTTTTGGTTGATGAGTTAGTCAAATTAATTAGGATTGTTGTTGTTGTGTGCCTTCAGGTTGTTTCAGACTTAGAGTGTGGGTCGGGTAAATCACCTTGGAGGACAGCATCTGGCATCTAGGCCTTAGGCCCCTTATACACTACCATAAAATTTTTACACTATCCTCTTTGAACTAGGCAGTGTAGACTCAGATAATCCAGATAATCCAGTTCAAAGCAGATAATGTGAATTGTCTTCTTTGATAATCTGGATTACTGTATATAAGACGACCCGAATATAAGCCAAGGCACCTAATTTTACCACAAAAAACTGGGGAAATGGATTGACTCAAATATAAGCCGAGGGTGGGAAATGCAGCAGCCACTGGTAAATTTCAAAATAAAAATAGATACCAATAAAATTACATTAATTGTGGCATCAGCTGGTTAAATGTTTTTGAATATTTACATAAAACTGTAATTCAACATAAGACTGTCCAACTCTGATTCAACCATTATTCTAACCTTCTTCAATTACGTATCCTTCCAATAATAATAAATAGAGTATAATAATAATAATAATAATAATAATAATAATAATAATAATAGAGTAAAATAATAAATGTAACAATAACAATAGAGTAAAATAAGAAATGTAACAACAATAATAAAATAAAACAACAAAAACAATAATAACAACAAAGTAAAACAATAAATAACTTTGACTCGAGTATAAGCCGGGGGAGACTTTTTCAGTCTAAAAAAAGGACTGAAAAACTAGGCTTATACTCGAGTATATTCAGTATATGGCAGTGTAGAAGGGGCCTTAGTTTTTTGGGTCTATTTATTTATTTATTTAGGACAGATATCCCGTCCTATCTCGATCACTGCAGAGGGACTCAGGGCAGCTAACAAAAACAAAAAAAACATAAATATACATATTAAGTAAAAACAGTATAAAACATTATAAAAACATTAAAACAATCACCACTTTAAGTCATCATCCTAAAAGCAGTCCATCAGAGTCCATTACAACCATATCTTTGCCATCAAGTTAGTCTAGTCCGCAAAGGACTGATCCCACAACCAGGATTTCACTTTTTTTGGAAGGTCAGAAGGGATGGGGCGAATCTGATTTCACTTGGAAGGGAATTCCATAGCTAAGGGGCCACCACGGAGAAGGCCCTGTCTCTTGTCCCCACCAACCGCAATTGCGATGGTGGGGGGACAGCGAGCAGGGTCTCCCTGGACGATCTTAAAGTCCTAGGTGGTTTGTAGCGGAAGATAACATTTAGACAGGAGCGACTTGAGAAACTGCAAGTTGCTTCTGGTGTGAGAGAATTGGTCATCTGCAATAACATTGCCCAGAGGATGCCTGGACGTTTTGATGTTTTACCATCCTTGTGGCAGGCTTCTCTCATGTCCACACATGGGGAGCCGGAGCTGACAGAGGGAGCTCATCTGCGTTCTCCCGGATTCAAACTTGTGACCTGTTGGTCTTCAGTCCTACCGGCACAAGGGTTTAACCCACTGCGTCACCGGCAGCTCCTAGGAGACCCCTAGTCTAACATTTCAAGCATTTTAAAGACAACACAGCAGAACTATTTGATGGCTTTACATATTTTTCAGACTCTAAAATAATTCCACAATTAGAATTCAAAACTCCCTATCCAAAACTTATTGAATACGTGCATCAGAGTATTCATTAGAATAGAGGCATGGGAGAAAAACTGGGAATGGGAGACAATAGTGAAATCTCATAGAATTCCATGAGATTCCATGCATTCTGCCTTCCATCACAACTCACTTAACGGAACCCTTTCTTTTCCATTTTTAAATACTTCAAGGCCACTCTATCCTATATTTCCTCAATTCTATGGCTTCTTCTACACTGCCATATAATCCAGATTATCAAATCAGAAAATCCACATTATCTGCTTAGAACTGGATTATAGGAGTCTACACTGCCATATAATCCAGTTCAAAGCAGATCATCTGGATATTATATGGCAGTGTAAAAGGGGCCTTGCATAACAAAAGATTTGGCTCTCTTTCGCCTAGTTATTAGGGAAGCCTGCACAGGCTCAATCTTGCTGCAATTCCACAAAACAGGAGCTACTAGAGGCAAGACCCAATTTCTAGGGGTAGGAAAGGTGTTCACTTTGGAGGATTTTTTTTTACTTTGGGAAAATCAATCAATAACATGTTTTTTAAGTAAGCAAATCAACAAAAAGGATCTTAAATAATAGCTTCCTTTTCCAGCCTGGTCTAGATCCGGACATAATAAATTTAAATGTTGTTATGGAGATAAATACATGTATTATTACAATACATAGTATAATAGGATGCAATACTAATAAGATGCAAATTTAAAATGCATAGTTTAAAATGGAGATGTTTAGGATTCAGGGCAAAACCCCATTTCTTGGTTTGTTTGTCCCAAGGTTATGTGACTGCCATACAGAATCCAGATTGTCTGCTTTGAACTGGATTACATGGAAGTAAACTCATATACACCAGTTCAAAGTAGATAATGTGGATCATTGTAACAATAGTGTATTGTTAATATATTTTATTATAACGATATAATACTAATATAATAATCTATATAAAGAAAATGTAATGTTCATTTGTGGGATTAACATAACTCAAAAACCACTGAATGAATTGACACCAAATTTGGACACAATACAAGTGACCATAACTCATAAAAACCGAAAAACAAAACAAAACATTACAATTCATGCACAAAACCACACACATATATATGCAAACACACATATATACACATATAATTATAATAATAAAATATTTATTATTATATACACAAATATATACACACACGCACACACACAAAACACATATACACATTCTTTGGAAGCTTTTAAACAGAGGCTGGATGGCCATCTGTCAGGGGTGCTTTGAATGCAATATTCCTGTTTCTTGGCAGGGGGTTGGACTGGATGGCCCATGAGGTCTCTTCCAACTCTTTGATTCTATGACTGGACCACACCAACGCATGGCAGGGGACGGCTAGTCTATATAAATAAAAATGTAATGTTCGTTTGTGGGATTAACATAACTCAAAAAATCCACTGGACGAATTGCCGTCAAATTTGGGCACAAGACACCTACTAACCCAAGGAGTGGCCATCACTGGAAAAAATTGATTTTGTCATTTGGGAGTTGTAGTTGCTGGGATTTATAGTTTACTTACAATCGAAGAGCATTCTGAACCCCACCAATGATGGAATTGAACCAAATTTGGCACACAGGACTCCCATGACCAACAGAAAATACTAGATGAGTTTGGTGGGCATTGACCATCAGTTTGGGAGTTTCAGTTCACCTACATCCAGAGAGCACTGTGGACTCAAACAATAAAGGATCTGGACCAAACTTGGCACGGATACTCATATGCCAAAATATGAACACAGATGGAGTTGGGAAATAGACCTTGACATTTGGGAGTTCTAATTACTGGGATTTATAGTTCATCTACCACCAAAGAACATTCTGAACCCCACCAAGGACAGAATTGGGGCAAACTTCCCACACAGAACCCCCATGACCAACAGAAAATACTTAAGGCCATTGAGTCCAACTCCCTTCATCAGGGCAAGAAAACGTAATCAAAGCCCTCCTGACAAAGAGCCACCCAGCCATAGATATGGATAGGTAGATATAATTCACACACAGAGAGATATAGTATCATAGATTTGGAAGGGACCCCTAAAGGAGGACAATTCTATGTTCCATGTTCCAGAGTAGACAAACCAGACAATCTCCACATCAACACTGACAAAGAAACAGAAAGCTATACTGTTTACCTATAAGTATAAAGAAATTACATATATTAGAAGCCAACACTTTCTCATTACTTTATTTTCCAGATCACCAGACTGGGCCGCAGCAATACGTGGCAGGGGACGGCTAATAATAATAATAATAATAATAATAATAATAGTAATAATTTGTCGTGTCAGGAGCGACTTGAGAAACTGCAAGTTGCTTCTGGTGTGAGAGAATTGTCCGTCTCCAAGGACGTTGCCCAGGGGACGCCCGGATGATTTTTAATGTTTTTATCATCCTTGTGGGAGGCTTCTCTCATGTCCCCGCATGAGGAGCTGGGGCTGATAGCGGGAGCTCATCCGCCTCTCCCCGGATTCAAACCTGCGACCTGTCGGTCTTCAGTCCTGCCGGCACAGGGGTTTAACCCACTGTGCCACCAGGGGCACTAATAATAATAATAATAATAATAATAATAATAATAATAATACAGCAAGAAATACTGTTTACCCACAAGCATCAAGAAATTACATATATTAGAAACCAATACTTTCCAATTACTTTATTTTCCAGATCACCAGACTGGGCCACAGCAATGCGTGGCAGGGACAGCTAGTAGTAGTAGTAGTAGTAGTAATAATAATAATAATAATAATAATAATAATAATACATCACACAGTCCTAGACACTTGGAAAATGTTCGACTTGTGATTTTTTGATATGAAATCCAGCATATAGATCTCGTTTGCTATGACATACTGTTTTTGTGTCAGTAACATAATAATAATAATAATAATAATAATAATAATAATAATAATAATAATAATAAATTGCACAGTCCTAGACACTTGGAAAGTGTTCGACTTGTGATTTTTGATATGAAATCCAGCATATTGATCTCGTTTGCTATGACATACTGTTTTTGTGTCAGTAACATAATAATAATAATAATAATAATAATAATAATAATAATCTGTTTTGATAATTTGGATTATATAGCAGTATACAAGTAGACAAAGCCATAATGATCAAAATGGGAGGCTTCAAAATACCTTCCCAATGCAATGTAGTTAAGTGCAATATATTCTTGTGAGAGTGCAATGTTTGTTTCTTTCTCTTATTTTCCTTTAAAAAAAGATGCTTACTTTGCAGAAAAAGGGCTCCACTCTCCCTAGAAACACTACTCTTTTGGGTATTTCTATTGTCCCTGATTATACACTCCCAATAATGATGTGTGCATGGGGAAAATCACTCTGCACATGCTCCAAAACTTGCATTACTACACTCATATTGGGGCCATAAAGGAAACAATTGGGAGATCTACCTCCCCAGTACTAAAGAAAGAGGGCTATCAGACAAAGCTTACAAATTCCAGGACATTCTCACCTCCATTGAGCTGCCAAGCCACAAAAGTCGATTATCCACAGTCAGCAAATTGCACATCCGTTCCAGCCGATCACCCAACACCATCTGAATGGCAGCAAGCAGGTGGCAGTAAGCAGAGGCCAAATTGGGGGCGTGGCTATTGCCACAGCCAATCAGAACCCGCCTGGAGCAGAGTAAGCTGCAATGGGGCGGGGCGTCCGAGGAGGAGGGCGGGGCGTCTGGCTCAGCGGCTGCTCTGGGAGGGAAGAACTGCTCAAACCCGCCCGCGGGAATCTCTACACCTCAGGGTCCTAAACACGCTCGGATTACAGCTAATACTGACTGGCCAATATGCACAGGGGCCTTATTTATATATTTATTTTATTTCAAAGTTTTATATACCGAGCTTCTCACCTCACAGAGGGACTCAGCCCGGTTTCCAACCATAAAAACACATACAATCGGTAAAATATCAAAATACACATTACAATAAAACATTAAAACAGCACATATATTTAAAACTACAGTGGTCAGTTGTCATACTAAAATCAAATATACACCGTCTTCCATCCAAATCATTGTGTCATTCTTCGAAGGCCTGTCTCCATAACCACGACTTCACCTGTTTCCTGAATGTCAGGATTGTTCTAACCTCTGGCGGGAGAGAGTTCCAGAGTCACGGGGCCACCACCGAGAAGGCCCTGTCCCTCGTCCCCACCAGCCGCGTTTGTGAGGCCAGTGGGACCGAGAGCAGGGCCCCTCCAGACGATCTTAGTAATCTTGATGGTTCGTAGGGGAGAATACGCTCGGAGAGGTAAACCGGGCCGGAGTCGTTTAGGGCTTTATAGGTTAACATCAGCACTTTGAATTGTGCTCGGAAGCTAATTGGCAGCCAGTGGAGCTGGTGTAACAGCGGAGTAGTGTGCTCCCTGTACCCAGCACCTGTTAGTAGTCTGGCTGCCGCACGTTGTACTTGCTGCAGCTTCCGGGCAGTCTTCAGAGGCAACCCCACGTAGAGAGCGTTGCAGTAGTCTAAACGGGATGTAACCAAAGCGTGGACTACCGTGGCCAAGTCAGCCTTCCCAAGGTACGGGCGCAGCTGGCGCACAAGTTTTAGTTGTGCAAAAGCTCCCCTGACCACCGCCGAGACCTAGGGTTCCAGGCTCAGCGAAGAGTCTAGGAGAACTCCCAGACTGCGAACCTGTGCCTTTAGTGGGAGTGTGACCCCGTCCAGCACAAGCTGTAACCCCGTACCTTGTTCGGTCTTACGACTGACCAGGAGTACCTCTGTCTTGTCTGGATTTAGTTTCAATCTGTTGTCCCTCATCCAGTCAGTGACAGCGGCCAAGCACCGGTTCAGGACCTGAACAGCCTCCTTAGTAGCAGGTGAAAAGGAGTGATAGAGTTGGACATCATCTGCATACAGATGACACCGCACCCCAAACTCCGGATGATCTCTCCCAACAGCTTCATGTATATGTTAAACAACATAAGGGACAGTACTGAACCCTGCGGGACTCCACAGTGCAATGGCCGAGGAGTCGAGCAGGCGCCCCTAGTGACACCTTCTGGGAGCGGCACTCGAGGAAGGACCGGAGCCACTGCAAAGCAGTACCCACTAGACCCATACCTGCGAGGCGTCCTAGAAGGATACCGTGGTCGACAGTATCGAAGGCCGAAGAGAGGTCCAGTAGAACCAACAGGGACACACTCCCCCTGTCCAGTTCCCTTAGAGTTGATTTATGGGTTTTCTTAAGCAAGGAATATTCAGGCCTTTCTACACTGCTGTATAGGGCCCTTCCATACAGCCCTATATCCCAGAATATCAAGGCAGGAAATCCCACAATATCTGCTTTGAACTGGGTTATCTGAATCCACACTCAGATAATAATAACAATAACAACAACAATAATAAACTTTGGGTTGTTGTAGGTTTTTTCCGGCTATATGGCCATCTTCAACAGAAAGGAGGAAACCATGAAAATGAACAAAATCTGGCTACCAGTATTAAAAAAACTCTAAAATTACAACAGCACAACAACAGAGAGGAAACAAACAAGGACATCTAATCACCTCTCAACAAAAGATTGCCCCAGGCACTGCCAGGCCACCAAGGTGGTCAGTTGAAACATTCACATCTAGCTCCAACAGACAAGAGTCCTTTGTCCCACCCTGGTCATTACACAGATATATAAATATAATAAATATAATAATAATAATAATAATAATACTTTATTTGTACCCCGCTACCATCTCCCCAAGGGACTCAGTGCGGCTTACATGAGCCCAAACCCAAACACAACAATACAAGCAATAATAACAACAATACAGCAGTTAAAATAAAAACATAGACAGTAAAAATACACATTATCAATAAGACAACACACAGTTAAAACGGTGGGAAGGCCAAATGTAAAGTTAAAATTAAAAATGCTGGAGCATGGACGAAAGGTGATAGTGGCCTTTGTGGAAGGACATATGAGCAGACCTAAAAATGTAAAGTGCTTTAGAGGACAAAGTACTATGGGATCATTATTCCGGGAAGGCACACTGGAACAGCCACGTCTTCAAGCTCCTCCTAAAGACTGCCAAAGTTGGGGCCTGTCTGATGTCCTTAGGGAGTGAGTTCCAGAGTCGAGGAGCCACCACCGAAAAGGCCCTCTCCCTCGTCCCCACCAATCGCGCCTGCGATGCTGGTGGGATTGAGAGCACCGTCTCTCCAGATGATCGAAGAGATCGTGAGGGTTCGTATACAGAGATGCGGTCACACAGGAAGGCGGGTCCCAAACCGTTCAGGGCTTTATATAAGCCTATATATAAACCCTTTTCCCTAGTTCCAACAGACCTCACTAACTCTGAGGATGGTTTCCATAGATGCAGGCGAAACGTCAGGAGAAAATGCCTCTAGAACATGGCCATATAGCCCAAAAAAACCTACAACAGCCCAGTGAATCTGGCCATGAAAGCATTCGACAATACATATTAAACTTTATTTAATACCTTGCCGACATCTCCCCAATGGGGATTCGGGGCAGCTTACATTAGGCCAACCTCAACAGCATATTACAACAAAGTAAAACCAAAACACAATAACAACACAGTAAAATACATACAACATATGAGTACAAAGACGATAAGCAAAATCATACACAGTAAAATAAAATAACATAACAATGAGTGGGCCACATGTGCAAGATAAAAACTAAAATACTAAAATTACTAAAATGTATTTTCTCCCTTGATATTCTGGGATAAAGGGCTGTATGGAAGGGCCCCCTGATGATCAAAGCACATCTGATTTGAACTGGATTATCTGAGTCTACACTGCCATATAATCCAGTTCTAAATTGATAATCTGGATTTTATATAGCAGTGTAGAAGGGGCCTCAGGGGTAGTTTTGCTAGTCACTTGAAATATATCCGATAGCACCTAGTATTTGTTACTGGTCTCCCATCCAAGGACTAACCAAGACTGGCCCTGCTTAGCTTCCTAAATTAGGCGGGATTTTACGGGTATTTCTTAGGTCCCCTCTACACTGCCATATAAAATCCAGATTATGTACTTTGAACTGAATTATATGGCAGTGTAGATGCATATAATCCAGTTGAAATCGATGTGGACTATCTGCTTTGATAATTTGCCAAACTGCATTAATTCTAGAGTGTAGATGCACTCTGGGTCAGGCCTTTCCTGAGCCTTGGGTTTTTCTGTCCATTTTTTGCTGACTCTCTGAGTGAAGGCGGCAACACTTATCTGGTTTCTGCAGTCCCTGGCACACCCTTGATACACATTTCCCCGAATTTCTTGTGTGGTGGTGGCCCAGGCCCGGCCCAGGATCATGGCCCCAACCCTGGCTCCTGGACTAGTGCTCCATTAAGACATACATAAGGCAATAATCCTCTGAACATGTACAGAGCGCCATACCACAACAAATGATAAACACCCCTTTCCAGGACCAAGAGAAAAAGATTATCAGATCACAATGGTTACTGGTGGTGATTTCCCCACCTCAGTGGGGCCCATGGCTGGATCTGCACTGCCCTATTATCCCAGATTAGCTGCTTTGAATTGGATTATATGAGCCCCCTTCCACACAGCTGTAAAAAATCCACATTGAAGTGGATTATATGGCAGTGTAGACTCAGATAATCCAGTTCAAAGCAGATATTGTAGTTTATCTGACTTGATATTCTGGGTTATATGGCTGTGTGGAAGGGCTCTAAGACATTCATTGAAAAACTACAGCAAAATGTATTGCTGGGTGTCCCTCAAAAACAATATTTTTGCAGTTTAGTAAACTTTTTCCATGTTTTTAATTATAGAACCAATTAGGAAATGATATTTATAACCCAAGAACAAAAATCATGTTACCTTACTTACTTACTTACTTACTTAGGCGATCCCTCGTTGTCCGAGTAGGATAGTCTTCCAAGATCAGTGTCCTGGCGGTGGGTCTGTAGGTGATTGTGGAGCCCTATTCTTGACCTACATGTTCTCCCGCAGTGAGGGCATTGGTTTCCAGGTGAAAGGTGGTCTCGGTCGGGGTTGACTTGACGCACCTTCCTATTGGCACGTTTCTCGCTTTCGCCCCCCATTTGTGCCTCTTCAAATTCTACAGCACTGCTGGTCACAGCTGACCTCCAGCTGGAGCGCTCAAGGGCCAGGGCTTCCCAGTTTTCAGGATCTATGCCAGAGTTTTTAAGGTTGGCTTTGAGCCCATCTTTAAATCTCTTTTCCTGCCTACCAAGATTCCGTTTTCCATTCTTGAGTTCAGAATAGAGCAACTGCTTTGGGAGACGGTGGTCAGGCATCCAGACAACGTGGCTGGTCCAGTGGAGTTGATGGCGGAGGACCATCGCTTCAATGCTGGTGGTCTTTGCTTCTTCCAGCATGCTGACATTTGTCCGCTTGTCTTCCCAAGAGATTTGCAGGATTTTCCGGAGGCAGCGCTGATGGAATTGTTCCAGGAGTTGCATGTGACGTTTGTAGACTGTCCAAGTCTTGCAAGCGTATAGCAGGGTTGGGAGGACCATAGCTTTATAGACAAGCACTTGGTATCCCTACAGATGTCCCAGTCCTCAAACACTCTCTGCTTCATTCAGAAAAAAGCTGCACGCGCAGAGCTCAGGCAGTGTTGAATTTCAGTGTCACTGTTGACTTTTGTGGAGAGGTGGCTGCCAAGGTAGCGGAAATGGTCAATATTTTCTGATTTACAACATTCAGCTGTATCTCTGGCATTGGAGAGGGATTGTCTGGTGACTGCTGGAAGACCACTTTGGTTTTCTCAATGTTCAATGACAGGCCGAGCTTCTTGTATGGTTTTGTGAAGGTGTTTAGAGTGGCTTGTAGGTCTTCTTCTGAATGCGCACTGTGCAGATACAGCTGCAACAGGAGCTCCAGTTTTGTTTGCTTTGCATTGAATGTATGTTGTAGTCCTAAGTTTCATGTACTCTGCAGATAGGTGGCTTCTTTTGGCTGCAATCATAGGGCAAGCCACCTGTCAATTATAGTTAGGTTCCCTGGTCCCACCCCCTTTTTTGGGTTTTGGAGGGAATAGGAGCCAGTTTGGGTTCAGTCCACACAGAGAAGCTTTCCATGCAGGACATAATACCAAGAGCTCCTGTAGAAAGCTTCGTCTTCTAAGGCTTGGCTGTGGAGATATACAGCCCACAGCTTGGCCGGAAGATATACAGCCCTACATATCCTTTGCTGAAGGACTTCAGTCAGCCGTCACGGAAACCTGAACTCCTTTTCCCTTGGAAGTCTACAAAGCTCTGCTTGGTAAGGGTCACTCGCGGAAGCCAGAAGCAGTTGGTACCGGGTGCAGGGGCTCCACGCCAACAGAGGCAAAGACAGACTGCCCAGATTAGAAGTTAAGAATTTCCCCATTAGTTACAGCTATTCAGATAGTGCCTGTTCCCTGTGGACAAGCTTGAGAGAGCGCCAATAGACTGTTAAGAAAGCCTTAAAGTACCTGTTTGTTTTCATTAATAAAGAACTTTGTTGAACCTTTAAGCAATCTAAAGACTCTGTTTTAAGGAAATCCAAAGGCCTTTAGTCTGAGGCAGCCCCGGCGTCCCGTTGGGCACACAGAATTTATGTCCTGTCTACAGTTTTATGCACAGGCCCAGCGTACGACAGCACGCGCACAGACAACATTGTCATCAGCATATTGGAGTTCTATAACATATTGTTGTAACCTTGGTTTTGGCTTTCAGTCTGCTGAGGTTAAATAGCGATGGATGATTTCCACTCCGGTGAGAAGCTTCCCATCAACAAGATGAAGTATCATAGCAATGAAAGCTGGGGCAATAACACATCCCTGTTTGACACCTGATTCCACCTTAACTGGGTCACTTTGGGACATTGTATAATCTGGATTTAGAAACCGGATTATATGGCAGTGTAGATAAGGCTGTATGAGTCACCTTTCTTGCAGGTTTTTCAACAGAGGCTAGATGACCATCTGCCAGGAGGGCTTGGGTTGTGTTTTCTTGCATGGCCAAACCGGATGACCATCTGCCAGGAGGGCATGGGTTGTGTTTTCTTGCATGGCCAAACCGGTTTGGACTGGCTGGCCTTTGGGGTTTCCTTCTAAGTGTGGGATGCTATGATATTTTGATGTAATAGATCAGGGAGAAAGAAAAAAAATGTCTATTGATGGGGTTCCATGAACAACAAAGTTTGGGAACTCCTGCTCTAGAGTATATACAGTATTACAGTGCAGGAAATCCGCGTGGTTGTTGCTGCCCCCTGGTGGCCACCCGCGGGAAGGCACAGGAAGGATCCGGCGGCGTCCTTGCTGGTTGCCGGGCATCAAGGCATTGTGAGCCTGGGCGGGAACCAGCGACGGCGAAGCCGGGAAAGGAGAGGGGTGGCCGGGCAGGCGGGCGGCGCCATGGCCGGCGCTTACCACTGGGAAGCCCGCCGAAGGCAATTGGCGATGGAGCGCCGGCTGCAGAAGATACAGGTGGCTTTGCAGAGGTGGAACAGGGCTGAGCGGGGCGAGGGCAACTCAATAGAACAAGCATAGGGATCTCAATAGGGTAGTGGTTAGCGCGCTGGACTATGGCTTTGGAGCCTGGGGTTCGAATCCCCGCTCAGCCTCAGAGAAAGGCAATTGCAAACACTGGAGGCTCAAATGTGTCTATAATAATTATTTTACAATTTGTAATATATATTGTTAATTATGTAAATAAAAATGTAATGTTCGTTTGTGGGATTAACAGAACTCAAAAACCAGTGGGCCAATTGACACCAAATTTGGACAGCATACACCTAACAACCCAATGTATGTCCTTCATTCAAATTTTTTTTGATTTTGTCATTTGGGAGTTGTAGTTGCTGGGATTTAAAGTTCACCTACAATCAAAGAGCATTCTGAACTCCACCAATGATGGAATTGAACCAATCTTGGCACACAGAAAATATTGGAAGCGTTTGGTGGACATTGACCTTGAGTTTGGGAGTTGTAGTTCAACTATATCCAGAGAGCACCATGGACTCAAACAATGATGGATCTGGATCTGGACCAAACTTGGCACAAATATTCCATATGCCCAAATACGAACACAGATGGAGTTTGGGGGAAATAGACCCTGACATTTGGGATTTGTAGTTACTGGGATTTATAGTTCACCTACAATCAAAGCGCATTCTGAACTCCACCAACGATGGAATTGAACCAAACTTGGCACACAGGACTCCCACGACCAACAGGAAACACTAGAAGGGTATGATAGGCATTGACCTTGAGTTTGGGAGTTGTAGTTCACCTACATCCAGAGACTACCATGGACTCAAACAATGATGGATCTGGATCTGGACCAAACTTGGCACAAATATTCCGTATGCCCAAATACGAACACAGATGGAGTTTGGGGGAAATAGACCTTGACATTTGGGAGTTGTAGTTACTGGGATTTATAGTTCACCTACAATTAAAGAGCATTTTGAATCCCACAAACGACAGAATTGGGGCAAACTTCCCACACAGAACCCCCATGACCAACAGAAAATATTTAAGGCCACTCAGTTCACCAGGGCAAGAAAATGTAATCAGAGCCCTCCTGACAAAGAGCCATAACCCAGAATATCAAGGCAGAAAGTCCCACAATATCTGCTCTTAACTGGGTTATCTGAGTCCACATTGCCAAACATTCCAATCCAAAGCATATAATGTGGGATTTAATTGAGCTGTGTGGAAGAGGCATGAGTCTACATTGTCATGTAATCCAGTTCAAAACAGATAATCTGGGGGCTCTTCCACACAGCCATATAACCCAGAATATCAGGGAAGAAAATCCACAACATTGGTTTTGAACTGGGTTATCTGAGTCCATACTGCCATTACTTAGGCGATCCTTGATTGTCTGAGTAGGATTGTCTTCCAAGATCAGTATTCTGGTGGGTCTGTAGGTGACTGTGGAGCCCTATTCTTGATCTGCATCTTTTCCCGCAGTTAGGGCATTGGTTTCCAGGTGGAAGGCGGTCTCGGTCGGGGGTTGGCATGTTTCTCTCTTTCACCCTCTATTTGTGCCTCTTCAAATTCTACAGCACTGCTGGTCACAGCTGACCTCCAGCTGGAGTGCTCAAGGGCCAGGCCTTCCCAGTTCTTGTTGTCTATGCCAGAGTTTTTAATTTTGTTACATAGTGTAATACAACCTGACAAGAAAATTCTTGATGTTGGATCCCCCACATCTGAAGAGAGTCACTGAATTAGAGACCATTAGTTGCATGTACTATTCCAAAATAGTGGTTCCTCCAAACTGATGTCCTCCCAATCATACCTTGCATTAAAAGATCTATTCTGTGATAGTGATGCATGCCTTCGGCCCACCAATTCTTCTACTGCTTAGACCAAAATGGAAAATTTGAGATGCCTGGGGAGAGGCAATGGCATTTCTGTGTTATCTAATACAAGCTTTTGAGCCTCTAAACTTGGACAGAAACCTGATGGAATGAAGAAAGGCAGTGAAAAATTGCTACACACCCACTAGCAACAATGAGCAAGGGCATACTTTCCTTTCCATAAAACAAGGTAGTCTCGCTCAATTCGTCAAACAAATTTTCGGTGAAACTCTTTTTCACATTGACATTGTGAGCGGCAACACCAATGCCCAGCTCTGCTATGCTAATAATATAATATAATAGAATGTAATATAATATATTGTATCTACATATAATATTTATAATATTATAATGTAATGCAATACAATACTAATACTAATAATATGATAATCTAATTATATATTTATATTACACTAGCTGTCCCCTGCCAGGCGTTGCTGTGGCCCAGTCTGGTGATCTGGAAAATAAAGTAATGAGAAAGTGCTTGTGGGTAAACAGTATTTCTTGCTGTTTCTTTGCCAGTGTTGATGTGGAGAGTGTCTGGTTTGCCCACCCTGGAACATGCAACATATCATTGTCCTTTAAGGGTCCCTTTCAAATCTATGATACTGTATCTATGTGTGTGTGAATCATATCTATCTATCTATCTATATATATATATGGCTGGGTGGCTCTTTGTCAGGAGGGCTTTGATTACGTTTTCTTGCCCTGGTGAAGGAGTTGGACTGGATGGCCTTAAGTATTTTCTGTTAGTCATAAGGATTCTGTGTAGGAAGTTTGGCCCAATTCTGTCGCTGGTGTGATTCAGAACACTCTTTGATTGTAGGTGAACTATAAATCCCAGTAACTACAACTCTGAAATGTCAAGCTCTATTTCCTCTAAACTCCATCTGTGTTCATATTTGGGAATATTTGTGCCAAGTTTGGTCCAGATCCATCATTGTTTGAGTCCATAGTGCTCTCTGGATGTAGGTGAACTACAACTCCCAAACTCAAGGCCAATGCCCACCAACACCAAACCCTTCAAGTATTTTCATTTGGTCATGGGAGTTCTGTGTGCCAAGTTTGTTTCAATTCCATTGTTGGTGGGGTTCAGAATGCTCTTTGTTTGCGGGTGAACTATAAATCCCAGTAACTACAACTCCCAAAGGTCAGTGTCTATATCCCCTAAACTCCATATGTGTTTGTATTTGGGCATATGGAATATTTCTGCCAAGTTTGGTCCAGAGCCATCATTGTTTGAGTCCATAGTGCTCTCTGGATGTAGGTGAACTACAACTCCCAAACTTAAGGCCAATGCCCACCAACACCAAACCCTTCAAGTATTTTCATTTGGTCATGGGAGTTCTGTGTGCCAAGTTTGTTTCAATTCCATTGTTGGTGGGGTTCAGAATGCTCTTTGATTGTAGGTGAACTATCAATCCCAGCAACTACAACTCCCAAATGACAAAATCAATTTTTTTGAGTGAAGGACATACATTGGGTTGTTAGTTGTCTTGTGTCCAGATTTGGTGTCAATTTGTCCAGTGGCTTTTGAGTTATGTTAATCCCACAAACGAACATTACATTTTTATTTATATAGATTTATTATAGTCAGGTAACCTGGCCATCAAAGCAAAGTGAAGATAGCTATTTGCACATGGACAACATGGCGATGATGAATATTCTGATTATTTCAAAACAGAGAGGAAGTGAAGAGAAGAACCCAAGACAGGACCTCGAGGGACAGGCCAGGAACAGCACTGGACTGGTATGGAGCACAGGGGAGGGTGAATGTTAAAGTGGCATTAACTGGGCTAAGCTTGCTTTGTAATTTTCACTGGCTCTCTCTCTGTGTGTTATGTAGACGAGAAGACTCTCTGAAGCAGTGCAGCCTCAGAAAGTCCCAAAAAAGCAGCCCCCCTACCAGAAGTCTCAGAACCGCCCATCAACGCCACCACCTCCACCTCCACCTTCTCGTGGTAAGAGTACAGGATGTTCATAGAAGAGAAGGGATTATTTAGGGGATTATATGGCACTAGCAGAGAGAGGAATCCAACTAGCAGTTCATCCTGTCCTACCTGCTCAAACTTTGCTTACAACTGTTGTTTATAAAGTCTACATGGCTAGAGACTTTATTCCTACAGATTGTGATCAAGTCATTACTGCTTTCATTGAAGTGGGTGATACAGAGACCTGCATCTACACTGTCATATAATCCAGTTTCAGAATGCAGTTTAATGTCATTGTATGGCAGCGTAGACTCATATATACAACATCTGTTATAGAACTCCAGTATGCTGATGACAATGTTGACTGTGTGCATACAGAAGATCTACAAGCCACTCTAAACACTTTCGTAGAAGCATACACGAAGCTTGGCCTGTCACTGAACATTGAGAAAACCAAAGTGTTGTTCCAGCAGTCACCAGCCACCCCCCCCCCCCAATGCCAGAGATACAGCTTAATGGTGTAGCATTAGAAAATGTTGACCATTTCCGCAACCTTGGCAGCCACCTCTCTACCAAAGTCAACAATGACGCCGAAATACAACATCGTCTGAGCTCTGCAAGTGCAGCATTTTCCTGAATGAAGCAGAGAGTGTTTGAGGACCGGGACATCCGTAGGGATACCAAGGTGCTTGTCTATAAAGCTATTGTCCTCCCAACCCTGTCTTCAGACGTCACATGCAACTCCTGGAACGATTCCATCAGCGCTGCCTCCGGAAAATCCTGCAAATCTCCTGGGAAGACAAGCGGACAAACGTCAGCGTGCTGGAAGAAGCAAAGACCACCAGCATTGAAGCGACGGTCCTCCGCCATCAACTCTGCTGGCCTGGCCACGTTATCTGGATGCCTGAACACCATCTTCCAAAGCAGTTGCTTTACTCCAAACTCAAGAACGGAAAATGGAATGTTGGTGGGCAGGAAAAGAGATTTAAAGATGGGCTCAAAGCCAACCTTAAAAACTCTGGCATAGACACTGAGAACTGGGAAGCCCTGGCCCTTGAGCGCTCCAGCTGGAGGTCAGCTGTGACCAGCAGTGCTGCAGAATTCAAGGAGGCACAAGTGGAGGGTGAAAGAGAGAAACGTGCCAGGAAGAAGGCGCGTCAAGCCAATCCTGACCGGGACAGCCTTCCACCTGGAAACCAATGCCCACACTGCGGAAGAAGATGCAGAGCAAGAATAGGGCTCCACAGCCACATGCGGACCCACAAGGAAACCCATAATGGAAGACCATCTTACTCGTCCAACGAGGGATCGCCTAAGGAAGGAAGGAGACTCATATAGTGCAGTTCATTGAGGTTAAAATGCATTCTGAAACTGCATCATCACTGCCTCCTCCTGAGAAAAATGTATAATATCACAAAGGATTACCACCTCACCCGCCTGATAGGAAACCTTCTACAAAACAGGAGCTTTTTTGTTGAGTTCCTGGGCCAGAGAAGCAGATGGTGGAAACAGAAGAACGGCCTGCCTCAGGGGAGCGTGCTTGCTCCATCCATGTTCAACATTTACTCAAATGACCAGCCACTGCCAGAAGGGACAGAGAGTTTAATCTATGCTGATGATCGTGCCATTACCGCTCAAGCAGGGAGCTTTGAGATGGTTGAACAGAAGCTCTCCGAAGCTCTAGGTGCTATGTAAACCCCGCCACCATCTCCCCAAAGGGGACTCAGGGCAGCTAACATGAGGCCAAGCCCAAAGGTACAATACAGCAAAAATAAAATACAAACTGCAGACAACAAAAATTGCATTAAAATAAAATACGTACAGTAACAAAATAACATAAATAAAGCAAATTATCACAATATAAAATTGAACAGAATGGGCAGGCCAAATGGACAAGGTAAAATGATAAAACCCTGGATGAGGTAGGAATAAAAAATATGTGATTGAGGGGATGCTGAGACTTGCCATCCAAAATATAATCCTACTTCTTATCCTGTTTTTGAAACTAATGTACAGTTGGAATATATTATCTGTAGAGAGGCGAGGCATACATGACCCCCAGATATTGTTGAAATACACACCCATCTGCCAAACACAGCATAGCGAAGGTTAAGGGATGATGGAAGGTGGTGTCCAACATCGGTCAGGCGGCCACATGTCGAAGATGAAAGCTTGTCCTGTCTGTGAAGGTGCATAAGGCATTTTATGACTCTTCACTAAATGCACACAACCAGTTCAGCCCTTGCGTTTTTTCAGTTTCCAGGCAAATCAAGGCTTCAGTGCTTCTTTTTGAAGAAACTAATAATTAAAAGTGAATGATTCAAGTTGCATTGTACTCAAATAATGATGATGATGATGATGATGATGATGTATGGATTGTTGATGTCGCAATCCCTAGGTGACAGCAGGATTGCAGAGAAACAACTGGAAAAGCTGACACGATATGAGGATTTAAAAATCGAACTGCAAAGACTCTGGCACAAGCCAGTAAAGGTGGTCCCAGTGGTGATCAGCACACTGGGTGCAGTGCCTAAAGACCTTGGCCTGCACTTAAACGCAATCGGCGCTGACAAAATTACCATCTTTCAGCTGCAGAAGGGCACCTTACTGGGATCTGCATGCATTATTCGCAGATACATCACACAGTCCTAGACACTTGGGAAGTGTCCAACGTGTAATCCAATTCAACAGTCAGCAGAGTGTCTGCTGTGGAATCATCTTGTTGTGTTTTAAATAATAATAATAATAATAATAATAATAATAATAATAATTTAAAGATCAAACTGCAAAGACTCTGGCACAAGCCAGTTAAGGTGGTACCAGTGGTGATCGGCACACTGGATGCAGTGCCTAAAGACCTTGGTCTGCACTTAAACACAATTGGTGCTGACAAAAATACCATCTTTCAGCTACAAAAGTCCACCCTACTGGGATCTGCACGCATTATTCACTTGGGAAGTGTCTGACGTGTGATCCAATACAACCACCAGCATAGTGATCTTGTTTGCTGTGTACCAATCTTTTGTGTTTCTAATAATAATAATAATAATAATAATAATAGTAATAATGCAATAATTATTTGCACTAATAATGTAATTAGTTGCAATAATAATAAACTGTAATAGTTATTTGCACTAATAATAATGTAATTAGTTGCAATAATAATAAATTGCAATAATTATTTGCACTAATATAATTAGTTGCAATAATAATAATAATAATAATAATAATAATTATTATTATTATTATTATTATTATTATTTACCCACCTCTCCTTACAAGGAATGGTCAGAACAGCACCAATATCCAATCTCATGGGTAGGTTAGTCTGAATATTAAAAACTATTTCAAATTATTACAAAGTTCTGTGCCATAATCATGGATCCCTTTGTAAGTAGACCTGTTTAAAGTATTTTATAAGCAAAAATTCAACAAAATTTTGATTATCCATCTTAGAACCCTCTGACCAACTAAGTATTCTACATTTAAATAACAAAACAATCAGGGAGGCAAATGACTCTTACAACATGAACAGCAGTTACCCAAACACAAAGTAGAGGAGACAGAAAGCCACAACCGCTTTGAGTCCCCCCAGGGGTGAGAAAAGCAGTATAGAAATGCAGTTAATAAATAATAATAATAATAATAATAATAATAATAATAATAATTATTATTATTATTATTATTATTATTATTATTATTATTATTTCAGGTACATGTTATGTTACATTTGTCTATAGCGATATAGAAATGTATTTGGGGTATATAGATAAGATGTTGAGCGAGTTCTGTCTAACAATTTGTCAAGGAAGAGACTAACACAGTGCTATTATTTCAGTCACTATCTGAAGAGTTTATTCCTAACTTTAGCTCCCAAGATCAGAACATGAGATTCTTATTTTGAAGCAAACTCAGCTTCTAAACAGAAAACTGGCAAACAGTTATCCACACCTGCCCCCCCCCCCCCACATCGTCCTTGGTGCATGAAATATTAATATGCTGGAGGTATTTGACAAGTCGGTGTAGGATGTCTTGGACAGTAGCTTTGTAAGATGGGTCACATTACAAGGATGCATTGTACTGTCAAACAGAACTCCAATGGAACTTCCACAAATAACCCTGTTTAGATTTTTAGTGTGGTGAACGACTCCTGAGATGACTTGACAGGACAAGCCTTCTGGGGAGATAGGACAGAATATAAATAAAGTGTTGTTGTTGTTGTTGTTGTTGTTGTTATTATTTTAATTCCCAATTCTTCTGTATCTATAAGTGCCTCGTTTATGATTTCAGGTGTTCATAATACACAGCAGTTATCTTAGAAATGTTGATACAACAACCCTGTAAGTCAAGACTTGAAGTTAGTGCCTGGGATTAGAACTTGAAATGTGCTTTTCCAGTTTTGAAAAATGAGTTTAAGTTCTTTCAACATGATGATGTGGACAAATAGCTAGGAAAAGTGAGACCTTACTTACTTACTTACTTACTTACTTACTTAGGCAATCCCTCGTTGGATGAGTAAGATGGTCTTCCATGATGGGTTTCCTTGTGGATTCGTAGGTGGCTGTGGAGCCCTATTCTTGACCCGCATCTTCTCCCACAGTGAAGGCATTGGTTTCCAGGTGGAAGGTGGTCCCGGTTAGGGTTGGCTTGACGCGCCTTCCTCCTGGCACGTTTCTCTCTTTCACCCTCCACTCGTGCCTCCTCGAATTCTGCAGCACTGCTGGTCACACCTGACCTCCAGCTGGAGCGCTCAAGGGCCAGGGCTTCCCAGTTCTCAGTGTCTATGCCAGAGATTTTAAGGTTGGCTTTGAGGCCATCTTTAAATCTCTTCCTGTTCACCAACGTTCCATTTTCCGTTTTTAAGTTCAGAGTAGAGCAACTGCTTTGGAAGACGGTGGTGGGCATCCAGACAACGTGGCCGGCCCAGTGGAGTTGATGGCAGAGGACCATCACTTCAATGCTGGTGGTCTTTGCTTCTTCCAGCACGCTGATGTTTGTCTGCTTGTCTTCCCAAGAGATTTGCAGTTTCCAGGCAAATCAAGGCTTCAGTGCTTCTTTTTGGAGAAACTAACCATTAAAAGTAAATGATTCAAGTTGCATTGTACTCAAATAATAATAATAATACCCAGTGTGCCGATCTGGAGGCAGAGCTGATAGAATCGTTCCAGAAGTTGCATGTGACGTCTGTAGACAGTCCACGTTTCACAGGCATAGAGCAGGGTTGGGAGGACAATAGCTTTATAGACAAGCACCTTGGTATCCCTACGAATGTCCCGGTCCTCAAACACTCTCTGCTTCATTCAGAAAAATGCTGCACTCGCGGAGCTCAGGCGGTGTTGTATTTCGGTATCGATGTTGACTTTGGTGGAGAAGTGGCTGCCAAGGTAGCGGAAATGGTCAACATTTTTTAATGTTACACCATTAAGCTGTATCTCTGGCACTTATCTGTTAGTACCATGTCCATTCTGGCTAAGTAAAGCTACTGGACGAGGACTGGTCAGTTGGGTGTGGAGGCTATAAATGCTTCTTTGAAAGCGGACTTCTTTGAAGAGAATCCACCAACCGCCATGACACCATAACCTCGAATTCTACCAAAAGTACAGAATTTACACTTTATGCTTGGCTCTCACCTTAATTTCTTGCAGAAGTAAAAGAAGAACATTGCCCGTGTAACACCGACCATGTCCTGAAGAACAGTGGCAAACTCTTGAAAAGATACACGGTAAGTGAAAAGACAAAATGAAACAAAGATGTCTTGTTTATGGCATGTCCCAATGCAGCCAACTGTGGAGCAATAAAGTCCTGTGCAATCTATTCTGTCCATACTCTTGTCTTAAGGTTTGTAGCAGGACTGCAGAACGTGTGGTCCTCCAGGTGTTGCTGACTACTATTAGAGTTTGCAACCTTTGCATGCCTATACTCAGAGTGCATCTGCATTGAAGAATTAATGCAGTTTGATTCCACTTTAACTGCCACAGCTCAATATATTGAATAATGGGATATGTAGTTTGGTGAGACACAAGCACCCTTTGGCAAATACGCAACAGGTATTGTAAGATTCAGGCCCCATCTAAATGGCCATATAAAATCCAGATGATCTGCTTTGAACTGGATTACAGTGTTCCCTCGCTACTTCACAGTTCGCTTTTTGCAAACTTGTTGTTTCGTGGTTTTTAAAAAAATGAATTTAAAATATAGTACTGTATACAAGTAGCGAGGGAACACTGGAGAAGGAAGGAGGGGTGGATGGATGGATGGATCTCTGCATAGACTCAGCCTCCTTGCTCTCTTTACCTTCCTCCTCCTCTTCCTCCTCCTCAGCACCACTGCGCATGCGCCATGGAGCAGGGAAAGCAGCACCCAACAGCACCCAGAGAGAGAGAGATTGATTGAGAGAGAGAGGGGCCATCTTCTAGTGGGAGGGCGGACGGGGGACATATGTATATGTATGTATACTGTACATATACTGTAAACATCCCTACTGATGCAACTCGGGGTAGTTTTCACCTTGCTCGACACCACCACACCAAGGCTGTAGGTTTTTGTAGCTTACTGAGAAAAGCAACATCAAAACAAAGAAATAGAAATTCAATAGTGCCATAGGCAAAACAGAGACTTAAATGTAAAGGCAAAGTTCCCAAGGTCCAAAGGCAAAAACATGAAGCATAATCCCTTAGCAATGGTCAAACAAAAGTCCATGGTAAACAGTTGAAAACAAGACCCAAAAACCCAGTCTCAGGAAGCCAGAAGCGTGCTGCGAAAAGCCAAGGAAAATCTCCAGAAGCTAACATTGGAAGAGCAATGTTGGACTGACAACAACTGCCTGTCAGCTACAAGACTAAATACCCTTTGTGAACATGAAAGCATTGCGTTGACCTTGGGCACCTTTGGCATCTCACTTGCTGGCCAAGCAAGTACTTCTCCAAAGCCTTAATTGCAAACGATCTTGTCTGCTCATTAATTCATTATCTGCAAGGGTATGCAACCCCTTATCTGGGTCCAGCTGGGACAGATCCTCCACCTGGCCATATGGGATTTGACTCTCGCTATCAGTCTCTCTAACTACAGGAACATTTCTTTCCCTGGGGAACTGACTTGGTGTTTCTCCTTCAGCAGCCACACTATCAGCCCCGTCTGAAACATGTACAGGAATCTGTAACCCATCAGGCTCCTCGTCACCCTGTAGGAAATCAGGCTCAGAAGGCCCAAAGTCAGGATCAGAAGGCCCAAACAGCTCAGCTTCAGACTCAGTCAAGCTGAGTCACAACATCTACTTCACGGATTTTTACTTATCATCTTGGAACACTGTATATGAGTCTACACTGCCTTATAATCCAGTTCAAAGCAGATAATCTTATAAGGCAGTGTAGAAGACTGGGCTGTGGCGCAGCTAGTTAGCCAGCTGCATTAAATCACTACTGACTGAGAGGTCATGAGTTAGAAGCCAGCCCAGGTTGGAGTGAGCTCCCGACCATTAATAGTCTAGCTTGCTGTTGACCTATGCAGCCCAAAAGACAGTAGCATCTGTCAAGTAGGAAATTTAGGTACCGCTTTATGCGGGGAGGCTAATTTAACTAATTTACGACACCATAAAACCTTCTAGCAGTGTGTGGAAGAATGAGGAAGTACTCCATCAAAGGACTTGGTGTCACAAGTGGATGGTGAAGCGGCAGCTCCCCCTGTGGCCAGAATCGAGCATACCCTCATGAAGCCAAAAAGCTGGAATGTTAAATTGCCTTTGCGTCTGTCTATATATGTTGTATGTCTAGGTGGCACTGAATATTTGCCATGTATATGTGCATTGTAATCCGCCCTGAGTCCCCTGCAGGGTGAGAAGGGCAGAATATAAATAATTTAAATAAATAAATAGATGAGGCCTCAAACTCTCAGGAAGAACCATGGCAATGGTGTCAGACTGCATTAATTCTACGTTATGGATGCATCCTCAGTGGTAGTTAGAATGCACATCATGTTGGCACACCATGTTTAAGTCTTCCCATCCGTTTGTGTGTTTGTTCACACCTACATCAGATAGCCTTTTCTTTGTTCTCTGGGGTCTGATCTGCTTTCGTATCTCTTTTTTTCTCCTTGCCTTTCTTACATGAAGCATATGTGGTAACGTCTTTCTCTGGGTGAGATTCTCCAACTCTCCTGATACAGCGTAGTACTTTCTCTTTTCTTACCTTTCATCAAGAAGATGAACCTGTGCTAATTATGCACAAGAATTCGTGAGTAAAGCTACTTCTGTTACGCAGCGGGGAATGAAAAAAAGGGAGAAGCCAATCAAAGCAAGGGAAAATTGTAGTTGGAATTTGGTATTATGGAGCAAGTTATGAGGGTTGAATGAAAACGAACGCCTCCACCTTCGTAATTCTTACACAGATGGCAGCACTGGTATGTGGCAGGTGCTGGCTTGTTCAGTATACTCTCCTCTACAGTTCCATTTTGGCAGGAAGCCTTAGCATTGAACAGTTGTGTTGTTAAAGTACGAAGTATGGAACCCTGTGCAGATGGTCGGTCAATGCAACTTAAGCAACGTGCAGTCATTGAATTCTTGACAGCAGAAGGTGTCACCTCAAAGGAGATTCATCAGAGTATGCAAGCTGTTTATAGTGGTTGTTTTTTTTTATTTCAAATATTTTTATTGGTTTTCTTAGAATACATCAATACATCAATACCTTCAATAATCTTATTTTCCATCCTCAATTCATTACATCAACCAAAGTGTATATATATCTTGTATACTTCCCCCCCCCCACCTCTGTGCCCCCCCCTTCCGAGCCACTTCAATTTGCATTCTCTTTCCAAAATACCATTTCTTCTTGTGGAGGTAATTTCCCGTCTACTTCTTTTAAGCCATTCTCAATAAATTTTCCCCAAACGTTATCAAAATCATTTTCCTTCCATACCCCTTTCCTGACTCTTAACCTACATGTCAATTTATCATTTATTGCTATTTTCCATAATTCTTTATACCATTCTTCAAGTGATATGTTTATTTTTCCTTTCCAATTCTTCGCTATCAGTAATCTTGCTGCAGTTAACATGTTATCTATTGCATCTGGTTTTTTTTTCAATTTCTTATCATTATATAGTGACAACAATGCAATACTTGCACTTTCCCCTATCTTCATATCCATTATAGCTTCTATCTCTCCAAATACCTTCCCCCAAAATTCATTTACATATTTACATTGCCACCACATATGTATATATGTACCCACCTCCTGGCAACCTCTCCAACAATTTTTTGTGGAATTCCTATTAATATTTGCAATCTTTACTGGTGTTAAGTACCATTTCCAAACCAATTTATAATAATTTTCTTTAACACGTATAGATAAGTTCTTTAAATATGTTTATAGTGATTGTGTTGATGTGCGTACTGTGCGTTGTTGGGTGAGTAAGTTTAAAGATGTTGAGGTGGGAACATCTGACTTGTGTGACAAACAAAGAGTTGGACGTCCTGTGACAGCAACCACCGAGTTTCACAAGCAAAAGGTTGACAGATTGATTCAGGATGATCGACGTATCACTCAGAAATTTCAAGCATAATCAGCATTTCACAAGAAAATGTGGGTCACATTATTGCTTTGCTTGGCTATCGGAAGATCTGTGCACGATGGATTGCGGAAACAGAGTGTCGACTTCTTCTGTGATAGCTTGTTCATCATTGGCAGAAATCTATCCAATTGTCTGGTGATTATGTGGAAAAGTGAATAGTAGTAGTTAAAGAGCACGTTCTAAGGATTATTTTTGCGTCTGATTTATTAAAATATTCCCATCCAAACCCAAGTAACGAAGGTGGAGGCATTACTTTTCATTCAACCCTCGTAAATGAACGTGAGATGGCTGGTCCTCTGGAGACCAAAGAGAAGCAGTGAAGGAAATTGTAGATATGAAACACAGCTCTGATAATTCAAAATAAATTACTCCTCTTGCCAGTCAGATCTGACATATTATTCCTCTTAATAAAAAAGCAGCTTTTCTTAGAAGAACGTGATAGCTAGGATGCATCAGATGACTTAACTGAAGTTGAGCATGTGAGTCCTTTGACACTACACAATAACCATGTGGTACCGATGGTGTCTGTTCTTTTCTAGGCCACTGAGTATGTACAACAGCGTTAACTGCAGAGCAGCTGATAGCTGCCGGAAGAATGTCTCTTCTGTAGCTCTGAATTGGAACTCAGTGTTGCTGACATCAGTGGTGCAAGACTGAATGGCAAAGAGTTAATGATTCCATGCATTGGGAACTCACCTTACCTTGCAATAAAAAACTCTCCCAGGTTGCAGACACAAAGCATGGCTCATTTTATTTATTTATTTACGACACTAGCCGTCCCCTGCCACGCGTTGCTGTGGCCCACATGGGGGTTCTGTGTGGGAGGTTTGGCCCATTTCTATCATTGGTGGGGTTCAGAATGCTCTTTGATTGTAGGTGATCTGTGAATCCCATTGACTACAACTCCCAAAGGTCAAGGTCTATTTCCCCCAAACTACATCTGTGTTTATATTTGGGCATATTCGTGCCAAGTTTGGTTCAGATCCATCATTGTTTGAGTCCACAGTGCTCTCTGGATGTAGGTGAACTACAACTCCAAAACCAAAGGACACTGCCCACCAAACCCTTCCAGTATTCTCTGTTGGTCATGGGAGTTCTGTGTGACAAGTTTGGTTCAATTCCATCGTTGGTGGGGTTCAGAATGCTCTTTGATTATAGATGAACTATAAATCCCAGCAACTACAACTCCCAAACGATAAAATCAATTTTTTTAGTGAAAAACATACATTGGGTTGTTAGTAGGGCTGGGCGGTTTCGTTTCGTTAATTCGTAATTCGTTAATAATTCGTTATTTTTTTCAATTACAAAACGATAACGAACCATTCTGGAGCAATTATTTAAAAAAAACGAATTTTCAAAAACGTTTTGTAAATGCTTCGCATTTCGATATTGTATTCGTTTCGTTATTGTTTTGAGGTCGTTTCGTTATTATTTCTGCATGTCTGGGCCAGTTTTATGGTTTAATTAGTGAAAAAAAATTATAATATCACACCAACAGTCAACAACAGAGGGAGAGGGAAGCTTCAGAAGGTTTTGGAGGTTTTTTAGCGTATTTCGCGGTCGCGTCCGCCATTAACGAATCGATTCGTTATTGTTTCGGAAATCGATTTGTTAATTTTTTACCATTTACGAAATTTCGTAAATATCGAACTTTTTAAAAGGAAAATTTTGTAATTATTTTAAATATCGAAACAAAAAAAAAACCCCAAATACAAATCGATTTTAGAAACAAATTTTTCCGTTGTTACCCAGGCCTAGTTGTTAGGTGTCTTGTGTCCAAATTTCATGTCAATTCGTTCAGTGGTTTTTGAGTTCTGTTAATCCCACAAACGAACATTACATTTTTATTTATATAGATTTATATGCCGCCCTTCTCACCCTGAAGGGGACTCAGAGCAGCTTACAAGGTATATATTACATACAATATATTATATTATTAGCATAGTACAAAATCAGCATTAAACATTGCTATATTGCACCATACTACTATATTGTAATATTATTAGTAATAATATTACATGTAATATAAATATATAATTTTAATATCATATTATTATTATTATTATTATTATTATATTGCATTACATTATAATATTATAAATATATTTCATTTGTGTGAAACTGGGTGTAACCAAGTTATGGCTTTTTCCATTGCTGGTCCTTGAAATGTCCAGCTATTATAGAGCGGCTATTTATCTTTTTTGTGGGAGGCAAAACCTACAATATTTCCAGACGGGGACAAAACCTACAATTTGTCCAGCCATAATTGTGAATTGTGGCTGGAGAGCAGCCTCGCTTCTCTGAAAAGGAAGTGATGGATGTCAGTAGTAAGAATATTTGTAATGAAACAAACTTGACCAGTTTATCCCCTGGTTTGGAGAAAGGGTGGATGAGAATCTGAATCATAGAATCATAGAATCAAAGAGTTGGAAGAGACCTCATGGGCCATCCAGTCCAACCCCAGAAGAAGGAATATTGCATTCAAATCACCCCTGACAGATGGCCATCCAGCCTCTGTTTAAAAGCTTCCAAAGAAGGAGCCTCCACCACACTCCGGGAGAGAGAGTTCCACTGCTGAACGGCTCTCACAGTCAGGAAGTTCTTCCTCATGTTCAGATGGAATCTCCTTTTCTTGTAGTTTGAAGCCATTGTTCGCGTCCTAGTCTCCAAGGAAGCAGAAAACAAGCTTGCTCCCTCCTCCCTGTGGCTTCCTCTCACATACATACATGGCTATCATATCTCCTTCTCTTCTTCAGGCTAAACATGCCCAGCTCCTTAAGCCGTCCTCATAGGGCTTGTTCTCCAGACCCTTGATCATTTTAGTCGCCCTCCTCTGGACACATTCCAGCTTGTCAATATCTCTCTTGAATTGTGGTGCCCAGAATTGGACACAATATTCCAGGTGTGGTCTAACCAAAGCAGAATAGAGGGGTAGCATGACTTCTCTAGATCTAGACACTATGCTCCTATTGATGCAGGCCAAAATCCCATTGGCTTTTTTTGCCGCCACATCACATTGTTGGCTCATGTTTAACTTGTTGTCCACAAGGACTCCCAAGATCTTTTTCACACGTACTGCTCTCGAGCCAGGCGTCCCCCATTCTGGTACCTATTGATCTACTCACATTTGCATGTTTTCAAACTGCTAGGTTGGCAGAAGCTGGGCCTAACAGTGGGAGCTCATGCCACTCCCCGTTTCGAACCTGCAACCTTTTGGTTAGCAAGTTTAGCAGCTCAGTGGTTTAACTCACTGTGCCACCAGGGGCTCCCTACCTGTTTGCCAATCTTATTTATATTGCTTCTTGTTGATTAAAGCTGGTGAGGTAGGGTAGAGGATTAGAAAATTATTTCTTCATCCAAGACAAACTACTGTTTCCTAACCAGGGCAAGAGACATGGGCCTTGGTGACTCATTTCCCTCCTTTTCATTTTTAAATAATAAGTTAGCATAATTTTGCTGCAAAAAAGAGGAAATAGGTAATTAACTGCTCTGTTCCACAGGAAGAGAAACCTCACATCAGGACAATCTAGGGACTATCCATCATTAAGCATGCTGCCTCAGCCCAAAGGAAGCTATGGAGGCATGTACAATTTATGAATAACAATCTTTTATTAGAATGGGAGGGAAAACTGGTCTCTGTGGTAAGTCCAAGGGTCAAATTTGGGTCTCCGTGACTCTAAAACGCTTGACCTTGGTGAAAAATGTGAAAATCGAAATAATGAGATTGAAACGGAAATGCTTCCAGATTGTTGTGTTCATGGGGCTTGTGTCCTGCCAATCCTGAAACTTGCAAAAAGATCTCTGGAAAAATCAGCAGAATTTCCTATAGTTGGAGTAAGTTACAAAAAAGTTTGCACTTTGCCCATCCCCTTGATGTCTACATGAATAAATAAATAATATTTATCACAAATTAGGTCTGGAATGAAAATAGGCAAGGAGAACTCAGTTGATTACAGCAATCATAAAACAATACTTTTCAGATACTCTGAGTCAATAAATAATGGGAATTCCTAAGAAATTGCAGTGTATGGAAGGAACAAGACAAGTCTATTGGCATTGGGTTGTTGTAGGTTTTTTCGGGCTATATGGCCATGTTCTAGAGGCATTTTCTCCTGACGTTTCGCCTGCATCTATGGCAAGCATCCTCAGAGGTAGTGAGGTGCCTCTGAGGATGCTTGCCATAGATGCAGGTGAAACGTCAGGAGAAAATACCTCTAGAACATGGCCATATAGCCCGAAGAAACCTATGACAACCCAAAACTATACAGTGTTCCCTTGCTACTTCATGGTTCACTTTTAGCAGACTCGCTGTTTTAAAAAAAAAACATTAATTTTAAATATATATTGCGGCATTTGCGCTGTTTTGCGGGTTTTTGCCCCCGCCGCCGCTTGCCATAGATGCAGGTGAAACGTCAGGAGAAAATGCCTCTAGAACATGGCCATATAGCCCGAAAAAACCTACAACAACCCAGTGATTCCGGCCATGAAAGCCTTTGACAATCTATTAGTATTTCTTTCTTGCAATGCCTCCCATTGTCCACCAGATAGCACTGCAGACATGCTCCTAACTGACTTCCATGTATGCAAGCTAAGATAAACATACCACACTAATTCAGATAACAATGCATGAAACTATTTTGGAAAATGTCCACATTGCCCAGACAAATATGATATCAATAGAACTTTATTTTTATTCTCTCTCTACTCAAAAGGGGGGAGACAAAGTGAGTGAGTTTTGGATGTAGAAAGAGATGGATTTTTAAAACATAGACATTAAACATGGAATTATTTGTGGTTTCCTAAGACTTCTCTGTGCTATATACTCTCCTCCCCCAATCTCTTTGTGGACACACTACAAAACGCTGACCAATTGATGGGGGAGAAGAATAAGGTATGAGAAGAATACACACAGTGCTTCATTCCAACAAGTGCTTGCCTGCTGAAGTCATGGTGCAAAGTCCAAACAAAGTTCCTCCCTCCTGGTTAAATATGGGCTAACATAGTTTTAACCAATGAAGAAGCCTTAGAGGTCAGCTTCCAGCCCTTCAAGGACTGATAAATCAAGCTCCAGGCCAGCAGCTTCCAGGAAACATTTACAAAAGGTCAATGCAATTTCAGCAGTCAGCCAATGCGTCATGCAGCACAGCTCTAAGCAAGTTCCTTCACACAATCCTGCATTTCTGTGCATTACACAGTGGGATGTAATAAAGCTGCTCCTTTTAGTCAATAATGTCCTCAGATCTTTAAACGAGAAGACATGTCCTGCCACAGATGCTGCCTTCTTGGTAATATTGAATCAAAGCTGCAGATCCTTTCATCCTGCCACTCCCACCTGAATCCCATGGATGGGCTGAAAATGATGCAGCAGCCTTTTCACTGAAGAGAACCAAAGGCAGGCCCACAGCAGCAGCTCCCCTAGGAGTTCACAGCAGCCACAGAAAGCTGTAGATTCATGACATAATGGGGATGATGGCATTGCCTCTGCAGTCCACATACTGGTAGTTTTCAAAGGACAGCTGCTCCGTGTGTGAGAGATAAGAGCAAGTCAGAGTACCTCTGGTGGGAGAGAAAGAAAGGAATGCTCAAGAGAAGAGCAAATGCAAACGTAATGCCTTTAACTAACCATAACATATCTCCCTAATCTGTTCTACAAGCCACTAAACACACAGAAATCCCCAACTTTTACATTGCCATGGCCTTCCAGCCATGGCTCAATGTAAATCCAGGATTCAATCCCAGGATTTTCTTTTCTATAAATAAATATTGAAATAAAATATTCTGAGTATGTGCAGTGATTGCAGGGCGCAGTCCAGGAATCTACATTTGGATTCCTGTGCCTCTCAACCGAAACAGAGACAATTTCTTCCTACGACAGTGATGACAAATAGTGGTGGACTTCAATCTGGGATTATTTCTAGTCAGAACTAGAAATAAATATTGTTGCCAGTATTTGCTATTATTTATTATTTAAAGCATTTATATTCCACCCTTCTCAGGGCAGAGCACAACATATAAACGGCAAACATTCAATGCTGAAACATATTAGACCATACACGTACAAAAGCGTTAAAATTACTTATCTTGATGTTAAAATCCACTAGTTAAAACTGTCTCAACAACCATATCGAATTTGGTTGGCATGCTAAGTGTTCCTATCGCTGCCTCATTGTACAGTCCCAAAGGCTCGGTCACACAACCACGTTTTTATAATCCTTCTAAAGGACAAGAGGGAGGGGGCTGACCTGAGCTCATTAGGAAGGGAGTTTCATAGCCGAGGGGCAATTACTGAGAAGGCCCGGTCTCTCGTCCCCACCAAACGCGCCTGTGATGATTGTGGGACCGAGAGCAGGGCCTCCCCAGATCTTAATCTCCGCGGTGGTTCATATTTGCACTAGCTTCATATGATTGTATCACAAAATAAACAGAAACCAGTCAGAGTAACATAAAAAGGCTAGGTTAATGAGTCAGATCAAGTATTGCCAAGAAATACAAACTTACTGTATGTGCAGTAGAACATTGTGAACTTTTATTCTAGACCACGTGCATATTTTGCTGAAAGAAAACAGAGAAGGGAGTAGTTTTTCGGTTTCAGATATGCTTATCAGTATATTCAACATCCCTGTATGCATGAACTGAGCTGCAATAGCTTAGCTTAGCTGTGTGGTTGTAATTGGAATGCTTTACACTAGCAATTGCAAGCAGAGAGAACCGATAGCTCAGTGGCATGATATGCTCAATTTAGCAATATTATTTCTATGAGTTACACTTCCTAGATTCCCCCAGTCTGCATAGCTACAGAGAAATTGTAGGACTTGTCATCCAAAACAGTAGCTTTCCCAAGCTTTGCCATTTTGTATGCAAATATACACCTGTTTTGTTCTCAACATCTCCACTCCTGGAAGCAGTGCTGAAGGAATATATAACCTAAAACAGCTACTCAGTACTGGGTGGGGTAGATGGTGTCAAGTTCTAGAACTGGATTCAGTTCCCCAAGGGTTCTTTCAGTACTAGCACTGGCACAGGTTACTGCTATAGCATAAGATTTGTCGGTGGTAAATGATACACAGAGAAGCATTCCAGCTCTTTTGCTGATAGGGCCCAGCATCTCTTTACGGTTAATGGTAGAATTGGGCTCCCAAACAAACCCTATGCAGATTATTCTTGGCCACTGATCAAGTTCTCCAAGAGGGAGCCGTTGGGTTAGCACGCACAAGCACACACATCTCAGGTGAGGCATGATGGACAATGGACATCCAAGAGTTATATAATGCAGAAAAAAACTGAATTGTACAAGAATGACCCAATAGCTACCAGAACTGTGCAAGCAGAAGAATTCATTTCACAGATTGTTCCCAGCCTCAAACTGCAGACAAATGTAAAAGGTATCCAAAAAGGTCACTAGAGGCCCCCTCCACACAGCCATACTACCCAGAATATCACGTCAGAAAATCCCACAATATCTATGGTATATACTCGAGTATAAGCCTAGTTTTTCAGCCCTTTTTTAGGCTGAAAGAGCCCCCCTCGGCTTATACTCGAGTCAAAGTTATTTATTATTTTACTGTTATTGTTATTATTTTTATTACATTTACCATTTTACTCTATTATTATTATTATTATTATTATTTCATATACATTATTTTACTCTATTATTACATTTATTATTTTACTCTATTTTTATTATTATTACATTTATATTTTACTCTATTTATTATTATTACATTCATTATTTTTCTCTATTTATTATTATTATAACATTTATCATTTTACTCTATTATTACTATTATTACATTTCCATTATTTTACTCTATTATTATTATTATTACATTCATTTTTTTACTCTCTTTATTATTATTGGAAGGATACATAAGAACATTTACATTGAAGGTTAGAATATTGTTTTAATCAGAGTTGGACAGTCTTATCTTAAACTAGCTGTGCCCTGCCACGCGTTGCTGTGGCCTATAGTAAAACTTATCAAAGTAGAGGTAGATATCTGGACTATTATGAAAGAGAGGTACCTACCTATTCCTTCCCCCTTTTCCTCCCCCTTTCTCTCCTTTCTTCCTTCTCTACCTCTTTCTTTCTTTCCTTCTTTCACTACTTGGTTTCATCCTTCTCTCTTTCCTTCATTCCCTCCCCCTTTCTTCCTTTGCCTTTCTTCCCTCCCTGTTTGCTTCCTTCTTTCACTTTTTATTTCCTTTTATTTCACCACCATCATAACAATAACAATAATGCAATGCATTGCCTCTGGGACCACACCTCTCCCATTCCCCCAGGGTCTAATAGGAATAATAGCATAATAATAATAATAGAAATAACAACCTTTACCCGCCACGTGTTGCTGTGGCCAACCTTCCCTCTTTCTCTCCTTCTTTCACTCCTTCCTTCCTTCCTTCCCTTCCATCTTTCCTTCTCCTCTTCCTTCTCTATCTCTTTCCTTCCCCCTTTTTCTTTCTCTTCTGGTGTCTCTTTTCTTCCTTCTCTCTTTCCTTTCGGGGTGGGGTTTGGAGGTGGCGTGAAGTAAAAGGAGGTAAGATTGGGGCAGGGGAGTGATGGAGCGTGGGGTTGCGTGTGTGTGTGCGGCGGCGGGGGGAGTGATGGAGCGTGGGGTTGCGTGTGTGTGTGCGGCGGCGGGGGGAGTGGGGGTGCGTGTGTGTGTGCGGCGGCGGGGGGAGTGATGGAGCGTGGGGTTGTGTGTGTGCGTGCGGCAGGGTGTGTGTGTGTGTGGGAAGCGGCGCGGCGGGGCTTGGAGTGGGCATGGCTTCCGCAGAGGGAACGTTGGCCGGAAGACTGTGTGCGCGCCAGGGAACTTGCGGCTGGGCACCAATGCGCATGCTCAGTTGTTTTGCCGTTTTGTGAGTGTGTTGTTGTGTTGTTTTTCATTTTGAGTAGATATGTTTGTACCTTGTGGGTTGTGTTATGGGCATGGGAATTTTGGTTAAGTTTCGTTGTTTTTTTTGAGTTTTGTTGTTTTGCCGTTTTGTGAGTGTGTTGTTGTGTTGTTTTTCATTTTGAGTAGATATGTTTGTACCTTGTGGGTTGTGTTATGGGCATGGCAATTTTGGTTAAGTTTCGTTGGGGGGTTGTGAGTTTTGTTGTTTTGCCGTTTTGTGAGTGTGTTGTTGTGTTGTTTTTCATTTTGAGTAGATATGTTTGTACCTTGTGGGTTGTGTTATGGGCATGGGAATTTTGGTTAAGTTTCGTTGGGGTTTTTTTGAGTTTTGTTGTTTTGCCGTTTTGTGAGTGTGTTGTTGTGTTTCATTTTGAGTAGACATGTTTGTACCTTGTGGGTTGTGTTACGGGCATGGGAATTTTGGTTAAGTTTCGTTGGGGGGGTTGTGAGTTTTGTTGTTTTGCCGTTTTGTGAGTGTGTTGTTGTGTTGTTTTTCATTTTGAGTAGATATGTTTGTACCTTGTGGGTTGTGTTATGGGCATGGGAATTTTGGTTAAGTTTCGTTGGGGGATTTTTGAGTTTTGTTGTTTTGCCGTTTTGTGAGTGTGTTGTTGTGTTGTTTTCCATTTTGAGTAGATATGTTTGTACCTTGTGGGTTGTGTTATGGGCATGGGAATTTTGGTTAAGTTTCGTTGGGGTGAGTTTTGTTGTTTTGCCGTTTTGTGAGTGTGTTGTTGTGTTGTTTTTCATTTTGAGTAGATATGTTTGTACCTTGTGGGTTGTGTTATGGGTATGGGAATTTTGGTTAAGTTTCGTTGGGGGGTTTGTGAGTTTTGTTGTTTTGTCGTTTTGTGAGTGTGTTGTGTTGTTTTTCATTTTGAGTAAATATGTTTGTACCTTGTGGGTTGTGTTATGGGCATGGGAATTTTGGTTAAGTTTCGTTGGGGTTTTTTTGAGTTTTGTTGTTTTGCCGTTTTGTGAGTGTGTTGTTGTGTTGTTTTTCATTTTGAGTAGATATGTTTGTACCTTGTGGGTTGTGTTATGGGCATGGGAATTTTTGTTACGTTTCGTTGGGGTTTTTTTGAGTTTTGTTGTTTTGCCATTTTGTGAGTGTGTTGTTGTGTTGTTTTTCATTTTGAGTAGATATGTTTGTACCTTGTGGGTTGTGTTATGGGCATGGGAATTTTGGTTAAGTTTCGTTGGGGGGTTTGTGAGTTTTGCTGTCTGGTTGAACCAACCTAACAGATTTATATATATAGATTACAGTTTTATGTAAATATTCAAAAACATTTAACCTACTGATGCCTCAGTTAATGCACTTTTATTGGTATCTATTTTTATTTTGAAATTTACCAGTAGCTGCTGCATTTCCCATCCTCGACTTATACTTGAGTCAATATGTTTTCCCTGTTTTTTGTGGGAAAATTAGGTGTCTCGGCTTATATTCGGGTCAGTTTATACTTGAGTATATATGGTACTTTAAATTATCTGAATCCACACTGCCACATATTTCAGTTCAAATGTGGATTATCTGCTTTGATAATCCACATTTATCTGCTTTGATAATATATGGCAGTGTAGAAGGGGCCCAAGATAAAAAGTCTCCTGTGCCATTGGACAGCTGTTAATGTTTGTCTATGCTAACAAGAGCTCCAAAACCAACCTGAGTTGGTCAGCAAAAGGATGGTGACAATTCCCGCAAATAAATCCACCTGAAACCTGATCTTCCCATAATGGAGGGAGATTACTGTGATGTTGACTTAGCCCTATTTGAGCACAGAAGGAGACAGACCGGGCTCTGCAACCATCTGGCAAACTGAAATAATTAGATTAATCTAATCAAAGATGTGCTCAGTCACCAGTGTCATTACCTAACAAAATTTCAGTGCTTGGGAAATACACCAATAGCAGCTGAGCTCTCTTCAGTAAACTAGAATATATATATATATATATATATATATATATATATATATATATATATATATATGGTTTTTCTTCCAGGTTTTATTTTTAATACATTCTAGGGGGCCTTCCACATAGTCCTATATCCCAGAATATCAAGGCAGAAAAATCCCACAATATCTGCTTTGAGCTGAGTTATCTGAGTCTACATTCAGATAATGTGGGATTTTCTGCTTTGATATTCTGGGCTATATGGCTGTGTGGAAGAGCCCAAAGTTAACAGATAGTTTGTCATTGAGGGTAAAAATGAAATAGCTGTCATCCTACAAGTAAAAACAAACAAACCCCAGTTAATGAATGCAAACCTTGTTCCGTTTAAACCAAACAGCAATAAAATCTACCTAGATCTTGGTCAATATTGATGTACCTTGTACTTGTTTCTGTAAGTTTTTGGGGTACTGTGCTACATTACTGTAATGAGGATAGCTGTATTATAAAATTTGACCAAGAAAAAAACCCTGCTCAAACTGAGGTTATTTATTACGTACTCTATACTTTAAAAAGAAATCTCAATTAAGTCTGCAACATGTAAATCAACCAACTGTTGATTTACATGTTAACAGCCAGCCACAGTAATACAAAAAGAGAGAAGGCGTCCTTTACTTGATAGGACTACTTAAGAAGGATTAATAGTTCCAACCCCAGAGACAGCTGTCTCAGATATACTTACTAAGTGTTATTATCCAGGATTGTACTGGAGACATTGTAAAGTATCTAAAAATAAATTGAGAAAGAAACAGACAGAATGTTAATGGTGTGTGTTCAACTGCAGCTCATGTGATCCAGCCAAGCAAACACGCTCACACAAATATTCACCTGAGCACCTTGCAGGGGTCGGATGTCCAGTTGGGTCATCACTGTGTTTTTCCCAATCACCAGTGTCTTGTGCAAGACTTCAAGAGCTAGCTGAATCACACGTATTGGGTAAAAGTTGTTGTTTGTCACATTGAGGATATTCTAAAGAGAAAGACAAGCAGGTGAGGAGAAGTGGTGATCTGACACAAGAATTGGTTGGTGTCCATCCATTCAACAGAAGTCTTTCTTGTAATAGGCACCACTGTGCCACTGATGCAGATATTTCAAGAGGAAGGTGCTATGTAATACACAACAATTGCGTAGCTCCTATCTGTAAGGCAGGGTAGGGGTTATATTTGCAAGAAACAGAAGCTGGCAAAACTGCATATTTGGACTGCAACTCAGAATCCTTGAAACTATGTTAGTGGGGAATAGATGGGAATTGTAGTAAAAAAAAAGGAACTTTCCATGTTCTGACTAAGAAAATACCTGGAAATAGGTTTCTCCCTGGTCCCATTTAAACTGCCATATAAAATCCAGATGTTCTGCTTTGAACTGGTTTATATACAGTGAAGACTAAAGCCATATGATCCAGTTCAAAGCAGATCATCTGGATTATCTGCTTTGATAATCTGGATTGTGTGGCAGTGTAGAAGGGGCCTGAGTTACAGTGAAGTGAATAATAGGTAAAATGTCATGTTAAACATCAGGTAGCACTCCTAATACAACCTCACCAGCTGCTGCTCAAAATCAACAGCAACTATCTGCTTTGGATGGGGAGGGTTTTGGAAAAGAAAAAGAGCGAGAGAGGATAATTAACCTCTCTAAGCACCTTCCACATAGCTGTATAAAATCCACATTGAACTATATTATAGGACAGTGTGGACTCAACCCAATTCAAAGCAGATATTGTTGATTATCTGCCTTGATATTCTGGGTTATATGGCTGTGTGGAAGGGCCCTTAGAAACCATCAGAAGTGGCATTCACCTTTTAACCAGATTGCAGGAAGTCCTGCATTGTTTCATAAACACATCAATCTTTCAAGATCTGACATGAACGCTTAGTCCATATGCCTTTCCTCTACCATTCGGCATTTTATACCTTTTCCTTGGACTCCAAACCTGCTAAACAGTCTAAAACAGGGGTAGGGAACCTTTGGCCCTCCAGCTGTGGTGGACTTCAACTCCCACGATTCCTTGAGGCTCGGCATTGGGCCAAGGTAAGCCTTTGGGGCGAATGCCGAGCCTCAAGGAATTGTGGGAGTTGAAGTCCACCACAGCTGGAGGGCCAAAGGTTCCCTACCCCTGGTCTAAAACATGGGACATGGCTAATACAAAACGGGTGGAGGTGATTGTGAAAGGCTAGTGGGATGCATGAGACCACAGGAGATCTTAGAGAGCCTGCTTCCATACACACACACACACACACACACTTTTTTGTCCATCCTTCCGGAAATAAAGCCCGACTGATCAGTGGAGGGAAGGATATTAGAGGCAAAGATGAAGTACTTTGTCCACATAATGAGAAGACAGGAAAGCTTGGAGAAGATAATGATGCTGGGGAAAATGGAAGGAAAAACTAAGAGGGACCGACCAAAGGCAAGATGGATGGATGGCATCCTTGAAGTGACTGACTTGACCTTGAAGGAGCTGGGGGTGACGATGGCCAACAAGGAGCTCTGATGTGGGCTGGTCCACGAGGTCACAAAGAGTTGGAAGTATGTGAATGAATAAACAACAAAATTCTCTAGGCCTAGGTGATATAGGAGCATCTTTAGCAGGTTTGGACCTTTCTGGATCCTTTTTTGATCTAGAAGCATTATTTTGAATTCTGGAACTATCTTGTTAACTTCCTTTTAAAAAAAGTATTTCCTGGGTCTCAATTGGACTAGAGCAGTGGGTCCCCAAGATGTTTTGGCCCTCAAATCCCAGAAATCGTAACAGCTGGTAAGCTGGCTGGGATTTCTGGGAGTTGTAGGCCAAAACACCTAGGGACCCACAGGTTGAGAACCACTGGGCTAGAGGGACCCACACATTGTGGAAACAGCCCATATACCTGCTTTCAAACATTTTTGTTGTTGAAAAAAACTACATTTTTGATCACTGGATTGTCTTTGGGGGGCACACTTTGCCTGCACTAATGTAGAGCAATGGAACATTTACAGTAAGTTACTGAGTCACTAATGTACACATTTTGCAATACATAGCATGGGAATGGCAGGCATGCAACTGCAAACTAATCTACTGCATATATTACTGAGGGAGTGGAAGAAACACAATACTTTAAAATACAGTGTAAATGCTACTTTAAGTGGCCAAATATAATCCTTCCCCCAGGTAACGAGATCACAGAGAACATGTGACCTGCCTCAAGGAGAGGCAGGTAGGAAATAAAATTACTACTACTACTACTACTACTACTACTACTACATGTCCCTCTGGAAGGTTTGAACCTAGAAGTTTTCTTGTTTCAAAGAGCACCAACATATACAGTACTACATTAATCACAACAATACATGCATACTGTGTTAATGATCTGATAGATCTGATAGATCATATTAAAATAATATTAACATTTAAAATGTAAGTATGGAGAAGAGCAAACTACAGACCATCTATTGCAATGCAGCCAGAGCCCTGCCACAGAGGATCTTATTATAGCAACACCAGAGGCACTCCAAGTGGCCAGCTACGTGTCAAAGGACATTTAGTATAATGCCAACTTTGTGTTTTTTTTAAATACATTACAACTATACCCTTGGTTCACTCCTGATACGATAAATAAACAAACAAACACAGCCACAAGCTACTCACAGTCATATTGAGGGTGATGCTGGGAGTAGAATTGTCAAAGGAGATGGAAGAGGCATTGAGACCACTGGGGATCACTGCAATGGAGCGTGGGAACAGGAAATACATCATGAGACATGTCATCAGCAGGCAAATAGCCACTGTAAGGGTTACATACAGCTTCCTGCAACAAAACATTAAAAGCATATCATAGCACTAGTGACAGATCATCTTCCACAAGGAAGTGGGGAACAGAAAGGAAGAAGATGGAGCATCACCAGTGAAAACGCAGACTTACGTTCTTCTGGGTTTCAGTCGCTGATCTCCATATGGAATGAGGGCTACTAGCTGTTGCTCTTGTTCTGAAGCAGGAAAGAAGGGGAGAGAGAAATCAGAGAAGACTTTTGACTCCCTCCACCAGTATGTAATGACAGAATTGGAGAAACATGGGCATTGTAGTCCCTTTGGGGAGACAGGGCGGTCTACAAATAAAGTATTATTAAATCACAGGGTCACCCCTCCATAGTTGTAGAGCGGGGAGTCTCTTAAATGTATCTTTTTGAAAACCCAACAAAAAAGTGCATAGTTCTGACAATTTCTATATCAAACAACACCTTTGGAAAGACCCGCCAATCTATTTTCTACTTCAAGAATTCATAACAGACTGCATCAATCTCAAAGACATGTGGAAAAATCCCAACAGCCAGTTTCCTTGAAATCTCTCATGGTTCTATGGTGGGGGATTAAAGACCTTTGAAGCCCTGTCTCCCATTTTGTAGTCAAATTGCTGCTCTTAGATGCTTCCTGAAATGGAAAATGACATTTCCTCCCCCTCCCCCCAAATATTTTGGGGTTTTTTTTTTGTTTTTTCTTTCTTTTTAACTAAGAGGCCTCAAAAAACAATATAGAAAGGTGGGACTAATCCGCAAGCTGAAGGATCTGTTTCACTGAGGTGGAAAAAAACCCTTTTTCTGCCTGACAATTTTCAGACTGGCTTCAAAGGAGAGAGCGAGGGTGAAAAAAGCCTTGGAAGTTGAACCTACCTCGGGGGATTCTCCCAGTACCCTGGCAAGTAGGACAGGTGACAGAGTCCCGGTTGGCGATGCCTGGCCAAGGTACACAGGACACATCTGCAGAGTCCCCTTCACTGATGCTGGCATAGTATGATTCCTTATCCTCAGCACTTGGGCTTTTTTGTAGAATTGATTTTCCTTCATCTGTCTCACTCCCAGGACACAAGTTCCTTAACCATGAAATTATTTTCTCCATTGCTCAAATATAGTCTTCCTGGGGCAGGAAGCGATGACTTATTAGTACACCAAAATCTGGGCAAGCTGATAAATTCCCTCAAGCAGTGATTAATTTCTGAAATTAGAAATTGTAAAACTCAGTACACTTGTAACACACATTTTGTATCATAGTACTATATTCTCAGGCTCAATTTCTGTACCTATTCTGGAATTTTTTACATCCAGACACACGCTTGGCTCCTTGGGCTGTTGCGTTTACTACTTTGCCTGTTTAAGAACAAAGGGAATTGTTTTACACAGTCAGATTATTGACCAAACTGACTATTATACTGATTAGATGCAGACATGCAAGGATATCAGACAAGGGTCTTTTCCCACCCTCCCTGGGCTTGATTTTAAGTCAATAAAGTGTCAGCACTGGAAAGTTACTTCTTAGGAAGACAATTCTCAAAATTCCCCAAACAAGACATGACTATGTCAAGTCAACTTTATTTCTATCCCGTCCCATCTTCAGTGGGATCCTGGGCCCTTCCAAAGAGGTAACTTTTCCAAGTGTGATCACTGGCCGAACTTGGGACCCTTCCACACAGTCATATTACCCAGAATATCAAGGTAGATAATCCACAATATCTGCATTGAACTGGGTTATCTGAGGGCCCTTCTACACAGCCCTGTATCCCAAAATCCCAAGGTAGGAAATCCCACATTATCTGAGTGTAGACTCAGATAACCCAGTTCAAAGCAGTTATTCTGGGATTTTAAATAGTGTGTGGAAGGGGCCTTGATTAGTACTGTCTAAGGGCCCTTCCACACAGCCTTATGACCCAGGATATCAGGGCAGATAATCCACAATATCTGATTTGAACTGGGTTATCTGAGTCCACACTGCCATATAATCCAGTTCAATGTGGATTTTATATAGTTGTCACTTCAGTTGGAAACAGACTGTGGTCACTTCAGAGAATAAAAGCCTATACCCAAATGTTAATATTCATTTGGTGGCAAACAGAATGGTGTCCCCCTCCCCCCAACAACTGCAATGTCTGTTTGACTAGAGGTGACAAAGGACAAAATAAATATATGCACATGTAGGAAGTTAAAGGTCTCTCAAGTCAAGCATCTCAAAGCTTTTGTTTTCCTGCAGCTTTATAACATGAGTTTGCAAGTATGGTTGCGTGATATTTTACTCTACAGACACATAATCCTTCATTATGTAGGCATTTTAGAAATTATCATGTATCTTAATAATACTGCCAACTGCTTGGGTATATAAATCCTTTGTATTCCTGAACTGTAGTGCCCTCTTCATATTGCTATCTACCCCTAAAAATTGTCTCTGAGATCCCTTCTACACTGCCATATAATCCAGATTATCAAAGCAGATAATCCACATTATCTGCTTTGAACTTGATTATATGAATCTACACTGCCGTATAATCCAGTTCAAAGCAGATAACCTCGATTTTATATGGCAGAAGGGGCTTGACTCAAATCAACATTTCTCATACTTCTGATTTCCTACATTGGTGTAAAATAACACAATGTAAAAACAAAGCAATGGAGAGTGGTTGAGAAATAAGAGATCTTTTAGATGTGTTCTTATTTATGTGTTACTAGACATATTCTTGACACTGTTAGATTTTATTATTATGAAGATGTTGGATTTACCTGCTCTGTTTTTTGAATTAGTTCTAATCCAATTTAGAAATCACTTTGAGGATGTACAAGGCATACAATAAAATAAATAACGTAACAAAGAAAACTGAATTAAGATTACTTGTAAAAGATTTCTCAAAAGGAAATCACTATATGAATAATGAACTAGAGAATGATATCTCTTACATCAGAGGCCCCTTCCACACAGCTGTATAAAATCCACATTGAACTGGATTATATAGCAGTGTGGAAAGGTCCTGAGAAAGATCAAGGATGCAATTTTCACATACTCTGGGCCTCTGATGGGTTAAACCAGGGGTCCTCAAACTAAGGCCTGGAGGCCGGATACGGCCCTCCGAGGTCATTTACCCGGCCCTCGCTCAGGGTCAACTTAAATCTGAAATGACTTGAAAGCACACAACAACAACAACAACAACAACAACCCTATCTCATCAGCCAAAAGCAGGCCCACACTTCCCATTGAAATACTAATAAGTTTATATTTGTGAAGATTGTTCTTTATTTTTAATTATTGTATTGTTTTTTGCACTACAATTAAGATATGTGCAGTATGCATAGGAATTAATTCATGTTATTTTTTTCAAATTATAATCCAGCCCTCCAACAGTTTGAGGGACTGTGCCCTGACCCTCTGTTTAAAAAGTTTGAGGACCCCTGGGTTAAACTGTCCCATTTTTGTAAAAATAGATCAGAAATCACAATTAGGGGGCATTACTTATCTACTTCTGGTTGTAATTTACAGGTCCTGGGTTCCTTTTGAGGGAAGAGTGCTTTTATTACCCCTCCTTTAAATGGAAGAAATTATCTATTAATATTATGCTCTAATAATATTTGCAATTCAGAGGAGAGTCTCTTTTAAAGAGTTTTTGCTGAGGGAGTGCACAACTGGATCGACTTCTGAACAGGGCTTTTTTATTTATTTATTTATTTACGGTATTTATATGCCGCCCTTCTCACCCTGAAGGGGACTCAGAGCGACTTACAATATATATTTTCATACAATATATTATATTATTAGCTTAGTACAATATCAGTATATATTACTATATTGCACTATACCATTATATTGTAACATTATTAGTAATATTACATGTAATGTAAATATATAATTATAATTAAAATATTGAATTATTATTACTAGTATTATATTGTATTACATTTTTTTCTGCTGTAGATTCATTACATGGGAGACTTATTCTAGCTGTGCCCAAGTATGGAGGATTTATAGTATACTTCTGCTAAGGTTGACTTTTTAAAAGAAACTTGGTGATTTGAAAGTAAATGTACAATTTTAAAATCAATATGCATGTTTTCACAGGTTCCCTTTGGACTCCATTCATGTTTGTTTTTTGATTAGCGTTGCCATTTGTTATTGTAAAAGTGAGTTGTGCAATAAAACACTACAGAGTACTATTAGTGTTCAGGGTGCTGCTCAGTCATGTCCTCCGTCCAGGACAAAATAAGCTGACAAAGTGCAAATAAAGCAAAGTGAGCTTACTTACCTGACAAATAGAGAGGGCAGAGGCCAACAGAGGATCACTCCCAGATGTTCCCACTCAAGCTAAGAATCGAAGGGAGGGAGTACTAGGAGATATTTCCACTATTTCCCATCAATGTAGTCTCCCAACCAGTCAAATGTTTACATTTCCTTTAAGGTGATCTTCTTAAATGCTGTGTATCATATCTACAACACATAAATTAGATACGAAATAGAAAAGAAACGGAAAGGACATGAGATCATTATTGGGTTGAAAACATTTGATAATGGGGACCAAGTCCCTGGAACTTAAGAGCAAACTTTATTTGAAAATTTAATGGATTTAAGGTTTTTCCATTAATTTCCCCCTTTTTAAATGAAGAAATAATAATAATAATAATAATAATACTTTATTTATACCCTGCTCCATCTCCCCCAGTGGGACTCGGTGCGGCTTACATGAGGCTATGTCCATAAGTGCAGTACACACAATATAACACAAAAGCATAACAAAACCAGAAAATAAAATGCATAAAATGCAAAACCAATATAATAAGCGACACAACAATATAAAATCAAACATTAAAACACAAAAAATTTCACTGGGCAGGACGAGAGAGAAGGCCTTCTCTCTCGTCCCCACAAGTCACACTTGCGATACAGGCAGGGGGGAGAGAAGAGCCTCTCCGGAATCATAGAATCATAGAATCAAAGAGTTGGAAGAGACCTCATGGGCCATCCAGTCCAACCCCCTGCCAAGAAGCAGGAATATTGCATTCAAATCACCCCTGACAGATGGCCATCCAGCCTCTGTTTAAAAGCTTCCAAAGAAGGAGCCTCCACCACACTCCGGGGTAGAGAGTTCCACTGCTGAAAGAGATCGTGTGGGTTCGTAGATGGAAATGCTGCATTTGAGCCACATATCCACCTCCCTGCTATGCCAGCTCCACTGGCTGCCGGTCCATCTCCGAGCCCAATTCAAAGTGCTGGTTGTGACCTATAAAGCTCTATATGGTTCTGGCCCAGCTTACTTCTCCGAACGCATCCACCCCTACGTCCCACCTCGTAATCTAAGATCATCCGGGGAGGCCCTGCTCTCGCTCCCGTCAACAGCACAAATGCGTCTGGTGGGGACGAGAGACAGGGCCTTCTTGACTGTGCCCCCCCCCCCTTATGGAACACACTCCCAAATGAGATAAGATCCACTCCCTCCCTCCTGGCTTTTAGAAAAAAAATCATGGTTCTGGGACCAGGCCTTCGGATAGTAGATGTATGTAGTACTTTAGAGAGACATTGACTGGAACGGCGATTTGACTGACGAGACTGTTTTAATGCTTGTTGATTTATTGTTTTGATTATAATTTATGTTTAATTGTGGTTTTACTATTGTAATTGTTTGTATTGGCATTGTATCGGTGCCCAATGTAAGGCATTGAATCTTGCCATTAATGTGTAAACCGCTTTGAGTCCCCCCCAGGGATGAGAAAGGCGGTATATAAATACTGTAAATAATAATAATAATAATAATAATAATAATAATAATAATAATAATAATAAATACATTGACCACCTCTTTTCTTTCCCCTTTATGCAGAATATCCATGTCTCCAGTATGTCTATCTAAATCTACATTTGTGGGTTTAACTTTTGTGAATTTGATTATTTGCTGATTAAAGTAAAAAAAGGTTTGCCCAGGAAATCTCTTGGTCCTCCAACATATCTCTAGGATCAACTTCCAGCAAAAGCTGACCCAAGAATCACACTGGAGGACCTAGAAATCCCTAGAGGTGTGTTCTCTCAGGTTTTTTAAACAAGCATTTTTTAAAAATCTCCTTTTCCCCACTTTTGCAGTAGTCCTGTGCCCTTAATCCAAGTGAATCAAGAGAAGTGGGAACGGGGAGGAGCCAGGATTACACTATAGATCTGAAATGAAGAAGTTTCTCCTTGACTTTCAGAGTCATTTAAAAAAAACAACAACAAATTACCCAACAACAAAAGAACAAGTTCCTTTTCAATGAGGCAAGTTTCGATTAAACTGAGAAGGTGATTTCCCAGATTATATAATGTTATAACGGGGTTGTTCTTCTTCTGTGGAGTTTGATGTCTCCGTTTCCCCCCCCCCCCCCCCCCTGGGATGACCATAAATATTTATAAATATCTTCTCAAGACCATTAAAGAATTATAGTAATATATAGTAAATTTTGTTTGGTTGAATACTGCAAGTGGGTGCTAGAAATAATATGAAATGAAAGCTGACTGGCACAACCCTGGGGATCACAACCAGATACAGTGAAGACATCTGCCTTTGTACTTTGCTACTCTGCTGCTGAATACGCATGCCCAGTGTGGAATACATCTCACACGTTAAACAGTGGATGTGGCTCTTAATGAGACATGCCACATTAATACAGGATATCTGAGGCCCCTTCTGCTATACTGCCATATAAAATCCAGATTATCTGCTTTGATCTGTAACTTGCCTCGAAAGGAGGGTACAAAATAAAATAACAACAACAATTATTATCATTTTTAGTCAGTGTAATCTCAGACCCCTTCCATGCTGACATATAATACAGATTAGCAAAGCAGATAATCCACATTATAACTTTAAATGAGCCTTAAATTAACTTCTCTGTCTCCTCTACATCTGATGTGCATTTTCCTCTTTAAATAGAGGAAACTCCCAGATCCCATTCATACTCGCAATTAGAACCAAACTTAGCAGCAGAGTATCTTGTGAGTATACACCTATTTGGTGAAATATATTGGTAAAACATTTATTTTGGTATATATAACTTTTAAATGTTAATAGCCACAATTTGTTCCTTTTACCTAGATCCCATTGCAAAAAATTTAAGTATCTCTTATGAGAACGTATGTAAAAGACTGAATTTTGTAAGTATTTCTAAATGTATTCTATTACATTATGTTCAACCTATACAATTGTAAAATGCATTTATGTATGTAATATTACAGACCACCCGAAGAAGGCCTAAACAAAGGCCGAAACCGGTCGTGGGAGGCTGATTCAAGAACATACAACAACATCACTGAAAGACTGTGCAAAACTTATTTCATGTTGCTTAATTTTGTGATTACTGTGAATTGAACAGTCTAAGTTTCACAGCTTACCTATTTGTTGGACTCATTCATTATCTTATCTGTATAAGTGGATTAATCACTGAAAGACTGTGCAAAACTTTTCATGTTGCTTAATTTTGTGATTACTGTGAATTGAACAGTCTAAGTTTCACAGCTTACCTATTTGTTGGACTCATTCATTATCTTATCTGTATAAGTGGATTATTGGTGTTTAACTGGTCTACCAAGGAACCCATTCATATTGTATAATCCAGTTCAACCAGATAATTTGGATTATCTGCTTTGATAATCTGGATTAAGTGGCAGTGTAGAAAAGGCCTGAGATCACTTCTGCATTGCTCTATAAAATCCAGATTATTTTCTTTTAACTGGATTATATAGCAGTTTAGACTCATGTAGATTATCAACTTTGATGATCTGGATTATATGGCATTATAGAAGGAAACAGAAACAGGAGCTTAGCCTGTATAGCCAATGCAGTTTCCCCCCTCCAAAAAAATCCCAGGAATAGGCCTAGAAACCAAGAAAAACTGTGAAATAATAATAATAATAATAATAATAATAATAATAATAATAATAATCTCTCTCTCTCTCTCTCTCTCTCTCTCTCTCTCTCTCTCTCTCTCTCTCTCTATATATATATATATATATATATATATATATAACTTGTGACCTGCCACTCTTCAGGTCTTGAAGTGGTTTTTTAAATAGTTTTTTTCATAGTTTGAGGCGGGTTGTATTGCTAAAACACAGAATCAAAACACAGAATCATTTCAAAACACTCTACAGACTACACAGATTCAAACATATTCCCATAAAATACACATTAAAATACATAAAATGAAAGTTAGACATAGCAATAATAATGTCGCCATGGCTCAATGATGTGGAATCACAGGAAGTTGTTGTTTGACAAGGTCTTAAGTGTAGATCAGGTATGGGTGAACTTAGGCCTTGGAAGCATAGAGTTGGAGGAGACCACATGGGCCATCTAGTCCAACCCCTGCCATGCAGGAAAAGCACAAAGTATCCCAATATACACAATAATAGTACATCTACACCAGGTATGGGCGAACTTAGGCCCTCCAGGTGTTTTGGACTTCAACTGCCACCATTCCTAACAGCCTCAGACCCCTTCCTTTTTTTAAGCCTATTTAAGGGCCCTTCCACACAGAATATCAAGGCAGATAATCCACAATATCTGCTTTGAACTGGATTATTTGACTCCACACTGCCATATTATTCAGTTCAATGTGGATTTTATATGGCTGTGTGGAAGGAGCCTTCGATACGTTGTTTCCGACCAAAGGCAAACTTTACCACAGGATTGTTTCACAGTTAGCCTTTCCTTTGAGGCTGAGAGAGTGTTACTCAGCTAAGGCGGCTTTCACGGCTGCCGGGTCTCCACGAAACCTGTCTTAGGCCAACAAAGTCACATACTCTCAGCCTCCAAAGGGAAGCAAACTCAAAACTACACCATGTGTGGTGTAGGCAAAGAAATAAGGAAGGAAGAGTTCTTTCTTGAAGGAAATGACACATTTGTGTGCCACCGCCAGTGCCCTCAGGGTTGAATTTCAACGAAATTATCTCAGGTGAGGGGACGAAGTCCCCTCACCTGAGATAATTTCGTTGAAATTCAACCCTGAGGGCACTGGCGGTGGCACACAAATGTGTCACTGCCTTCCTTCAAAGAACACGAAGGAAATAAAGGAAGCAAAGACAAGAATTTTCCTTGAGGAGCGAAGTCTCATTTGGCTCCTGAAGAGAGGACAAAGTTGGCACCTGTTTGGTGCTGCATCTCACCCTGGAAGAAGGCCGACTTTGTGCCCCAAGGAATCGACGTTTCCCCCCAAAATACCACAACACACAACGCAGAAGCGAAAGCGACCCAGCCTTCTTCTCTCTTTCTCCCTCCTGGCTGTGCTTGAGGGAGGTGGAAACACCACAAGGGCTCCACCCCTCCTCGACTTCCCTTTCTCTCTCTGCCATTAAAGCAAGAGTCCTCCCACCTTCCCTCCCTCCTTCTCTCCACAACATCTGGCAGTGTAGACTCATATGATCCAGTTCAAAGCAAACAATCTGGGATCGGATCCTGGGATACAGGGCAGTGTAGATCCACCGTTTCAAAATACTCTATAGACTACACATATTCAAACATCTTCTATATAAATGAAAATGTAATGTTTGGGTTGTTGTAGGTTTTTCCGGGCTATATGGCCATCTTCTGGAGGCAATTTTTCTCCTGACGTTTCGCCTGCATCTATGGCAAGCATCCTCAGAGGTAGTGAGGCAAGGATTAGCACCTTGATTAGCATTCAATGGCTTGGAAGGGCCTGGGGGGAATCATTTGTTGAGAGTGATTTTATGTGCCTGTTTGTTTCCCCTCTGTTGTTTTGTTGCAAACTACTCCAACCAAAGAAATCAGCCATAGCAGAGCACCTGATGAACCAACCTGGACACAGCATATTATTTGAGAACACAGAAGTGCTGGACCACTCTCACGACCACCATGTCAGACTACACAGAGAAGCCATTGAAATCCACAAGCATGTGGACAATTTCAACAGAAAGGAAGAAACCATGAAAATGAACAAAATCTGGCTACCAGTATTAAAAAACTCAAAAATTACAACAGCAAAACAACAGAGGGGAAACAAACAGGCACATAAAATCACTCTCAACAAAAGATTCCCCCCAGGCCCTTCCAAGCCATTGAATGCTAATCAAGGTGATCTGCTGAAACATTCACAGCTAGCCCCAGCAGACAAAAGTCCTTTGTCCCACCCTGGTCATTCCACAGATATATAAACCCATTTTTCCTACTTCCAACAGACCTCACTACCTCTGAGGATGCTTGCCATAGATGTGGGCGAAACGTGAGGAGAAAAATTGCCTCCAGAATATGGCCATATAGTCCGGAAAAACCCACAACAACCCAATGTAATGTTTGCTTGTGAGATTAACAAAACTCAGAAACCACTGGACGAATTGACACGAAATTTTGACACAATACACCTAACAGTCCAATGAGTGTTCATCGCCCCTAAAAACACAAAAACCCCAGCAGAATGGACTTAAAACCCCCCAAAATATACCATATATACATATACACATACACTCATATACACATGCACACATACACAAATATATACCCAAGCACACACAAATACATATAGAATCATAGAATCATAGAATCAAAGAGTTGGAAGAGACCTCATGGGCCATCCAGTCCAACCCCCTGCCACGAAGCAGGAATATTGCATTCAAATCACCCCTGACAGATGGCCATCCAGCCTCTGTTTAAAAGCTTCCAAAGAAGGAGCCTCCACCACACTCCGGGGCAGAGAGTTCCACTGCTGAACAGCTCTCACAGTCAGGAAGTTCTTCCTCATGTTCAGATGGAATGTCCTTTCTTGTAGTTAAGCCATTTTTCCGTGTCCTAGTCTCCAAGGAAGCAGAAAACAAGCTTGCTCCCTCCTCCCTGTGGCTTCCTCTCACATATTTATACATGGCTATCATATCTCCTCTCAGCCTTCTCTTCTTCAGGCTAAACATGCCCAGCTCCTTAAGCCGCTCCTCATAGGACTTGTTCTCCAGACCCTTGATCATTTTAGTCGCCCTCCTCTGGACACATTCCAGCTTGTCAATATCTCTCTTGAATTGTGGTGCCCAGAATTGTACACAATATTCCAGGTGTGGTCTAACCAAAGGCAGAATAGAGGGGTAGCATGACTTCCCTAGATCTAGACACTATGCTCCTATTGATACAGGCCAAAATCCCATTGGCTTTTTTGCCGCCACATCACATTGTTGGCTCATGTTTAACTTGTTGTCCACGAGGACTCCAAGATCTTTTTTACACGTACTGCTCTCGAGCCAGGCATCCCCCATTCTATATGTACATGTGTATATCTGTATATGCATATACATATGCACACACAAATATACCCATGCACGCATACATACACACATATATACAAACAAATATGCATATAGACAAGCACGCACATGTACACAATATACATATACAAATATAAACACACAGATATACACACACATCTACATATACACATATGCACACACATATATACACCAATATACATACACACACTTATATACATATACACATGCACACACAAATATATACACACCTATAAACACATATATACAGACTTGCCACAGCAACGCGTGGCATGGGACGGCTAGTATTTCCATAAAATACATATTAAAATACATAAGTTAAGACATAGGAATAATAATGTTGCCATGGCTCAATGATGTGGAATCACGGGAAGTTCTCGTTTCACAAGGTCTTGAGTATAGATCAGGTATGGGCAAACTTGGGCCTTTCTGGTGTTTTGGACTTCAACTCCCACCATTCCTAACAGCCTCAGGCCTCTTCCTTTTCCCCCTCAGCCACAGCCTGAGGCTGTTAGGAATGGTGGGAGTTGAAGTCCAAAACACCTCAAAGACTCAAGTTTGCCCATTAAGTGCCGAGGGGGGAAAGGAAGAGGCCTGAGGCTGTTAGGAATGGTGGGAGTTGAAGTCCAAAACACCTGAAAGGCCCAAGTTCGGGTATTAAACGCTGAGGGGGAAAAGAGGCCTGAGTTTGTTAGGAATTGTGGGAATTGAAGTCCAAAACACCTGAAAGGCCCAAGTTCGCCTATTAAGTGCCAAAAGGGGGGAAAGAAGGGGCCTGAGGCTGTTAGGAATGGTGGGAGTTGAAGTCCAAAACACCTGAAAGGCCCAAGTTCGATGATTAAGCGCTGAGGGAGAGAAGGACGAGGCCTGAGGCTGTTAGGAATGATGGGAGTTGAAGTCCAAAACACCCGAAAGGCCCAAATTTGCCTATTAAGCGCCGAGGGGGGGAAGGAAGGAGCCTGAGGCTGTTAGGAGTGGTGGGAGTTGAAGTCCAAAACACCTGAAAGGCCCAAGTTTGCCTATTAAGCGGCTGAGGGGGGAAAGGAAGGAGCCTGAGGCTGTTAGGAATGGTAGGAGTTGAAATCCAAAACACCTGGAAGGCCCAAGTTCGCCTACTAAGCGCTAAGGGAGAAAGGAAGGGGCCCGAGGCTGTTAGGAATGGTGGGAGTTGAAGTCCAAAACACCTGAAAGGCCCAAGTTCGCCTATTAAGCGGCTGAGGGGAGAAAGGAAGGGGCCTGAGGCTGTTAGGAATGGTGGGAGTTGAAGTCCAAAATACCCCAAAGGCCCAAATTTGCCTATTAAGCGCTAAGGGAGAAAAGGAAGGGGCCTGAGGCTGTTAGGAATGGTGGGAGTTGAAGTCCATAACACATGGAGGGCCCAAGTTCGCCTATATCTGGTGTAATGTACCATTATTGGGGTGCTTTGTGCTGCATGGTGGGGGTTGGACTAGATGGCCCATGTGGTCTCCTCCAACTCTATGTGCTTCTAAGGCCCATGTGTCAAATTCAAGGCCTGCAGGCCTAATCTGGCCCTCCCATGTCTTTTTATGTGGCCTTCCAGATGCTGGACTACAACTCCTGTCTTCCTCATCATTAAATACCCATGACTCCAGATTATGGGAGTTGTGATAGTCACATCCGAAAAGCTGTGGTCTGTTTTGTTTAACCAGGAGAGTATGGTTTGAATTTAAATCCAAAGGTTGTGGATACGATGTCTGATTTTAAAATGTCCTCTTTGTCCCCGACCTCAGAGTTGCAAGTGCTGCTGGGTTGCAAGTCCCATTATCCCCAGTCTGCATGGTGGATAATTAAAAGCGATGGGAGTTGTCGCTGACATCCGGGAACGCAAACTGTGACTACTGTGCAAAAATATAGTTTCATGTATGTTTCATAAACATCTGATACTAGGTCTTACCAAACATTTAATGTTGGTGACATGCATAGTTTTGCGACACAGTCGTTCAGTTTTACAGTAGAGTCTCGCTTATCCAACCTTCGCTCATCCAACGTTCCGTCTTATCCAGTGCAGTCTGCTGTAGTCAATGTTTTCAATACATTGCGATGTTTTGGTGCTAAATTTCTAAATACAGTAATTACTACATAACATTGTTGCGTATTGAACTGCTTTTTATATCAATTTGTTGCAAAACATGATGCTTTGGTGTTTAATTTGTAAAATAATAATAACACTTAATAATAACAACGAAGGGGACTCAGGGCGGATCACAAGTACATATACATGGCAAACATTAAATGCTGTTTGTATATAGTACATAGACAGCAGAAGGAGGTGTTATTTCAGTGCCATGAACACCTGGGCTTGAATCCACAGGGGGTGCTGTCGCTCCATCCTCTATGACGAAGAGTCGTCAGGACTTCCTCATTCCAGCATTTTCTGATCTTCTTTTTCTTTATGGCATTATAAAACACCTCCCCCGCTTTTAGCGGTACCTAATTTATCTATAGCTAAAGCTGTTTTCGAACTGCTTAGGTAAACAGTGAACAGGGCTGATGGTCGGCCGCTCATGCCGATCCAGGGCTTTGAACTTGCAACCTTTTGGTTGATAGATCTTATAGTTGCTGATGATTTACCAGCTGTGCTAAACATCCAGCCCAAAAGCAAAATTTGACGTTTAATAGGCTTTTCTTTAATACCTCCTTATCATCCAACATTTTCGCTTATCCAACGTTCTGCTGGCCTGTTTATGTTGGATACTGTACTTGCAAACCATCACCTTCACAGGATGCAGACACATTTTGTTGAAATTCAACCTTGAGGGCACTGGCGGTGGCACTGAAGTGTGTCACTGCCATCCTTCAAGGGACATGAAAGAAAGAAAGAGGGAAAGTAAGCAAAGACAATAGTGAAATGTATGGGGGCGCAACCTATTGCATGAAAACCTTTCATTTATATATTTCTAAAATGATTTATTACTTAGTACATATGGTAGGAGCCCCTGGTGGCGCAGTGGGTTAAAGCACTGAGCTGCTGAGCTTGTTGACCGAAAGGTTGCAGGTTCGAATCCGGGGAGCGGCATGAGCTTCCGCTGTCAGCCCCAGCTTCTTCCAACCTAGCAGTTCGAAAACATGCAAATGTGAGTAGATCAATACTCATGGGAAGGTAACGGCGCTCCATGCAGTCATGCCGGCCACATGACTTTGGAGGTGTCTACGGACAACACCGGCTCTTAGGCTTAGAAATTGAGATGAGCACCACACTTGAGTTGGACACGACTGGACTTCATGCCAGGGGAAAACCTTTACCTTTACACATAGTAGACTCGGAGGTTTCTTGTTACATTCGTGTAACACACATACACACTGCTGGTGGCATATTAATTTGCTGCTACAGTTTGGAAAGCTCTGCCTTATACACAATATTGCCTGATGGTAATTTTGTACATGTTTGATTTTGTGCACGAAACAAAGTTTTATATACATGGAACACAACAGGTGTACAAGATGTAGCTGGAAATGACTCTTGAATATATTTATAAACCACTCACATCATTTTCAAAGAACAGGTCTGCCGCTACAAAGCAAGTTGAGTACCTTGATCTTTCCTAGGTCTTCTTGCCCAGCAATGGTTTAATCTAATTCAGGATAATGTCTGGTATGCTTTGAGGGGGTGTGCCATTGAATAACATGTGTGTCTGTAGTAACCTTGGTATCTGTGGTTTAAGGAAGACCAAGAGGCCTTTGCATTTTCAAAGTAATGGTATGTTTTCTGAGGAATGGGATTACTAGCAACTTCAACCCATATTTGTCAGTTTCTAGATTAGGGTTAGGCAACTGTGGATCTTTCAGTTTTGTTGGATCCTGAATTATTTACAATTTGCTATGCTAATGAAAGATTAAATGACCAAAAAATCTTGGAAATGGCTGCTGTATAACAACAGATTGCTAGATTCAACTGTTTGGTTAATCTAGACCAGGGGTCCTCAAACTAAGGCCTGGGGGCCGTATACGGCCCTCCAAGGTCATTTACTCGGCCCTCACTCAGGGTCAACCTAAGTCTGAAATGACTTGAAAGCACACAACAACAACAACAACAACAATCCTATCTCATCAGCCCAAAGCAGGCCCGCATTTTCATTGAAATACTAATAAGTTTATATTTGTTAAAATTGATCTTAGTTTTAATTGTTGTATTGTTTTTAAGTGTTTTTGCACGACAAATAAGATATGTGCAGTGTGCAGAGGAATTCATTCATGCTTTTTTCAAATTATAATCCAGCCCTCCAACTGCTTGAGGAACTTGGCCCACTGTTTAAAAAGTTTGAGGACCCCTGATTTAGACAATGCTTAAAATCAATTGGATTGCTTTCCTATATGTCCTCTTTTGCTTACTCAGCCCTTGACAATGGTTAAAGCAGTTAACTTAGTTCATGAAATGCAGTGAAAATACTGCAGTCATTTAGACTAGTGCAGCCTGACCCCCTATTCATAGAAGCAATATACACAGAATTCACTTATTAAGATACACTCTCTTCTCAGTACCTCGGTCATTCATCGTAATGAAAATACTCACTACCTCTGAGGATGCTTGCCATAGATGCAGGCGAAATGACAGAAGAGAATGCCTCTAGACCATGGCCATATAGCCCGAAAAAACCTACAACAACCCAGTGATTCCGGCCATGAAAGCCTTCGACAATACAATGAAAATAAGGTTTGCTATTCTACAGGACACCTGGGAGCATATCCACAAGTGGATATGGTTGTCATGCTGTAATAGCCTTGGTATCTGTGGTTTAAGGAAGACAAAGAAGCCTTTGTATGTTCAAAGTAATGATATGTTTTCTGAGATAGAAATATTGCAAGGGGCAATCATTAAATGCAAGAAATGCACTTTTCAGTGTCTTTTTGTTGCTCTCAGTCAAAGCATTTTTCAAGACACAGGTTCCTTTCAGGTCTTTAAAGAAGCAAAGTTAGGCAACGGACAAATTTCATTTTCATGACAACATAGCTCCTTTCATGTATATTTTATTTAATGTTTTGTCACACCCAAAAGACAGTTTCAAAGTGCTTATTCTAAATAATATACAAAGATTTGCACTGTTTAAATTATCATCCATGCATCCTCTCATAAAATATATAAAGCCAACAAAAGAAAACTTCAGCTTTTTTTGAAACCTAAAAAGAATGTTCTTCTCTCTAAGTCTAACAAGAAATGTTCAGAACGAACTTGTAGCAATAAAACTAATTGATACAAAACCAAGAAAATCTATTTGGGAATATCAAGATCTCTCCCCATCGCCTCAACAATAAGACGTTCCAAAAGTGAATGTTTCTCTTCTAAGGTTTTAGCGTTCTGTGAAGTAATTTTCTTTCCCAAAGCAGCATTCTGCATGAGTACATTTTCCATACATTTCTTTTCTTCTTAAGAAGAGGCTTTTCTCCCACTCATTTCTAGATTCTGGCTTCCTCATTACTGGTATTATTAATCACAGAAAAAGCAGATCTGGTCTACGCCATCACCACATTTTGAAAGAGTAAGCATCCATTATTTCAATAATATTTGAAAAGTCAAAGGAACACCTGAGAGTAAAGTAAAAGGACAATCCAGTGGGAACTGACAAAATTCAGATTTAATGTAAGATTGTTAGGGGAAAAAATCCCTACTGTATTTTGAGTCCCATATCTTTTGATTGAGGGATGTAGGTAGCTTTTGCTTAATTCTCTCTCTTTTCCAGTATTTCCAATGTGTTTTTTTTGCCTGCTCTGTGTCATGCAAGAATAGCGCTACTAACATATTTGAACTATATCAAGCATAATTAAAGTCATTTAATTTTTAAAACTCCCAAATTGGTCCATTATCTAGACAGAATGAATCAAGAATACTGCGTTTGGGATTCTATCCCTCTGAAACTCTTGAGCGGTAAAAATGTCTACAAAAATAGCTTCTGAAACACTCATGTGTGTCTTGACCATCTGCCCTTCCAATACTTCCCAGCATTAACTATCAATAATAGCTCTAAAGATCTACATAGTTGGAGCAACTGCTCTTTCTTTTGGTATTTTGCATGGCAAGCCACCCAGTGAATTCTCTTACCTACTCGGCTCTTTTAACACTATTCCATTCCCAATAATGAACCCTCAAACAGCAGCATATAAAGGACAGATGAGTCTTGACAGGAGAAAACAGTAATTAGAATATAATTTCTTTCCAGGCAGTGTCCGTGCCTGCGAGACACACAACATGGAGTTGGCGATAAAATTATTGCTTCAATAAGACATGGGGCATTTTCAAACAACCTAGAGAATAAACCGCTTGGTTACTTCCTTCACAAATTGACAGAATTTGGAGATGGGTCTTCAGAAACATGCCCCCCACTCCATGCCAACTTCTTGTGTTCTTGCAGCACATCAACAATAGCTACAAGTTAGTGACAGAGCTCTTCATGTATGTTCATCTCTTTTCTTCTACAAAGACTCTTGCATTATGTCAGTTGAAGACTAGTGTTTAAGGGTTTAAAGAAAAAGAAAATCCTAGTGTCTGATCTATGGGAAATTGGTACATTGGGAACTGTACGGTGCTGAAAAACAGAGCCCAATCATCTCTGGTATGCTGGAATAGAAGGGAGCAGAATGCTGCTGGTGCCGCTTGCTGCTCATTTTTTTAATGAGCAAGAGGAACAAAGTTCAGTACTGGTTTTCATACCAGTCACTGTGACTTAGCTGTAACAATTCTGTGACAACTTGGGCCATGTCACAGTTGTGTTTACGCAGCAACCTGAGGTTAAGGTGCCGGTCACGGAAGCCCATCTCGCTCAGGTTGGATAGGAAGGTGGCCATATGATCCTCAGTGGTCACAGGAAGAGCCTTGACAGACAAGAGAGACAGAAGTATTAAACCAAAGAAGGAAGCTTCCATGCACATGTGAAGTAAGGTTTACACAAGCAAGTATACATCGGGTTCTGAGATTCTTTGCAAATGCTTCCTTCAGGCTCACATCTTCAATTCAACCCTCCCAAAAAATGTGCTAGGAAGGGAAACAGAATCTCTGGAAATCCTATCATGTCTGACCACTGAGTCTATTAAAGTTGATGAAAATTAGAGTTCAACATCTAGCAAGCTAAAATTTCACAATTCCTGTGACAAAGGTTAATCCTCTACTACACAAATGGGAACATGATCACAATAATTTTCAGTCTTCTGGTATTGAGGCTCCCATGTTTGATTTTGCCAGCTTTTAGCTTTATAGGCATCACAGTGGCACAATGGGTTAAATTGCTGAGCTGCTGAATGGTAAGTTGGCAGTTCGAATCTGCGGGACAGCGTGAGCTCCTGCTGTTAGCCCAGCTTCTGCCAACCTAGCAGTTTGAAAACATGCAAATGTGAGTAGATCAATAGGTACTGCTGTGGCGAGAAGGTAACAGCACTCCATGAAGTCATGGTGGCCAAATGACCTAGGAGATGTCTAGGGACAATGCCGGCTCTTCAGCTTAAAAAAGGAGATGAGCACCGTGCCCCAGAGTTGGACACAACTAGACTTAAAGTCAAGGGGAAACCTTTAGTGTGACAGCCAAGGATTTTGTTTGTTTACTTATATCCTGCTTGTCTTTTAATATAGACTCAAAGTGGAATTTCTTTGCTTCAGCAAATAGACAATGAGACTTGGGTATTTTCTACCTTATTTTCTACTTTCCTAACCACCCCCCCCCCCTTTTTTTAAAGGGAAAACTTAGCTGCCCATTTGTAATAATGTCTTATTGTTATTAATGGGGGAAAGAGTACCAGTCACCCGCACCTGGCCTGGAGTGTGAAAAAGACTTAAGAGACAGGAGATAATAACGCTTTCTATACAAAAAAAAGACAAATTTAAATTTAAATTGAAAGTTGTTAAACAAGAATTTATAGAACTCTACATTTGGTCCCAGTAATTCCTGATGCAGTTTTTCAAGTTACCTTAATAGCAACAAACAGTTAGAATCTTACTTTCAAGACAGTGCAGCCAATCCCAAATTTGCTGCTCTTGCCTGATGCAATCATGGAGAAGAGAGAACACAGACATTTCTGATGTTAAACCCCTTATTTTCCAACCTAAAGGGAAACCCATGGATTTACCTGGTCCAAGGAAGGTGGTCCGGCAAACAAAGCCTTGTAGGCGGAGGCAGCCACTGACAAGGCCCCCTTCACCAAGCCACCAGCGATGCTGTTTCCCTGCGTATGTCTGCAGAGATGTTGGAAGGAAAAAAGATATCAAAAAGAAGTAAGAAAAGATTCTCTGCAGTAGACCACACACTAGGATTTAGTTTTCAATTTGTTTAATGCTGGAGATAGGGGAAAGCTAAGAGGGGAGGATTTCTTCATTAATGCATTGCTAAAACTATCCTGACCATATATTCTCTGTACTTTGAAAGAATACACAGGAAAACAGGACACTTGGCAAAACAATACCCTTTGAATACATCAAAGGGTATTGTTCCAAGTCAGACTACTGGTTCATCTAGCTCAGTATAAGTTCCTTAAACCATTGGCAACTTTCCAAACTTGCCACTGAAGATTTGTGAATACAAGGAACAGGTTCCTTTAATGAGCTACTGTTCCACACAAAATAAGCCATAGAAGTTTGAAACATCTGTGTGTATTGGTTTTTCAGGCCATATAACATCTGCTTTTGTTTGAAATGGAAAGGAAAAACGTTTTACTGGGCATAAAAGACTCCGCTTTAACTAATGAAAATGTGGTTGACTTACAGCATGGCCTTGAAAACACACCTCTAGTTCTTATAGCAAGCCAATGCCTGTGGAATTTTCAACATGCTGAAGTCTTGTTCTAGACCAGGGGTCCTCAAACTAAGGCCCGGGGGCCGAATACGGCCTTCCAAGGTCATTTACTCGGCCCTCACTCAGGATCAAGCTAAGTCTGAAATGACTTGAAAACACACAACAACAACAACCCTATCTCATCAGCCAAAAGCAGCCCCACACTTCCCACTGAAATACTAATAAGTTTATATTTGTTAAAATTGTTCTTCATTTTAATTATTGCATTGTTTTTAAGTGTTTTTTGCACTACAAATAAGATATGTGCCGTGTGCATAGGAATTCATTCATTTTTTTTTTCAAATTATAATCCTGCCCTCCAACAGTTTGAGGGCTTATGGCCTGGCCCTCTGTTTAAAAAGTTTGAGGACCCCTGTTCTAGACCAAATCCCAATGCATCTGTGCTGCAATTTCTAATACACACACCTCAGTCTGTACTATTTTGCACAAATGTAAGACTAAGGAAGCTGGGAAAGAAGGGACAAGGGAAGAGATTTCTTTGTGCAAATATTAACAAATACACTAGCTGAAAAACATACCATTCAACAAGACAGATCAGAATGAAATCCTGGCAAGAAACCATTGTTGTTACCTGGATAATTCTGGGCATGTTTGCGTGATCTTTTCATTCCCTATTGGAGGAGGCTCGGGTATCTCTCCTCCTTGGATCTCTAGAAGCACAAAAACAGAGTATGAGAGCAGAAATGGAAAGCAGAGAACATTGTTCTGACTACTGGAAAGATTTAAAAACAAAAGTAATTTCCTTACTGAACATAAAGAATTTGCTGGTCTTACATAATAGCACGTGTGTACAAAGATACAATATACACATTACATTTACCCAATTTGACTCAAGTCTCAAAAATTAGAAAGGCTATCAATGAATTGACCTGAGTCAGAAACAACTAAGCATCCATAACACAAAATTATAGTATGGTACCTTCTCTCATTTGGTCAGGAATCAAAGGAGTGTCTTCTCTATTAGGAGCACTACTTGCTGGGGAACTGTTATTTTGAGAAGGTGCCAGAATTCTGTTATAAAACAAAATAGATATTTGTGAAATCCCAAGAGTCACAGGGAATAACACTACAACTATTCTTGTGTACGTTCTTGCGAGTTGACTGTTTTTGCTAATTAATTATATAAAATATAGCCTCCAGCACCTGGTATTCATTAGCAGTCTGCCATCCAAATCTTAGCCAGGGCTGACTGCTTAGCTTCCAAGATTGGATGGGATCTATTGTCTTCGGAGTATTTAGGTTCCTTACAACTTTTCTTACAATAGAACTGGGAATACGTTCGGTTAATCTAAACATTTGGATCTACATCATTTCAAACATTCAAGCCAATTCCTCTTGTAACAATGGGTCATGGCTTTTCTCCCAGTACAGATAAAAAATTGTTACTGAACCAGGTTTATATTCCTCTCAGTAGCCCACTCGGTCTACCATTTCCTCTTTGCTCTTAGTCCACTTGATACCTTGTGGGCTGCGGTTCCACAATTTGAGGGATCAACGGTACTTCATCCAGTGTCTGCGAAGTGGTCAGTATATCATTGATATTCTGTACTGGCAAGTGGCTCACTCCTTCAGGATGTGCTGAGGTCTCTGCCGCTTTCTCCAAGCTTGGCTGAGAGAGAGCAGAACTGTACATGGAGTCGCCCAGAGGACGGCTAGTGTCGAAGCACTCTGGGAGTATGATGATATAATCCTCAGAGGAGGTAGACGATGCTTGGCTGCAGACTTCATCCTTGGCATCATCTTCTGCTTCCCCATCCCTCGGCTCCTCCCCATCATGCACTGAGAGATTCTCTAACAGAACACAGAGCACAAGGTTTCACTACACAAACGATTCAGTTCCCTTTCATTGAGTCTTTTGTCTCTATGTAGTTTTTTTTTTAAAAACGACACCAATCATAAATCAGGACCACTCCAGGAACAGCTTCTTATATGATTAGAAAGGGCCAAAATTGCACCCAATCCTCTTACACACTGTCTGCTTTCCAAAGCCAGCCCACATAATCTAGAATATCATGCCGCAAACAGAAACTGGGAGCAATAAAGTGGAAGATATTTTAATCTCCGTTTCTAAAATAAGTTTCATAATTCCTCCCCTCACTTACATATTTTCTATTCCTACCTCACCCAGGGTTTTATCATTTTATCTTGTCCATTACGCCTGCCCATCCTGTTCAATTTTGTATTGTGGTAATTTTCTTTATTTTATTTCGTTACTGTAACTATTTTCTGATGTAATTTTTTTGTCACTGCATTCTGTATTTTATTGTGTGTATTGTATTTTTGGGCTTGGCCTCATGTTCGCCGCCCCGAGTCCCCGTTGGGGAGATGGTGGCAGGGTATAAATAAAGATTATATTATTATTATTATTATAATATTCCTGCTATTGCACTTTTTTATTGATTTGTTCCAATCTGAATTCAATTCAGTTACAGGTATTTTCTGGAAAGTGGAAAAACCACAAATAAAAGAGCCTTTAAAAACAAATATGTGAGAACACCTTAGTCCTCCATGTCATTTCTATGTTTCTCCATGGAAACAAAGCAAATTATAAAGTAACTCCATGCCAAACATTATAATGAATTTTAAACAAGCCTCTAGATTAAGAGTGGCTCCAAAAAGACTTATGGACGCCAAGTTTAAACCTTAACAAGAAAATCTGAATTCTTTCAAGAGTGGTCATAAAAAGAGGAACTAAACTGGAGCCCCGAAAAGAATTAGAGAAACAATTTCAGTTTTAAAAATCTTGATGGCAGCTGGGAGAGATTTACAAAAAAAAAAAAAAGGAAATTATTGATCCCATATTTTGTTCTGTTTTAAACTGAATGTACTTCCCTGTTTAGTTTCATGGAACCAGATGCCTAGATATTTGAATACATCAACCAAACCAACTCTGTTATTCACCATAATCCAATAATAATATTAATTAACTAATTAATAATTAATCATCATCATCATCATCTTTATTTGTATCCCGTCCCCTCTCCCAGAAGGGACTCAGGGCGGCTTACAACAACCATCTAGAAAAATCTAACCTTCCTCATTTCAAATACCAATACTTTGTTGTTACAGCAATCCGTCAGTAGGACAGAGACACCATAACTCCTAAGAAAAGCAAACTCCAGTCAAATCCCCTTACCGAAGTCTAGTTCTCTAGCTATCTCCATGCCTCGATTGCTAGACTCTGGCTCTTTTGGTGTAGAAACAGGGCTAACAGGGTCCTTGCTTTTAGGGATGTAGTGGATGGTATCTTGTAGTGTTTGCAGAGACCCTAAATCAGGAAAAACACAGAGGATAAGAACCATATGCTAGGAGCTTCTTCTGTAGCCACAATGCTGGCAGCAGAGCAACAGAAAGCACTTACCCTGCAAAGACTTCTTTCTTTGTGGGGGCCTATGGTCAGGTGCAGCATCCAACGTGAGAGAGCGAATGACTGTTTCACACACAAACTGTCTCCCACTCATGTCTTCTTCTGCTTCCTCTAGATTTGCTGAGTTTTCAGTCTTTCCTTTCCCCACCAGAGTATCTGTTGGTTAACAGTAATTGTCACCAGCTTTAGAAGTCACACAGATAAGAAATAGGACCTCTCTAGAGGTTGGAAACATGCAGAATGTGTCCCTGAGACTCCCCAGGAATAGATTCTTACTCTGTGGCCCTTTAGGTCCTTTACACTGATTTCACTTGACTTATAATATATCAATGTTTATTTTTTTTCTCCCAACGCTGTTGAGCATTGCACTTTTTTGCCTTTCACTTCAGGGAAATTAGTTGGGTACACGCAAGTAGATCTGACAGGAGAGCCAGGAATTAAGTAAAGATAGAAGATATTGCAAAGGCAGCGATGTCTCCCTAAATCAGGGCAAGAGAGTGCCATTTTTCTTGCTAGTTCCAACTCTCCATTATATTAAATTATGCATGTTTCCCAAAGGGAGTTTATAATCTTTCCTTCTCAATCATCAGTCAATATCTCTTTCCATACACTAGCTGAAGAGAGAGTAGAAGAAAATAGACTTGGTGAAGCAGGGATGAGAATCATACTGTCTCCAAATGCTTTTCAACTGCAATTCCAAATTTTCCTCACCAATGGCTTTAACTGGCTAGGGTTGGTGAGACCAGATGTCCAACAACACCTGGGTGTAAGTGTGTGTTACTGCACAATTCATATCCTGGCTCTAGTGCTGAAGCACATAAAAAAGAAAGAAAAATGCTAAACTTCCATGGTTTATTTAGGTAGCTAAAGCCCATTAACCTTCCCTAGTTTATCTTGCCAGAGTATAGACAGCCTGTTACTGTGGCCCCTTCTACACTGCCATATAACATCCAGATTATCTGCTTTGATTATATGGTAGTGTAGAGGGGGGGTATGTGTCATTAAGAATATCAGACTGTTCTGAACATATCCACTTTGGAACAAAACTCATTTCCAAAAATAAAAAGCCACCTAGTCATATGGGACAGTGGTGGCTTCAGATCAAAGGACTGAAGGATCACTTAAGACTTGCTCAACGATCTTCACTGCTTACCAGGTAATTGTTTACATGTATTTTCTTCCCTTTCTTCCTGCTTCTGGTCCAGACTGGTGTTGTCCAATGGGGAGGTGTCATGGGGCAGGACTGACATATCTGGAGTCGTGTCTGGAAGGGCAGGTCAAAAACAGAGGCTGTGAGCACAAGCTCAAGAGACTAGCCACAGTTTCCCAGAGTATACAATTTGGTAAGTGGCCAGTGATGGATTCTAAGATAGACCCTAGGTGAACTACTAAATGTGCATCTCTTGGGGAATGGAGTGAGAATGTACCCATCATTCACTCAAAAGCCTTCTGGGGAGACAGAACGCTTACCAACAGGAGTGTTGCGAGGGACTTGCTCCAGTTCTTGCACAATGTTAATATCCAGCAATTCAAAGGAGAGTAAATCCTAATGGAAAGAAATCAGAGAAATCAAGATCAAAGTAAAGAAAGAAAAAACAGGCATGAAATAAATATCCACAATCTTAGTGTGCACTAAAATTTCACCTGAGCTGTGAGAAGGTCGACTGAAGGGATGTAAAACTCTCTAGCACTTAGGATGCTTTTGACATTGGTTGGAGCAGTCCGGCTGACCAAACCTCCCTGCATGGCACTATCAACAGCCTGCAGAGCTTCTGCCTTGAACTTAGAGAGTCTTTCCTGTAGGGAACAAGATTATTACTAACAGGAGTAGAGAGATGTCACCTGAGGCAACTAGTTTCACCTTAAATTATCATAAGCAAGCACCCCATCTTATCTCTGTTTATGCTATACTGCTATCTCAGCCCCCTTCCACACAGCTGAATAAAATACCACATTATCTGCTTTGAACTGGGAAATATGACAGTATGGACTCTGATATTCCAATTCAAAGCAGATATTGTGGGTTATTTTGCCTTGATATTCTGGGATATATGGCTGTGTGGAAGGGCCCTCAGTAAATTGAATTCCACTCTTGTTCTATGTATGATTCAGAAAAAAGTATAGTGAATACAGAATATGTGGAGAGTCTAGAATTTCTTTTTATTTCCTATTTGGATGAGAGTATTATGGAATACAGGCCCTGTATACTGTAGATCGAATATTGTACTGCAGATTGCAAAACAAGCTTTTAGAATCCTGTTCTCTGAATAACTGGTCTTAAAAACCAGGATAAAAAAAGTTTGCTTTTGTCCCGGGAAATAGATACAACTCCCACACAAGTTCAACTGCACCTATACTCCATCAAGAAACACAGGAAATGGCCCCACCCATCAAGGCCATTCGTTAGCTTAATATTGTCATTATCAGAACTCTTTAGACCAGGGGTCCTCAAACTATGGCCCGAGGGCCAGATACGGTCCTCCAAGGTCATTTACCCGGCCCTCACTCAGGGTCAAGCTAAGTCTGAAATGACTTGAAAGCACACAACAACAATGCTATCTCATCATCCAAAAGCAGGCCCACACTTCCCACCGAAATACTAATAAGCTTACATTTGTTAAAACTGTTCTTCATTTTAATTATTGTATTGTTTTTAAGTGTTTTTGCACTACAAATAAGATATGTGCACTGTGCAAAGGAATTCATTCATGTTTTTTTCAAATTACAATCTGGCCCTCCAACAGTTTGAGGCACTGTGACTTGGGCCTCTGTTTAAAAAGTTTGAGGACCCCTGCTTTTTTTCTACCACCCACCTCCAAAACACATTCAAAGCTTATATGTGTAGTGGACTATGACAGCTGTAGTCCAATACATCTGGAATGTACTTATTTGGGTAAGTGTGGCCTATATTGACTGGCAAGAGGTTTCTTGGGCAGGCTATGTGTGTATATTTTTCCCTGTAGAGGTTGAACAGTCTTCAGTAGCTGTAGCTAGCCAGCAGCAAAATGGCGAGGAATGCTGCAATTTGCAACTGATCATCATTCAAGCCGAAGTCCTTTCCTCTCTTTGCTTGTTTTAGGGCTTAAAATTAGGACCTTATGAATACAAAGTACAGGCCCTACTAATGAGTGATGGCACTTCCCACTAACGTAAGAACTATTGCTGTTGTATAATTTCAAATACACATTTTGCTTGTCCATAAAAAACCCATTTCTGTAAACTTTAGTGCAGCTTCCTGGTTCTTTGATTAATTTTGAAGAAATCCTAAGCAATCCCATTATCAAAAAAAAGGAACAAATGAACTAAATATGTATAACAAATTGCTTATTGGTTAATGAGAAGATTATCTTCATCTAAATGTTTTTAAATCAGGGGTGAAAGAGAAAGACATAAGACAACCAATGTACATATAAGACAGTAGTAATAGAGTGCAGCCTGTTTTTAATTTTTCCCCTCTCAAATCTGCTAGTCATTGTCTAAGAAGCCAAACAGCAGTAAGTTTGTGACACTAGCTCAAGCTATGCCACACATTACTGCAAATACAGGCAACTTATAAGAAAAGGGGCAATAACTGAGTTGAAGAAGTTAAATAATCCTCCTAGCTGAAGGAAGGATAAAAACATATGTGGCAAGTTGGGAAGCGTGGGCCATGAGAGAAGGGGAAGAGGTATAAAAGGAAGGAGACAAGTGTACATGAAGAAAACAGGACTGGCGAGGAGCCTTACATAGCTCAGCGACATGAGGACCTTACCTCTTCCTTACAAAGGGATCTGCCCTTCTGGCAGAAAGTAGATACCAGCTTGCAATTCTCTGTATATTCAGTATTGGAGGAATTGGGGTCGACAACAATGCTGCACCAGATCCTGGGGCCAAATTGCTCCCCCCTGTGTGATAACCGCCAGTGAGATGTGTAGGTTCCTTCCACTGCCGGGGACACAAACTCCACTGAGACAACTCCCACCTGGCCAGGTAGCAAGGAGGGTACAATCACATCCTTCTTCTCTGAAGACAACAGGGTTAGGTTCCCCCACATAAATTTTAGCTGAAGGATAAAGAAAAAACAAAACAGAAAGCCATTACTTCCTTGTCATTCCAGATATTATTTTCCAGATATTGAAATGTTATTTTTTTCTGACAAATAATCAGAGTTTATTTATTTATTTATTTGCTTTATTCCTATACCGCATATTTCAGCCCAGACAGGCGACTCTATGCGAGTTGGTCAGAGTGGAATGCTAAAGGTCAAACCGCCATTCAGGCCTGGACTTCTGGCTGGGTTTGGATACTGTGCTAAAACACCCAAGAATAGACTACTGTGAATATATCAGAATCCCATAAATAAATCTTTGGGCTGTTTACTAACCCAAAGTCCCCTGGAGTTCTTTAGCACCAAATCCTCTGGAACTGAAGAAAGAAAGAAACTGATTATCTATCTGAACGTATCTCCTGCTATGAACCATCACGAAGCTTAAGATCATCAGGAGAGGTCCTGCTCTTGATCCCACCACTCTCGCAAACGAGGTTGGTAGGGATGAGACAGGGCCTTCTCGGCAGTGGTCCCCCGTTTGTGGAACTCTCTCCCTAAGGATATCATGTTGGTCACCTCCCTCCTGTCCTTTAGAAGACAACTGAAGACCTGGCTCTGGGGCCAGGCGTTCGATTAGATGCCAGCGGCAATAGGAAAAGGACATTTGGATTTGCAATATGGATTCTCCCGGCTCGGCTTGGTTTTACTGGCATGTTAATCTATTAATTTATTGTTAAATTTTACTGATGATGTTGTACAATGATTTAAAATGATTTTATTGTGAGTTGTAATTTTTATGGTATTTATGCTGTTAGCATCCTCTGATGCTCATGTGAGGTTGCGCTGATTCCCCTTTGTGGGGAGAAGGGCGGGATATAAATATATACAATAAATAAATAAATACATAAATTCACTCTTAAGAAATGAGTTAAGGACCAACAGACGAAGGAGACGGTTCACATACTGTTTGAATTACATATGAAAAAAATGGCTCTACCTATCTTTTAAAACAGAGACAAGGAACTTCCTGTCCCATTCAACTACTCCACTTCAATGATCTCTCAGAGAAAATGTGTTTCAAGGCGTGTATACTTTCAAGTCAACTGTCACCTTATAGTGACCCTATGAATTTCATAGGGGTTTTTAAGGAACACTCAGTGGTGGTTTTGTCATTTCATTCCTCTGAAACATAGCCTGGCATTCATGAGCAGCCTCTCACGAATGCGTTTATTCAAACTTTAAATGGACAGTTCTGTGCTTTACAGACTGAAAAGCTGCTGTCCTAGAGGTTACTCTTGAATAGACATACTTGTACTTTGAATGCCTGCTGATCAAGGGGCCAGAAAGAAGAGATGTAGTATCCCCTTTTGTACAGATTAAGCACCACAGCATACCTTGGTTTCAGAGCTCCACTCCATGTTGCCAGTGTTCCTCATCCGCCAATGTTTGATGAAGGTTGTCCTTGGCCTGAGACAGGTTCCATCTGGCAGATTCTCATCCACGAAGGCAGCGCTCAGAGTGGGGACAATGACAGGACAACCTTGAAGGGGACTGTGAAGAAAAGGGGGACCTTTGATGTTATTCAGCTCAAGCTCAATGTAGGAAAGTTCATTCCTTCCCACTGAGGCAGATCTAGACTAGTCTGAAGTTAAGTGTGGATATTTACTACAAACCACTATGGCTTCTCCCGAACAAGGCTCTGATAATGGTTAAAAAAGGGACCAGGAATTTTGAGTGAAAATTTTTAAATACAAACTCCATAGTTTGGCTAAGGTACAGCATCCCCCTGAATCCATCAAAATTTAAACCTGTAGGGAACAACTATTTCCTGCATTTGGTCCAGACTCGAAATTACTTACAGAAGTGTACTGGACTGTAGGTTTTCAGTCTTGGTAACAGCTAAGCTGGTGTTCTCCAGAGCATGACTAGAGTTCCAGAGATGGATTTTCCGATGTAACTTCAGCTGCTTTTTGAGTTCCCGCACCTCGGCCTTACGCTGCTTCTTCTCTGCTCGCAAGCGTTGCTTCTCAGCCTTCAGGAAACGCTTATCCATCTGTTTTTGGAGCCTGTAGAAACCAAAGGGCAAGATCAGCCTCTGCTTTTGGAGCTTCTGCACATCTAGAGTTGGATTCAGGACACTTAAAGCCACCATGTGTCCTCTCCAGGCTCAAAAGGCTGTGTTGTTGAAACTGTTCATGCAGCTATTGTGACTTATTGTTTACCAGGACACGCAAGTCACAGAAATGCAAGTAATGAGGGGTGGGTTCTGCAAAGAATCATGTTCCCCAACAGGCAGCAAGGAAATGTGAATGTGAACACTCTAATCCAGGAGAGAAAGACTTTTACTGGAACCCTAATTAGATCCCCCAGAAGGTGGAGGTGAACTACAACTCCCAAACTCAAGGTCAATGCCCACCAAACCCTTCCAGTATTTTCTGTTGGCCATGGGAGTTCTGTGTGCCATGTTTGGTTCAATTCCATCGTTCACCTCCATCCAGAGAGCACTGTGGACTCAAACAATGATGGATCTGTACCAAACTTGGCACAAACACTCAATACGCCCAAATATGAACACAGATGGAGTTTGGGGGAAATAGACCTTGACATTTGGGATTTGTAGTCACTGGGATTCACAGTTTACCTACAATCAAAGAGCATTCTGAACCCCACGAATGACAGAATCGGGGCAAACTTCCCACACAGAACTCCCATGACCAACAGAAAATACTTAAGGCCATCCATTCCAACTCCCTCCATCAGGGCAAGAAAACGTAATCAAAGCCCTCCTGACAAAGAGCCATCCAGCCATAGATATAGATAGATAGATAAATAGATAGATAGATATGATTCACACACACACAGATACCCACAAAACCATTCAAGTGCTTTCTGTTAGTCTTGGATGTCCTGTGTGCCAAGTTTGGTTCAATTCCATCGTTAGTGGAGTTCAGAATGCTCTTTGATTGTAGGTGAACTATAAATCCTGGCAACTACAACTCCCAAATGACAAAATCATTTTTGAGTGATGGTCACTCATTGGGTTGTTAGGCATATTCTGTCCAAATTTGGTGTCAATTGGTCCAGTGGTTTTTGAGTTATGTTAATCCCACAAATGAACATTACATTTTTATTTATTAGTGGAGTTCAGAGTGCTCTTTGATGGTAGGTGAACTATAAATCCCAGCAACTACAACTCCCAAATGACAAAGTCATAATTTTTTGAATGATGGTCACTCCTTGTGTTGTGAGACGTTTTGTTGCCAATTTTGGTGTGATTTCGTTCATTGGTTCTTTTGTTTTTAAGGTACTCATTATGCACAGAGCATTTATATATATATAGATTTATGCTGTTTTTAATTGTTTGAATTGTTTTATGATGTTTTGAGCATTGTTTAAACTGCTTTGAGTCACCCAAGGGCTGAGAAAAGCGATATATAAATATAGTAAATAAATAAATAAATCCAAGGTCTGTTTTTCTTACGTTCTTATGCTAATTTGACTATGTTGCATGACTGCACATGTCTAGATATACCAACTTGCTTTCTTCTCCGGTTTTTGACTCACTATTCCACACCACCTGCAAACACTTAGATCAAATTGAAATGGTTTCCACTGGCCATGAAACTCAGGACAACATGTGCTGACCTGACTTGTTCCAGAGTGGCAAGGCGAGGGGAGAACTGTCCAAGGTTGTATGACTCTGAGATGCACAAGATAGGTCTTCGCAGCTTCAAAAGCACGTGGTTAGGATCATGGGCATAGATTCCTGCTTCACACAATTCACAGATGCTGTAGGATGGGCACACACTGTAAAGAGAGGATGAGTATGGCTGTCATTTGTTGCATCGCTTTTTCAACTACTACTTTGATTGGTTAAATTCGTTTCTATAGAAACGTAATGACTTTTAGTGAGAAACACAGCAAAATAATGGTAATGTTCTTAATATCAATCCAGCAGCTGGGGTAAGCAATTTCTGCAGATCTAGGAGACATTTTACAACTGTAGAATTCCAGCCGCACCACTGAAAATCAGTAGGAAATCACGGAGAGATGACCCAAATGTTATAGGAAAAAGGAGGACAGATTTCTAAATGATAACTATCTTGACTGACAAGTATGTGCGGGGTAGACACACCCATGCAAATGGTCTTGATAGACATCACCACTCTTGTTTCAGAGAATTCTTGTCTCAGAGAAGTCTCAGTGACTGATATTTAACAAACATCAGAGGAGAATCCTCCTTTTATAATAATAATAATAATAATACCACTTTATTTATACCCCACCACTATCTCCCCAAGGGGACTCGGGGCGGCTTACATGAGGCCAAGCCCCAACAATAATGCATCAGTAAAACACAACACAGGCAAAGCAAAATAAAATACATGCAAAATATTATAAATAACATATAAACGATAACACAAGAAATTTAAAATATAGAAATCCAACACTGTGGGGCCAAATGTAATAGCTTAAAAATTTAAAAACCCTGAGTGTGAACAGAGATTGAATATGTCTAAGCAGGGTTTTTTTTTTAAAAAAAGGGTAAATAATAAATATTAGAAACTTGTTCTTTTGCATCCCTCTCTTCCCGCACCTTGAATCTTAGGATGCTAAATTATGGAATAATGAGGAACAAGCAGAGTCACACAACTTTGCATTTAACCTTTTCTGTCCATTCTTACCTACACTGGTAGCGAATGCCCACGATGGGGGCCTGACAGTTGCTGCAGGAGAGGAGCCAGTCAAAGGGATTGCTTTGCACTGGAGGGCTCACAGGAGCCTGATGGGTTGAGCTGCTCAAGGAGCTGGGAGGTTGGTTGTAGAGGAGAAGCTTCTCATTCAACTTCTGTTCGAGCATTTCAACTGTCTCTTGGACCACTTGTTCACGGAACTGAAGAATTGTGGAGAGTAAAGAGATGTATCTTGAGTAACGTCTCAGAGGAATACTCCCAAAGCCACTCACATCCCACTCTGTTCTACAATCCCAGAATGTGTATATGCTGTCACACACTAGGCCAGAGATGAAGCTTGGGAGAGCAACAAATGTTAACATTGAACATAACACAAATTGTTGTAGAATCTGGGATACTGGATTTTGATGCTTCCGTTTACTAGAGATATACAGGAGAAGACATATCTTCCAATATTCCCATACAATTTTCTCTGCCATCTTTGATTTCAGTGCAACCTCTAAGACTGCCAAAGTGTCTTTTTAAGAATACAAGCCATATCTCATGTGTGCTTAACCATTTTGGCATTTTAAGTGGTTTGCATCCTATTTTAACTTGTATGTGAAAATTCTTTTACAGCGAGGACACACAAAGAGAAAGAAGCTCCATTGTTCTTAAAAGTCTGGGTCAACATCCCTTTAATGTCCTCAAACCCTTTTCAAAAGGCTTGGAAGGATAATTGTAGCAGTACTAACCTTTTCCAAGTAGCTTGTGAACCACTCAGGTGGGGCTTCACTGAGATGGGGCCCACTCTACGGAGATTTAAAAAACAGAAACAAATGAACACAGTCGCACATCTTAGGACCACTTAATCTTTCATGCTGAATATGAACAAGTACAGGGATGTTATGTCAACTTCCTTGTAGGCATTCATATCCAACCTTTAAGACTAAGCAAACAGAGATATGTAACTCTTCAATCTTGGCTGCTTTTTCTTACTAAAACCTGATGGCTGACTTCCTGCTAAAAAAACAGAAATGACATTTTTTGGCAGAGCAGAAGATAAATTGAACGTTTGTACTGGGAAAGATTGAGATTTGAGACTTTGTCAAATGTATTTAGCAAAGCATTTCATGGCACTCTGAAGACTAACAGAATTATATGGCATGGAGATCTGGTCAAGGAAGTTAAAATATACCTACTCAACCGATTTTAAAGAAAATTGGTACAAACTATTTTATAGGTGGTACCTAACCCCAGATCAATTGTCAAAATTCAATAAAAAAAGAAATGACGGAAAATGCTGGAAATATAGGAAAGAGAAAGGAGACTTCATCCACATGTGGTAGAAATGCAGGAAAGTCAAGTCTTATTGGCGAAAAATCCACAAAAAAATAGAAGCAATTTTACAAATAAAATTTGAATTAAAACCGGAATATTTATTGTTAGGCATCACCAACTTTGACATGGATACAAACATGAACAAGATCTTCTTCTACCTAATAACTGCAGCTAGACTGAAGCTGGCCCAGCTGTGGAAATCCCAGGAAGTCCCTTCACTAGAACAGTGGACATTAAAAGTCCTTGATATGAATATGGACATGCTTACACAAAGACTATCACAAAATAGCAATATGGCCAAAACAACGAACTGGGAGAAGTTCCTCAAATATGCAGAGGAGCAGAAGAAAGCAAGAAAATAACAACAAACAACAACGACAACATAACTAGCAAGTAAATATACAAAAGGGAACTTTCCCTAGAAATAAGAACTTGAGCTAAAATTTTGAACAGTTGGGAGTTTCACGTTTCACAAGAGGACCAGACAGGTGTCCTACAATAAAAGGAGTACCCAGGAAGAACCCTAGACAACTGGGAAGTGCATTACAACCGAGAAAGAATCCCTCACCCCATGAATGCGTTGAATAAATGATTGCAAGTGAATGGGAGTGTGAAAGTCCGCCCCCCGCCTCTATTTTTTTAAATTTTATTTTTTCTTTTCCCCTTAGCCCCCGTCACGCCCATCCCTCCTTTTACAGATATGCCCTCTGCCATGGGCATCCATATCCTCCCTTTCCTACTTTCTGTCACAACCCAATTTGTTCCACAACTTTTTATGTACTTAAAAAACGCACAATAAAAAAAAAGAATTATATGGCACAAGCTTTTGGTGAACCACTACACTACATCAGAAACATGTGATGAAGTGAGCTGCGGTCCATGAATATTTATGACAAATAAAATCTGTTAATCTTTAAAATGTCAAGAGATTTAACCCATTTTGCTGCAACACGCCATTTCAGAAAGTTCCACATTTATTCAAGTACCCTAATTTTGTAAAAACCCAAGGAAAATGTCTTCCGTGGCTTTCCTAACGACATTCACTTTTCCTCAATACAGACTATTTCTTCAACAGGTGGGAGTACTGGTGGAAAATACTTTTAAATCTGTTTGAAACTAATAAGGAGCTAATAAAAATAATAGCTGTTCTTGCATGATGCATTGTGTACTGGATTGTTCAATCTTTTCAGTTTTGATATTCACAAACAAATGAAAGGTGAAGGATTGAAAGAAAAACTGTATTTCCTTCAATTTATGATCTGTTTTTACACTTTGTGGACAAACAGACTGAGCACTTTGATAAGATTTTGTCAATCTATTTTTTTTTTGGCCAAAATTGGAAAGGGCTGAAAAATGAAAACACTGAGGGCTATATCGAACTGTCAGTAGAATTGATTAACTGTATCAATAGGAAGCATTAATTTAACTAGTGGTATTTATTCACATATTCTTCTCTATTTAGGGATTAAAAATGGATTTAGCCCCAAGGGGGAGAAGCTATCAAAGAGAAGAAAGTATTGCAAGGAACAAAACTGTATACACGGGCGTGATAAAACTATCATTTTAAAACTTAGCTGTAAGAATTCATCTTGTACACCAATCCCAAAATGAAGAAAGGAAAAAAAATCCAAATTAATTATTTTATTAAAAATATTTTATTAACTTTTTCAAATGCAAAAAATAAATTAGAAATGATAGATGGAAAGAGAAAAAAACAGAAAGAAAAGGTTAAAAGCAACTTCCAAACTTTTCAGCTTAAAGGTAAAGATTTTCCCTTGACATTAAGTCTAGTCATGTTAGAGTCTGGGGGGCGGTGCTCATCTTTATTTCTAAGCCGAAGAGTCAGCATTATTCGTAGACACCTCCAAGGTCTTGTGGCCAGCATGACTACATGGAGTGCTGTTACCTTCCCGCTGAAAACAGTACCTATTGACCTATTCACATTTGCATGTTTTCGAACTGCTAAGTTGGCAGAAGCCGGGTCTAACAGCAGGAGCTCACCCCGCTCCCCAGATTTGAACCACCAACTTTTCAGTCATCAAGTTCAGCAGCTCAGTGGTTTAACCCACTGTGCCACCGAGGGCTCGTCTATTCATATATAAGAAAGAACTATTCTCTAACACAATACAATCAAACTCCTTTCCATAAGATATATAATGACAGTTAAATCAGTTGTTGGAATTTAACAAACAATTGAAACTTCTCTCTTCTGAAAGGCCTACCCAGTCAATTTTAAAGTATTAATTTTAAATTTACATTTCATTAGCAATGGTATTTTAATATGTGTCCTGGTTTTTAATATAAGCATTTTTATAGTCCTTTGTTTTAACTACGTTGTACCTCACATTGATCCGTGATGAGAGGCAGATAACAAATAAAAATATATATTATTGTCATTATTGTTGTTGTATTTCCCATAGCATGACATTTAGGGAAGCTTCCATGAATGATATTTGCTGAAGCATATGCTAGAATGGCTTAAACTGAAAGCATGTGACAAGCTGAAGGTTGGGTTTACAGGATATCCATCTTTTGCTCTTACCTGTTCCCTCTCCTTCTCCGCGACTTTGTCCTGTGCCAAGGTCCGAGCAAGCGAAGAATAGTGAGAAAGAGGCTTTCTCCCATCTTTAGAAACAACTGGTCTCTCAGATGTCTCAGGAGCTTGCTGTGGAAGCATGTCTGAAGCAGTACTTAATTCATACACATTCATTTGTAGCTGATTGCCTTGTTTCACTGCAATCTAAACAAAGAATTTGCAATAAGGATACTCTTTAAAGTGCATGCACACTCAAGAGGTATGCACAAAGCTCTCTTAGAAGGGCGAAGCAAAAAGCATAAGTTGTACATCAATCATGAATGAGCAAATCTCATTCTTCAAAAGTAAATACAGCTGATGGGACAGAAATACAAAATATTAAAATAAAAACCCACAACCACCAGTATATGGATGACATATTTCCCTCTATCTTTCTTTGCCACCAGACATAAGTGAGATTGTGGGCCCCAAGAATCAGGTCTTGGGCACAGCAAGGCACTGGATGAGGGCAAAAACACTGATATTCAATCTGGACAAAATGGTGGTACTGTTCAGAGATAGTCAATCTAACTGGTGCTCAACCACTTCTTGGAGGAATCAGGATCCCTGTATAGAGGGGGAAAGTGTGCTTAGGGCAGTGGTTCTCAACCTGGGGTCCCCAAATGTTTTTGGCCTACAACTCCCAGAAACCCCATCCAGTTTACCAGCTGATAGAGTTTCTGGGAGTTGAAGGCCAAAAACATCTGGGGACCCCAGGTTGAGAACCACTGCCTTAGGGCCTGTTATAATTAAAGGCTCTAGCACAGGGGTCCTTAAACTAAGGCCTGGGGGCCAGATGCAGCCCTCCAAGGTCATTTACCCGGCCCTCGCTCAGGGTCAATCTAAGTCTGAAATGACTTGAAAGCACACAACAACAATAACAACAATCCTATCTCATCAGCCAAAAGTAGGCCCACACTTCTCATTGAAATACTAATAAGTTTATATTTGTTAAAATTGTTCTTCATTTTTAATTATTGTATTGTTTTAAGTGTCTTTTGCACTACAAATAAGATATGTGCAAAATTATAATTTTTCAAATTATAATCCGGCCCTCCAACAGTTTGAGGGACTGTGACCTGGCCCTCTGTTTAAAAAGTTTGAGAACCTCTGCTCTAGTATCATCCTTGTCTCCATGCTCTTTGTTTTCTTTGGCTTATATAGCACCTGTTTCCTAAACTGGAACAGCCTACAGCTCCTGATTATAATTATTAACTGGTGGTCCCCCGTCCAAGTACTAATCCGGCCCAATCCTGCTTAGCTTCCGAAATCACACAGGATTTGATGCCTTTAGGGTATTTATGTGGACTCAGGGATGGAGAAATATAGAGAAAGGCCACTTAAAAACAAGGAAGCGAGAATGTGTTCTGAACTAACTGGGTAAGATAAAAGAGCTGTACCCAAGAGGTAACCATTATACTGACAAATATACAAAGCTATGTAGTGTCGATTAAAATAATTACACTCTTTTAGAATTATTTATTTATTTATGACATTTATATGCTGCCCTTCTCACCGCGAAGGGGACTCAGAGCAGCTTACAAGATACATATACATACAATATATTATAGTATCTGCACTCCTTCCCTCTCCCCTCTTTCCTCCTTCCTTCCCCTTTTCCTTCCTTCCTTCCCTCTTTCCTTCTCTCCTTCCTTCCTTCTCTATCGCTTTCCTTCCTTCCCCCTTTTTCTTTCTCTTCTGCTGTCTCTTTTCTTCCTTCTCTCTTTCCTCCTTTCTTTCCCTCCCTCTTTCTCTACATTTTATCCCCTTCCTTCGCTCCCTCTTTCCTTCCTTCTTCCTTTTTCTCTTCTGCAGTCTCTCTTTTCTTCCTTCTCTCTTTCCATCTTCCCTTCCCTCCCTCTTTCTCTACATCTTCCCCCCTTCCTTCGCTCCTTCTTTCCTTCCTTCTGTCCCTTTTTTCTTTCCTTCTCTCCTTCCTTCTTTCTCTAACTTTCCTTCCTCCCCCTTTTTCTTTCCCTCCCTCTTTCTCTCCTTCCTTCTTTGGAAGCTTTTAAGCAGAGGCTGGATGGCTGTCTGTCAGGGGTGATTTGAATGCAATATTCCTGCTTCTTGGCAGAATGGGGTTGGACTGGATGGCCCATGAGGTCTCTTCCAACTCTTTGATTCTATGATTCTATGATTCTTCCTTGACAGATTAGAAGGGGGCGTGGCTTGGAGGTAACGTGAGGAGGGTAGAGGGAGGAGGGGGGGGGGGATGGGTTTAGAAGGGGGCGTGGCTTGGAGGTAACGTGAGGAGGGAGGGGGGGAGAAGGGGGCGTGGCTGGGGTAACGTGAGGAGGGAGGAGGGGAGGGGGGATGGGTTTAGAAGGGGGCGTGGCTTGGGGGTAAGGTGAGGAGGGAGGAGGGGAGGGGGGGTGGGTTTAGAAGGGGCGTGGCTTGGGGGTAAGGTGAGGAGGGGAGGGGGATGGGTTTAGAAGGGGCGTGGCTTGGAGGTAATGTGAGGAGGGAGGTGGGAGGGGGGATGGGTTTAGGGCGCGCGCGCGCGTGTGTGCCGCGCGGGGGGGAGAGGGGGCGCACACGCGCGCGTGTGTGCCGCGCCAGGGGAGTGAGGGGGCGCGCGGGCGCGCGTGCGTGCGTGTGCCGCACCGGAGGGGGGAGAGGGGGGGCGCGCGCACGCGCGTGTGCCGCGCCGGGGGGTGTGAGGGGGGCGCGCGCGCGTGTGTGTGTGTGTGTGCCGCGCCGGGGGGGGAGGGGGCACGTGCGCGCGCGTGTGTGCCGCGCCGGGGGGGGGGGGGGTTGGGGGTGCGCGCGCGTGTGTGCCGCGCCGGGTGGGAGAGGGGGCACGCGTGTGTGTGTGTGTGCCGCGCCGGGGGGGAGGGGCCGTGCGCGCGCGCGTGTGTGTGCCGCGCCGGGGGGGGAGGGTGAGGGGCCATGTGTGTCCGCGCCAGGGAGTTTGCGCCAGTGCGCATGCTCAGTTGCTTTGTCGTTTATTGTGGTTGTTGTTGTGTGTTTTTGATTTCTGAGTGGATTAGTTTGTACCTTGTTGGTTGCCCTTGGGGCATGGGAAGTTTGGTGGCGTTTCGTTGGGGGGTTTTTGAGTTTTGTTTCCTCATACGACGCCAGGAGGAAATTTATATATATAGATACAATATATTATATAATAGTATTATATATTACTATATTGCACTATACCATTATATTGTAATATTATTCATAATATTATATGTAATATAAATATATAATTATAATTATAATATTGTATTATTACTAGTATTATACTGTATTACATTATAATATTATAAATATTATATATATACACAATATATTATATTATTAGTAAAGACATTTTTGCCTCATTCCTGCCATTTTACCTCCTGAGGAAAACTCCTACCCGACATTCTTGCCTCCTCATTTCCTTCAGGGAGGAAGGCAACCCACATTGCTATTTTGGTATTTATTATGATAAAAAAACAACATATTGACCAACATCAGAGCCCCCATTTAACTTTAGGGCTGGCTCCATAAATAGAAACAGCACAATTTACAGCAGGCACGGGCCACCTTCAGCCCTCCATCCAGGCACCCCGGACCTCAACTCCCACAATCCCCAGCAGCCGGTACAGCTGCTAGGAATTGTGGGAGCCGAAGTCCAAAACGCCTGGACGGAGGGCCGAAGAAATGCACCAGTATGTTAAAAGGGCTGGTTTAACCTAGAGTGAAGTACATATGTTACAATCACGGAGAGGCTTGAAAAGATGAAACTAAAAGCCTTGTGGAAAACATACTGATCTAGAAAATGCAAATTCAAAATATACTACTACTACATTATTGTTGTTGTTAATTTGATTTACATCTTGCCTGTCTCCCGATATAGGACCACACATAGTTCACAATATAAATGAATTAGCTGAAAGAGTATGTAGTACAAATCCTTAAAAAGTATAAACCAATCAAACCAATCAAAACATTAATTTAAAACAATTAAAAAACCCACAATGAACACAATTACATACTAAGAGCAAATCCCTTGCACACACCAACTTGTTAAAGTTAAAGAGCCTGGTGAATAAGAAAGTTTTTTGCTGCCTAGGAAAGGGAGGTCCACACTAGTTAGGTATATAAGTGGCGATAGTTTGTCATAAGCAGCCCTAAGAATGAATTGCACATTTTAAAGATATAATCAGTCCTTTCTGCTTCATAAATTAAAAACGGATCTTGGAGGAGGTGAAAGAAACATCATTTCCACTGATTTTCAAGCAAAGGTTCTTAAAAGAAGTATCAATTTAAACGAGAAACCCAATGGAACATGGGAGGAGGCAATTTCAACACATGATTTTCACACTGCATCAAGGAGTAGTACTATTACCAACAAATATCCAGAAATACAAGCCACATCACTTACCTTCAAAGCCTCTTCATATTCCTCTGAAAATAAAAGACACAAGAAATGCAATAAACACAACCATATCCATTAAAAAGACTGTTTGATATATTATAAGCTGTATTCAGGGCCACCTGTAGAGTCAAATAATTGAAGATGCAGACTATTCCAGAGAGTTGTAACTCTTATTTCTGGTTAGATTTTTTTATCTCATTTTGAAAAGTTCTATGGCAACTTTTTTTCTCCGGAGTGCATTTTACATTGTAAAATCAATGCAGTTTAACATCACTTTAACTGCTGTGGGTCAATGGTATGGAATCCGGGGATTTGTACTTTGGTGAGGCACCAGCTTTCTTTTGCAGAGAAGGTTGAAGACCTTGTAAAATGACAGCCCCCATTATTCCACAGCAGGACACTTAAAATGGTGTCAAGATGGATTCATTCTACAGCATAGCTGCATCCCAAGGAAGCTGAGGCGTGATAAACAGTAGAGGTGCCTTGAGGGAAGGATTACCTATTTCTCTGGTTGTCTTTCCCATCGCTGGAAGCTTTGGTGTTCTAACATTAGAAGGAATTCTAAGCATGCAGCAACTATAACACACAGCTTTCTGGTCAAATTATAAAGAGTGCATTTCTTGCCATTGTGCCTTACATTTACCACCATATATATACACACACATAACTAGCCGTCCCCTGCCACGCGTTGCTGTGGTCCAGTCTATATATATGTTTTTTGTGTGTGTGTATGTATGTATGTATCTATGCAAACACACATATATACACATATACACAAATATATAGATAGATGGGTGTATACGTGTGTGTGCATGTGTGTATACATGTGTGAATACGTGTGTATATATTTGTGTATTTCTGTGTTTATGAGTATGTGTATATTGGATATGTGTGTGCTTGTGTCTATATGTATATGTATGCATGTGTATATGTAAATATATGTGTATGTGTGCATGTCTATATGTATGTGTATATTTGTGTGTGCTTGTGTACCTATATGTGTGTGTGTCTGTCTGTATATGTATATGTGTATATGACTGTATGTGTATATGTATATATAGTTTATTTTGGGGTTTTTTTAAGTCCGTTCTGCTGGGTTTTTTGTGTGTTTTTAGGGGTGATGGACACTCATTGGCCTGATAGGTGTATTGTGTCCAAGTTTGGTGTCAATTTGTCCAGTGGTTTTTGAGTTATGTTAATCCCACATAAATCATATATTGTTTCAAAATTTTGACAACTGAGGTGCACATTAGATTCCATAGCACATTCAATTTGAGTAAATACAGTAAAGGGGCAAACTAGGTAAGAAAATGTGATAAAGAGGTGTCAAAGAAAAAGACACATCTTTATCACACAGTGGAAGTCAAAAGAACCAGGGGAGGACTACATGTCATATATTTACCTTAACAGGCCAAATCTTTGGCTACATGTTTCACTGTAATTCATGTGAATCTCAGGAAGCAGGCTATTTGCAAGGATCTTACAGATCTGGCAGATATTGGAATAAACTATGTAGTAGCTCTAAATATAGTTTTCATTAGTAGAAAATTGAGGATATTGTGTATTAAGATGTGTGTACAGTACTGCAAAAACATTTACTTCTGCATTTCTCCTGCAGAAGTATATAAAGCTTCTATTTTTATATTCACAGCAGCCAAGACTTGTCAACAGCTATAATAAGCAAGCCAAAAACAACTTACCTGCAGTATTGACAGATACCTAGGAAAAGAAACAAAGAATGAATGACAAACATTTCTCAGCTGCTGGTGCATTCACTAACATAATATTAAAGTCAGATTTCTATCCAAGGATTAAGGGATGTTCTTGTCTGGTTTCTATCATCACTCCAATTTATTCCTCTTGCTCCAGCCTATCACTAGCTTGTTCATGACCTTTTTAGTGAAAAGTTGAGTTTTGTATCCTTCCCAAAACAGTCCTACATCTCAAAGCACTGCCCAGCCTAACAAGTCATCTACTTTATTTTACAAGATTTCACAAAGGACACCCAGAAGAATGCAGTTGGTGAAACTTCATCTAGGCCCCATAACTTTCTTTAAAAAAAAAACAAACAGATGCACCTCACCGGCACTATCACATCTCAGGAGGAATTTTATAGACTTCGGTCAAGTTTTCATCATCAGTAGCAATTAAACTGGTCAATAATGCAGGAGAATCAGCTATTCTTAAGATAACAAGTTTATTTCAGTTTGAATGCTTAGTAATGGAAGTTCTGAAAACTAGATAAAAGTATCTCCTTCTCTGCCCACAGCGTTGCTCTACTCTAGATAACAGAGAATTTTCACCTTTATTAATATTGTTGGGCTTTCAAATCCTATTAGTCCCATTCAATACAACTAATGATCAAACATAATGGGAGCATCTGGAGAGCCACATGTTTCCCATTCTTGTTCTACAATGGGGCTGGGGAATCTGTTTATGTGTCAATGCCCCACCTTCTCTCATCGAAAGCCCTACCAGTTTAGACCTGAAAGGAACTGCCATCCAAAAAAACAAAAACAGCTGAAGCAAGTCCAGAGTGATCTAAAAATATGAATCTTACATACAGAAATCCAGATAAAAGAAGGACCTCTTTTGTTGTGTGCTGGGAAAATATTAGGCTTTCACAGTGGCAGTGAGGAAATGTCAGGCGAAGAGGTAGGTTGTGATTGCCTTGGTTCCTCTCTTTAAAATCTGAATCATGAGTCTGTTCTTTTTTTTAAAGTCTAGTTATTCTCAGGTAACAAAATCTGGACATTCATTTCCACATATCCGTGTTTGTGTGTGTGGCAGAACTCCCTGTATGAAAATACTTGAATCTGTGGTGGCATGTCTTGCCAAAAATCAAGATTCACTAGTATTAGGGAATTCAGCCTATGTGTAATCCAAGCTAATACCAAAATGCTATCTAGCTGAAACTAGTCAGTATCTATTCTTCAGTATTTTCAGATAATATTGTTTCAAGAGAGATTAATAATTGAGAATCCAACCAAATACTATCCAATGCAAGCCAAATCCTAATAAAAAACAGGAATCTATTATGCTCAGAATTGCTTCGTGTCTCCCAGAAGCATAACTACACAGTTTCCCCAAAATTTCCACCATGAAGACAACCCCTTAATAGGAAACATGGAGGTACCTCATCATGATCTTCATCTAGGTATTTAATCTGGATCTCATTCAGTTCAAATGAGACTTTCACCTGCAAGAGAAATGACATGTTGTGAAACTTACTGCTACATACTTCATTATTGTCAGAAAAGTGGAAAAAATTCATGTCTAAGGAAATATCGAGTTCTCTCTTTTTGGACATTTCACGCCTGACTATGTGAAGACAGGATTCTTCTTCCCTTTGTTCATATCTGAACATTGTATGCTATATTCTTAAAAATTAAAGTAAAACTCTGTGTCAAGATTATGGAACTTTACAACCTAGATATATATTTATACCAAAATCATTTTTGCATTGTTTTGTGGTTCTTAGTCATAAAGATGATCAACAGACTAGACAGAGTACTGGTTTTGAAAGTTGTCACCCCCCTCCCAGTTTGAGAGCTCATCAAACCTCAGTCTCATGAGTTCAAGTAGTCACCAGCAATTTCAATATACAGTACCTCCCCAAACCAGAGCAGCTTTTCACAACGTATGAAATTTCGGTTCAGTATAATTTTGCTGGGTACTCCTGACAAAATGTGTAATATATCAATCAGGTCAGGCAGCAGGCTCATAAAACCCTGCACGTGCTCAGGCAAGGTAAACACCTGAGTACAAAGGTCCAAACAAACTCACGATAAAGTCCAGATAATCATCCTCTAGCAAAAACACAGAAAATCAATGCAATTTGCTTTTACAATTTGAAGTCAGGCTACTTCACTCAAAATGTATCCAGTAAAGCTTGTTTTTACCAGCATCATTACAACTACTGGGAATTTTCTATTTCCTGTTACTTTTAGCACTAGACAATGGCCTATTTGAAGCACATCCAACAACTAGTATCTAAGGCAGGGGTCCTCAAACTTTTTAAACAGAGGACCAGGTCACAGTCCCTCAAACTGTTGGAGGACCGGATTATAATTAAAAGAAACATGAATGAATTCCTATGCACACTGCACATATCTTATTTGTAGTGCAAAAAAATCATTTAAATGAAGTACAATAATTAAAATGAAGAACAATTTTAACAAAGATAAACTTATTAGTATTTCAATGGGGAGTGTGGGCCAGCTTTTGGCTGATGAGATAGGATTGTTCTTGTTGTTGTGTGCTTTCAAGTCATTTCAGAGAGGTTGACCCTGAGCGAGGCTTGGTTAAATGACCTTGGAGGGCCGTATCCGGCCCTTGGGCCTTAGTTTGAGGACCCCTGATCTAAGGGGTCCTCCCTGCAGGTAGATAGAATGACCCATCTTGTCTCTTCACATATTGCGACTCAATCCTAATCTACCTCCTGCTACGACGCAGTATGGAGGTCAGCTTCATACACAGATTTAGCATAACTCTTTATTCATTTGTTCTAATTTCTACAAGGCTTAGTACATCTAAAGAGAATACTGAAATGTTTAGGTTGGAATCATAAATATACTTTTCTAATTATCACAATCAGAGGCGCATTACTTCTATTGTTTCTAATTCATAGTTTAATGCTTGTGTTTGGCTTTCTTAACTTTGAAGATGGTGGTGGAGTGAGGAAATCATATTAAGAAAACTACCCATCTATCTCCGTCAGATCTCAAACTGGAAAGAGAGTTCCTTTTTCTGCTGCCAGATCGGGCAGCACACCCACCAAGGGGAATTCAAAACATGAAACCGATGTCATCGGCTTTTGTATCATGTATGTTTCTCTCTATTATGAATTCCAAAAGTTCTGTTTCATCTCCATGCTTTCAATATTGACCACTGAAGTTCATCTAACAAAGATCCAACTCACCATGGCTTCCACATCAGCCCATGTGGTACTAGCGGAATCAGAAACGAGAAAGCTCTGGGTGTCACTTTGGAAGGTCACATTGAGCTTGACTTGGGGATCCATTCTGCAGGACTATGAAAAGATGACAAAAATGCCACATTTTTAAAACTTACTTCCCTTTTGAGAGAAAGAAAAGAGCCATTATAAAAATTAGTATTGGCAGGGCTTTTGAAACCAAGTAAGAACAGTGTCAGATAAGAAGGCAATAGGGCCCACAACCGCTTATGTTTCTTTCACTGCTCTGAAAACCTTGCTCCCCAGATCTCATAATACAAACACATACCTGCTCACATATATTTTCATCTTTATTATTATTCAAATAATTAACTTTCCCACTGAAAACAGGACCCTGGGGAAACTGAATTAGAAATAACTGTAAAGAAACATACAACAAATAAAACTAGTCAAATGCCACATACACAATGTGTCCCAATGCAGCTAACAAGAGACAAAGCTGATTTTACAACAAAGTACTTTTAAAAACTTCCGTATTCACCCATAGTCATTCACTTGGCTAAGTTCCTTCCATGCATGCTACTCCCAGAAGTCTGCCTTATTTTGGATGACCTCTAGTTCAGGCAGCTGTTTGTCTAGTGATTTGGTGCTTCCAGTCAGCTGATTCTAATTCACCTGAACGTCATAAAATGAACTAGGACACATACACGCCCAAACTCCACCCACTAGCACCTCTTCCTCTTTCACATAATCCTGCTCACACAAGGATTTATCTCACTGCGACGTCTATGCCACACTCTTAATGGAATTCATTTGCCCTCAACTGCAAAGCGTAGCCCAGTTCCAGAGCAGAGTTTCTGAAGCCCTTTTGAGTTGTGTCTTTCTGCAAATATAACACAGCCTATAAGATATAAATAGGCTATGCCAGAAGTTTTCAGGCCTTGTGCCACCTGTTATTTCAACCTGCAATCCAGTTTTTTAAATGAAAACATTTGATTTGTACAGGTTTTCGAAACGACTGCCTCTGTAATGTCCCCTTTATTTCCAGTTTTTTCAAACTGTGGTGTCATCCAATTGTAGATCTGACCTACATATTGAGCTTTTACCTTGCACCTTTTTTTTGGAGGCGGGGATGTTCTGATACATTTGAAAATTTGCAAACATGAAGAAAATCTCATATAGATCCCATTTAAATATAATTGTAAATACATCCTTATTCCACAAACATTCTATTGGGTCCCCATCTTGCAAAGACTGAGCACAGGAAATTACATTTTGTACCATGCATACCAGAAATTCACCATCTGCATGACCTACTTGCAACGTTGGTGAAATAATTCTTCAGTAATAATGTCCTAAAGCCAGACACTATGAACTTGCCTACAGAGACCCTGGATTTTGCATCTTGTGCATTCAAGAATGAAGAACTTAACCTGTACAGGATCGGCCTATTTAATACCCCCAATCTGATAGAATATTTCAGCTCTTTTTGAATACTCTTGCAATGTTTTGGGCAGAATGTTGACAAAACAGAAAGTTACCAGCAAATTTTACAAGGAATGCCTGCAATTGCAGGAAGTATAACACCGTTTAGAGTAAAAATACAAGCTGAGCATCCCTGTTCTAGAATTCTGAAATATTTCAAAATAGGAAAATGGTGGCGGAGAGAGTGATGCTTCCATCCTATCTCCATACTTCATTATGTATGTGGACACAAATACGGATATTCAATAATCCAAAAAACTTCTGGTCCCAAGCATTTCAGATAAGGGATACTCAGTCTAAATAACACCACCACCACCAACAACACAAAAATCATTTGTTACCCGCCTCTTATGAGTTGAGGTGGGGTACAGTATAGCAAAAAAATAAAATAAAAATTAACATAAAATACAAACAAAATTCATATATCGAAACACGCCACTATAAAATACATTCAACAAAACACAGGGGTACAAAGCTTAATAGAGCATAGCTTTCCAAAGTATATGTCACAATACATTAGTGTGTCGGCTGCAGTGTGTAAATTGTTGTGCAAACATAACGAGAAACCTTTGAGTCCATGTGAAATGAATAATATATATTTAAATATAAATGAAAGATTGGTATGTGTTATATTGTGTCCCCCTTACATTTCATTATTGCTATATATACATATACATACATACATACATACATACATACATACATACATACATACATATATTAATAAAGGATTGGTTTAGCCTCTGGTTTGGCGATAGAACTGATTGACTGTGTCGCATGATGCATGTCTAAAAGGTGTGTCATCAACATGAAATGTTTGGAAACGTCTGTTCTACACTATGGATTTAATGCACTTTAACAGCTATTATTATTATTATTCTTATTAGCACCTTACAACATAGAGCAGAGCTTTCAAAGCTGTGTGTCATGACACAAAGTGTCATCTGCTGTGCATAGTTGTGTTGTGTGAAGATAATGAGAAACCTCTATGTGAAAAAAGCAGTAATAACATGCATTTATTTTTATGCCGGAAAAGGTTTTATTAGTAACATTATTAATATCAGTATGAGTAACATATTGTTACTCAGAAATGACCAAATTTACCTGACTAATCATATTTTAAAATATTTTAACAAGCTATGTTGTGTCCCCACATGTTTAGTTATTATGTAGGCATCTGCATCTCTTGTAAGTGCTTGGTTTAACCTCCAGTTTGCTAGTAAAACTTAACTGCTGTGTCATGAAATAATGCAGGTCTAAAAGTGTCCCCCAATATGAAACGTTTGGAATGCTCTGCAGTAGTATGTCAGCTCCAGTGTGTAGTGCAAATGTAACAAAAATGTTGAACTCATACAAAATAAGCTATAAATCATATATATTTAAAAATATATAACGAAAGGTTCCCATGAGATATGTTGCACCCCATACATTTTGTCATGATCGTTAATGTATGTGCCTGCATCTCTTAGGAGTGGTTGGCTTAACCTCTAGTTTGCTAGAAACTGAATGACTTGTCATGGAATGATGCATGTCTAAAGAGAATCGCCGACATGAAATGTTTGGAAAGCTCTGGTCTATGGGGTAGAATTAATGTAGTATTTAATTAAAATATCACAGAATACCAGAGTTGGAAGGTAATCCCAAGGGCCACCCAGTCCAAATATATTTGGCCATGCAAGAAAACACAACCCAAGCCCTCCTGGCAGATGGTCACCCAGCCTCTGTTGAAAAAGCTGCAAGAAAGGTGACTCTTATGACCCCATCTACACTGCCATATAATCCAGTTTCTAAAACCAGATTACACTACGTAACCCAATTTTTGTTCCTAGGTTATAACCCTGCAGCATATTTTGCTGTAGTTTTTCAATGACTGTCTCATAGGCCTCTTCTACACTGCTATATAAAATGCATATTATCTCCTTTGAGCTGGATTATATGGCAGTGTAGACTCAGGGACCTCCCACATAGCAATATACCCCAGAATATCAAGGCAGATAATCTACAATATCTGCTTTGGATTATCTGAGGCCTATTCCACATAGCTGAATAAAACCTCACATTATCAGCTTTGAATTGGAATATGTGGCAATGTGGACTCAGATAATCCATTTCAAAGCAAATATTGTGGATCATCAGTCTTGATATTCTGGGTTACATGGCTGTGTGGAAGGGCCCACACTGCCATATAATCCAGTTCAATGTGGATTTGATACAGCTGTATGGAAGGGGCCTCATATAATCAAGTTCAAAGCAGACAATGTGGATTCAGAAACAGGTTGATAATGGCAGTCTAGAAGGGTCCATAGAGTCTCAATCAATTCATCATATGCCCCTTCTATACTGCCCTATAATCCCGATTATCAAAGCAGACAATCAGGGCCCTTCCACGCAGCCATATAACCCAGAATATCAAAGCAGAATAACCACAATATCTGCTTTGAACTGGATTATCTGAGTCCACAGGAGCCCCCGGTGGCGCAGTGGGTTAAATCCCTGTGCTGGCAGGACTGAAGCCCGACAGGTCACAGGCTCAAATCCAGGGAGAGCGTGGATGAGCTCCCTCTATCAGCTCCAGCTCCTCATGCGGGGACATGCCTCCCACAAGGATGATAAATCATCAAATCATCCAGGCATCCCCTGGGCAACGTTCTTGCAGACGGCCAATTCTCTCACACCAGAAGTGACTTGCAGTTTCTCAAGTCACTACTGACACGACAAAAAAAAAATCTGAGTCCACACTACCACATATTCCAGTTCAAAGCAGAAAATGAGGAATTTTATTCAGCTGTGTGGAAGGGGGCTCAGATTGACTGATTTGAACTGGATTGATGAGTCTGCGGTGCCATATGATCCAGGCCCCTTCTACATTGCCATGCAATCTAGATTTTGCAAAGCAGATCATCCACATGATCTGCTTTGAACTGGATTATACAAGTCTAACTTGAGGAATTGTAAGCCGCCTTGAGTCCCCTGCAGAGTGAGAAAGAAGGGGTATAAATATAAATAAAGAAATACACTACCATATAATCAAGTTCAAAGCAGATTATCTGGATTTTAGGTGACAGTGTAGATGAGGCCTGACATCACATAGGGCCCTTCCACGCATATCATAGAATCATGCTAACTGTAGTTTGACCAGGCCTTTAGCCACACACTATACAGGCCAGGATTCCATACCATCGAGCTATATCGAACTGCATTAACTCTACAGCAGTGGTTCTCAACCTTCTTAATGCCGTGACCCCTTAATACAGCCCCCCATTTTGTGGTGACCCCCAACCATAAAATTATTTTTGTTGCTACTTCGTAACAGTAATTTTGGCTACTGTTATGAATTATAGAATAATGGAATCACAGAGTTGGAAGAGACCTCATGGGCCATCCAGTCCAACCCCCTGCCAAGAGCAGGAATACTGCATTCAAAGCACCCCTGGCAGATGGCCATCCAGCCTCTGTTTAAAATGTAATGTAAATATCTGATATTCAGAATGTATTTTCATTCACCGGACCAAATTTGGCACAAATACCTGATACGTCCAAATTTGAATACTGGTGGGGTTGGGGGCTGGATTGATTTTTATCATTTGGGAGGTATAGTTGCTGGGATTTATAGTTAACCTGCAATCAAAGAGCATTCTGAACTCCACCAATGATGGAATTGAACCAAACTTGGCACTCAGAATTCCCATGACCAATAATAATAATAATAATAATAATAATACTGTATTTGTACCCCGCTACCATCTCCCCAAAGGACTCGGTGCAGCTTACATGAGGCTGAGCCCAAACACAACAATACAAGCAACAATCACAACAATACAAGCAATTAAAATAAAACATAGACGATAAACATATAACATTATCAATAAGACAACATGCAATTAAAAACTATGGGAAGGCCAAATGTAAAAATTAACATTGGAAGTAGTGCTGAGGCATGGACGAAAAGGTGATAGTGGCGTTTGTGGAAGACATACGAGCAGACCTAAAAATATAATGTGCTTTGGAGGGACAAAGTGCTATGGCAGTGTTTTTCAATCTGGGGGTCGGGACCCCTGGGGGGGGGTCGTGAGAGGGTGTCAGAAGGGTCGCCAAAGACCATCAGAAAACACAGTATTTTCTGTTGGTCATGGGGGCTCTGTGTGGGAAGTTTGGGCCATTTCGGTCATTGGCGAGGTTCAGGATGCTCTTTGATTGTAGGTGAACTATAAATCCCAGCCACTACTACTCCAAAATACCAAGGTCTATTTTCCCCAAACTCCACCAGTGTTCATATTTGGGCATATTGAGTATCCGTGTCAAGTTTGGTCCAGATCCATCATTATTTGAGTGCATAGTGCTCTCTGGATGTAGGTGAACTACAACTCCAAAATTCAAGGTCAATGCCCACCCACCAAACCCTTCCAGTATTTTCTGTTGGTCATGGGAGTTCTGTGTGCCAAGTTTGGTTCAACTCCATCCTTGGAGGAGTTCAGAATCCTCTTTGCTTGTAGGTGAACTTTAAATCCCAGGAATTACAACTCTCAAATGACAAAATGCACCCCCCCCCCCAACCCAACAGTATTCAAATTTAGATGTAGCAGGTATTTGTGCCAAATTTGAATGAATGGAGATACATCCTGCATATCAGATATTTACATTATGATTCATAACAATAGCAAAATTACAGTTATGAAGTAGCAACGAAAGTAATCTTATGGTTGGAGGTCACCACCACAAGAGGAACTGTATTAAGGGGTCGCGGCATTAGGAAGGTTGAGAAACACTGTGCTATGGGATCATTATTCCGGGAAGGCACACTGGAACAACCACGTCTTCAAGCTCCTCCTAAAGACAGCCAGAGTTGGGGCCTGCCAGATGTCCTTAGGGAGTGAGTTCAAGAGTCGAGGGGCCACCACCGAAAAGGCCCTCTCTCTCGTCCCCACCAATCGCGCCTGCGATACAGGTGGGAGCGTGAGTAGGGCCGTTCCAAATGAACGAAGAGATCGTATGAGTTCGTACACAGAGATGCGGTCACACAGGTAGGCAGGTCCCAAACCGTTCAGGGCTTTGAAGGTAAGAACCTGCACCTTGAATGACCAACAGAAAATACTGGAAGGATTTGATAAGCATGGACCTTGAGTTTTGGAGTTGTAGTTCACCCACATCCCGAGAGTACTGTGGACTCAAACAATGATGACTCTGAACCAAACTTGGCACAAATACTCAATATGCCCAAATGTGAACACTGGTGGAGTTTGGGGGAAATAGAGCTTGACATTTGGGAGTTGTAGTTGCTGGGATTTATAGTTCACCTACAATCAAAGAGCATTCTGAACCTCACAAATGATAGAATTGGGCCAAACTTCCCACACAGAATCCTGGAGCCCTACAGAAAATATTGTGTTTTGTGATGGTCTTTGGCGACCCCTCTGACACCCCTCACGACACCCAGGTTGAGAAACACTGCAGTGCTTCATCTACAGCAGTGGTTCTCAACCTTCCTAAGGCCGTGACCCCGTAATACAGTTCCTCATGTTGTGGTGACCCCCAATCATTAAAATTATTAGTACTTCAGAACTACTATTATGAATTGTAATGTAAATATCTGATATGCAGGGTGTTTTCTCATTCACTGGACCAAATTTGGCACAAATACTCAATATGCTTAAATTTGAATACCGGTGGCGTTGGAAAGGGGGATTGATTTTGATATTTGGGAGTTATAGTTGCTGGGATTTATAGTTCGCCTACAATCAAAGAGCATTCTGAGCTCCTTCAACAATGGCATTGAACCAATCTTGGCACACAGACCTCCAATGACCAACAGAAATATATTGGAAGGATTTGATGAGCACGGACCTTGGGTTTTGGAGTTGTAGTTCACCCACATCCAGAGAGTACTGTGGACTCAAACAATGATGGATCTGAACCAAACGTGGCAGAAATACTCAATATGCCCAAATGTGAACACAGATGGAGTTTGGGGGAAATAGAGCTTGACATTTGGGAGTTGTAGTTGCTGGGATTTATAGTTCACCTACAATCAAAGAGCATTCTGAACCTCACAAATGATAGAATTGGGCCAAACTTCCCACACAGAATCCTGGAGCCCTACAGAAAATATTATGTTTTGTGATGGTCTTTGGCAACCCCTCTGACACCCCTCACGACCCACAGGTTGAGAAACACTGCATTGCTTCATCTACAGCAGTGGTTCTCAACCTTGCTAATGCTGTGACCCCTTAATGCAGTTCCCTATGTTGTGGTGACCCCCAACTATAATATTGCTTTCGTTGCTACTTGATACCTGTCAGTATACTACTGTTATAAATCATAATGTAAATATCCGATATGCAGGATGGATTTTCATTCACTGGACTAAATTGAGCACAAATACCCAATATGCCCAAATGTAAAAGCTAGTGGGGTTGGGGGGAGGACGGATTTTGTAATTTGGGAGTTGTGGTTGCTGGGATTTATAGTTCACTTATAATCAAAGAGCATTCTGAACTTCACCAGCGCTGGATTTAAACTGAACTTGGCACACAGAACTCCCATGACCAACAGAAAACACTGGAAGGGTTTGGTGGGCATTGACCTCGAGTTTGGGAGTTGTAGTTCACCTATATCCAGAGGAGTGCTGTGGTTTCATGCAATGATGGATCTGGACCAAACTTGGCACCAATACTCAATATGCCCAAATGTGAACACTGATGGAGTCTTGGGAAAATAGATCTTGACATTTGGGAGTTGTATTTGTTGGGATTTATAGTTCACCTACAATCAAAGAGCATTCTGAACTCGACCAATGATAGAATTGGGCCAAACTTCCCACACAGAATCCTGATGCCCAACAGAAAATATTGTGTTTTGTGATAGTCTTTGGCGACCCCTCTGACAGCCCCTCAGGGGTCCTGACCCCCAGTTTGAGAAACACTGCTCTACAGTGTAGATGAAGCAAAAAAATGCTTGTAAAGGCCTGCTATATATAGTTTTTGCTTTCAAGCTAAGAAGGCCCAATCTAAAGCAAGACATCACTTGAGGGAAGGAGGGGGGCCCTGTTGTGGAAACACAGGAAATACAACCCCCCGCCCTGGCGTCCCTAAAGAGGCCTTGTTTCGAGGCAGTGAGGAAAAGGCAGAAGTAGCTGTCTCACCGTTATTCCCAGCCGGTGCTGGCGCCACGGAGGAAGGCCGAGTGCGAGGCCTTTCGGGGACTGGAGTCTCCTTCCGCCTCCGTCCCCTGGCCCCCTCAGGCGCTGTGACGCGCGAAACCAGGCAGACTGGCTGAGCTTCCCCTCGCAACAGCGTCTGCTCGCACACCATTGGTCCGCCTCGCCTGCCACTCATCCGTCGCCTCACTCCATTGGCTGCGACTCACGCCCGGAGGCGGGATGGAAGCAAGAGAGAAGTCTCTCAGAAGAACAACAACAACAACATTGGAGAGAGTCGCTTCCTATTGTCCGGAGAAGGATTTTCCGGGTTCAGTCGGGGAGGAGTCGTTTCGCACACAAAAGGGGTGTTTTCTGCGCCTGCGCGGAGCCTGCTCCAATACCCCCCCTCTCCAATTTCACTCAATCTGACTCAGAGCCACGCAAACGCTTCTTGGCGTCACGTGGGCGGGACCGAATTGACTCGCGCAGTTCTTTCCTCCTCCCTCGTTGAACCAATCGGAGGTCTCCTTTGTGATTGACGTCATCGCGACGGACGCGGAAGCGGCGCAGCGATTGGTTGGCGAGCGGTTGCCTCGGGAACGGCTCCGGAGAAGGCGCGAAAAGAAAACGGAGCAATGGCTAAGTTTGAACTCGCGTAGAGAAGAAGGAAAGTGAGCGTCGGGTAAGAGCGAGGGATGCGTGGTCGAGTTGAATGTACGTGTGAGAGCGTTTCCAATGGCGAGGCTGAGCAAGGTCTGAGGGGAAGAGATTGAAATAGGCCCCATCTACACTGGTTTGAAACCGCATTATATGATCAGTATAGACTCATAGTCCCAAAGAAAAAGAAAACCAAGAAGGCAAAATGGTTGTCTGCTGAGACACTGGAAGTAGCCCAAGAAAGGAGGAAAGCAAAAGGAAACAGTGATAAGGGGAGATATGCCCAGTTAAATGCGCAATTACAGAGGTTAGCCAGAAGAGATAAGGAACTATTTTTAAATAAGCAATGCATGGAAGTGGAAGAAGACAACAGAATAGGAAGGACAAGAGACCTCTTCCAGAAAATTAGAAACATTGGAGGTAAATTTCAGGCAAAAATTGGTATGATAAGAAACAAAGATGGCAGGGACCTAACAGAAGCTGAAGAGATCAAGAAAAGGTGACGAGACTATACAAAAGATCTGTATAGGAAGGATAATAATATTGAGGATAGTTTTGACGGTGTGGTGAATGAATTAGAACCAGACATCCTGAGGAGTGAGGTTGAATGGGCCTTAAGAAGCATTGCTAACAACAAGGCAGCAGGAGATGACGGGATCCCAGCTGAACTGTTTAAAATCTTAAAAGATGATGCTGTCAAGGTGATGCATGCCATTTGCCAGCAAATATGGAAAACACAAGAATGGCCATCAGACTGGAAAAAATCAACTTATATCCCCATACCAAAAAAGGGAAATGCGAAAGACTGCTCAAACTTCTGTACAGTGGCCCTTATTTCTCATGCCAGTAAGGTAATGCTCAAGATCCTGCAAGGAAGACTCCAGCAATACATGGAGCGAGAGTTGCCAGATGTTCAAGCTGGGTTTAGAAAAGGCAGAGGAACGAGAGACCAGATTGCCAATATCCGCTGGCTAATGGAGAAAGGCAGGGAGTTTCAGAAAAACATCTACTTCTGTTTCATTGACTATTCTAAAGCCTTTGACTGTGTGGATCATAATAAATTGTGGCAAGTTCTTGGTGGGATGGGCATCCCAAGCCACCTTGTCTCTCTCCTGAGGAATCTGTACAAGGACCAAGTAGCAACAGTCAGAACTGACCACGGAACAACAGACTGGTTCAAGATTGGGAAAGGCGTACGGCAAGGCTGCATACTCTCACCCAACCTTTTTAACTTGTATGCAGAACACATCATGCGATGTGCGGGGCTTGATGAATGCAAGGCTGGGGTGAAAATTGCTGGAAGAAACATTAGCAACCTTAGATATGCAGATGACACCACTCTGATGGCCGAAAGCGAGGAGGAGCTGAGGAGCCTTCTAATCAAGGTGAAAGAAGAAAGCGCAAAAGCCGGATTGCAGCTAAACGTCAAAAAAACCAAGATTATGGCAACAAGAATGATTGACAACTGGAAAATAGAGGGAGAAACCGTGGAGGCCGTGACAGACTTTGTATTTCTAGGTGCAAAGATTACTGCAGATGCAGACTGTAGCCAGGAAATCAGAAGACGCTTACTTCTTGGGAGGAGAGCAATGTCCAATCTCGATAAAATAGTAAAGAGTAGAGACATCAGACTGGCAACAAAGATCCGCCTAGTCAAAACCATGGTATTCCCTGTAGTAACCTACGGATGTGAGAGCTGGACCTTAGGGAAGGCTGAGCGAAGGAAGATCGATGCTTTTGAGCTGTGGTGTTGGAGGAAAGTTCTGAGAGTGCCTTGGACTGCGAGAAGATCCAACCAGTCCATCTCCAGGAAATAAAGCCCGACTGCTCACTGGAGGGAAGGAAACTAGAGACAAAGTTGAAGTACTTTGGCCACATCATGAGGAGACAGCAAAGCCTAGAGAAGACAATTATGCTGGGGAAAGTGGAAGGCAAAAGGAAGAGGGGCCGACCAAGGGCAAGATGGATGGATGGCATCCTTGAAGTGACTGGACTGACCTTGAGGGAGCTGGGGGTGGTAACCGCCGACAGGGAGCTCTGGCGTGGGCTGGTCCGTGAGGTCACGAAGAGTCGGAGACGACTGAACGAATGAACAACAACATAGACTCATACAGTGTAGCTTAACTGTATGGAACTGCATTATATGTGGCCCCTTCTACATTGTCATATAAAATTCAGATTGTCTGCTTTGAACTGGATTATATGGCAGTGTAGACTCACATAATCCAATTCAAAGCGGATAATGTGGACTATCTATTTTATATCCAGATTGCCTGCTTTGAGCTGGATTATATGGCAGTGTAGACTCATATTATCCAGTTCAAAGCGGGTAAAGTGGATTATCTATTTGATTATATCCAGATTGCCTGCTTTGAACTGGATTATATGGCAGTGTAGACTCATGTAGTCCAGTTCAAAGCGGATAATGTGGATTATCTGTTTTGATTATATCCAGATTGCCTGCTTTGAACTGGATTATATGGCAGTGTAGACTCATATAATCCAGTTCAAATTGGAGAACGTGGTTTATCTATTTTCATTATATCAAGATTGCTTGCTTTGAACTGGATTATATGGCAGTGTAGACTCATATAACCCAGTTCAAAGCGGGTATTGTGGATTATCTATTTTGATTATACCAAGATTGTCTGCTTTGAACTGGATTATATGGCAGTATAGACTCACATAAATCCAGTTCAAAGCAGATAATGTGGATTAGTTATTTGGATTATATCCAGATTATTTGCTTTGAACTGTAGACTCATATAATTCAGTTCAAACCGATAATGTGGATTATTTGCATTGATAATCTGGATTATATGACTGTGTATTATTTATTATTATTATTATTATTATTATTATTTACATCGCTTCTACCCCGCCCTTCTCACCCTCGAGGGAGGACTCAGGCGACTTATATGGGCAACAATTCAATGCCATAATATCAATAGAAGGGGCCAGAGTCTGCACTGACCCTATAATGCAGTTTCAGACTCCATTATATGGCATTGTAGATAATGCCCTAGAGGAGTTACTCTTTAGTTATTCTCCTAGGACTCTTCCACACAACTGTATAAAATCCACATTGAACTGGATTATATGGCAGTGTGGACTCGCATAATCCAGTTCAAAGCAGATATTGTGGATTATCTGCCTTGATATTCCGGGTGATATGGCTGTGGGGAAGGGCCCCAAGTTTCTAACAGCAATGGCTTTAGGTTTTATTTTTAATAAGTAAAAATTGAGAGCTTGATATTCAGCGAGATAAACAACTTTGCTAGTCAACATATATAATCAGAAATAAATATTTATTTATTTATTTGTTTATTTAGAGTATTTGTATCACATCCTTTTCAACTCAGGACAGCTTACAATTGACAGTCATTAGATGCCAACAAAGAAACAGTGAAAGCACAACAATTAACATAAACAGGTCAACAGCAGTAAAAATACATTAAAATGCAAATAGGTCAGGCAACCAACATATAATAAATAAATAGACCAGATAATCAATGTATGATCACAAATAGGCTCACTAATCACAGCTCATTGATGTATAATTATAAGTAATTAAATACGTCAACTAACACTGTAACATGATTCTTGTTCCTGGGTTATATATGTCATTTCCTAATTGGTTGTATCATAAAAATATGGACAAAGTTTATTAAGCTGCAAAAACTTTCTTTTTGAAGGACATCCTACAGCACATGTTACTCCGGTTTTTCAGTGAGTTTTTCATAGAGCCCCCTTTAACATTCCCATATAAAATTCAGATTATTTCCTTTGAACTGAATTATATGGCATTGTCGTTTCCTTCCATATAATCCAGTTCAAAGCAGATAATTTAGAATGTATGTTAGCGTAGAAGAGGCCAGAGTCTCAACAAGTTTAACATCATTTGTGGCATCTACAAAATAAAAGTTTCTGGAGTATAACAACTACCCTACAATTAAAAAGGAAACAACACTTTCAAATCAGGAACATTTTTTTTTGTTACATAGTGTAATCAGAAATATATAGCTCAGATAATTGCTGTATAATAAATAAACAGGTCATATAATCAATGTATGATGATAAATGAATAGGCTCACTAATTAGGGTATAATAATATACAAGTCAGCTAATTGATATATAACCGCAAGTAATTAAATAGGTCAACTAATCACTGTGTAATCGAGACTCCCTGGAAAATACAATGCTTGGCAAGGTAGATGGCAGCAGAAAAAGAAAACAGATGGCATTACAAATGGATAGATTTTAGGTGCATCTGCATTATAGAATTAATGCAGTTTGACACCACTTTAGCTTCCACGAGTCAATGCTATGGAATCATGAGAGTTGTAGGAGATGAGGCTCCCAAACTCTTGAATTAATAGAATTAATAATTATTATTAATAATTAGTTATTGCCCACTTCTCATGACTCGAGGCAGGTAATGCACATGATAAAATGATAAAACTGAACACTATTAAAATACCTATAGCAAATATACATTGGTAAAATGCA